TCCTGACATATATGTTCATACATACCAATCACAACACCTGATATATTCCACAGAATCTGAATAACTCATTACTTTGTCTAATTACACGCTCGTTACTTCTCCCCAGCAAACTAGTTATTGCCCTCACTGTAGTAAGTGTCTAGGGCACATAAATCTGGTGCTTACCCAAATAGATGGCTTATCATTTGATGAAACATTGGTGAAACAATGTTTTTCCATAGTAGTTACTAAGCAGTTATAACCAGTAATATTATACAAGCTGCACCTCTATGCTCATGTTTCCAACATGAACGTAGGAAGATGTGCAAACAAGCATCTGGGTATGTAGACAATGTAAGAATCTCAAGTTTACAGACGCTGTATGGCTCTCATTTACATTATAATACATATAATATTACCAAGTTACCCAAAGCTAAATTAATTTAAAATTACCCAAAACACACCCCAACAACCAATTATAGGAGAAGGGTGCTTAACGCTGTGAATATGGTAAATACAAAAGACAACAGTCAAGTACGATATATATTAACCTGTAACCTGTTAACAACAAATAGTTTGAGATTATTTCAGAGGTTTCCACAATAGCTACTTTTTGTTAAGCCTCAACACACTCATGCAATATTTGAAATACGAGGGCCATTTTACCATATGTTTGATACTTAGTTGAAAATCTTATAAGTTTAGTGACATTATATCCAAATATTGTGCTCAGTAAGCACTCGAGGAATATTTCATCATGTTCTTTTTAAAGGCATACTTTGATTTTAAACTTTTAAAGATTTAAATTTGTGCAATACTGTGGATGGGTATGTTAGACGTGTTATCTTTGAAAAAATAGTTTGAAGCTTTTGACACTTATTCACATTTCCACCACACGGTTGCAAATTCATTTACCTCAGTCTTCATTGAACTAGTTTTATTCTTACACATAATAATTAACTATGGATTACTTTTCCGGTTGTAGGAATGAGGTTTGGTTCATGTAACAAAAATTATAAAGAGTTCTATCTGTTTTCAATTACCAGTACCTATGTGAAAAACAAACTTGGTTTTCAACATACTTTCGGTGGCCCCTCAGATTCTTCCAGCTGTTTGTAAAATTATAAACATTAATCGTAAATAAATATCTACTTGTGACATACTCCAGAATATAACACATACACAAGTTCACCCGACTCAGTAAAAGGCACACCGAAGTTCATTTAACACAGAGAACTTATATGTAAAATGACAACCCCAAACCCAAATTTAAGATGAACTGTGGGTTTTGCCCCATGTAAAATAATGGATTCAAATAATTCACACTGCAATGCATTCCAGGAGGACCCATCTAAGTATGTCTGTTTAAAGCAGAAAATACTAATCCAAATTGCACATGGCTTATTACAACACACACTCACGTTCTGGTAAATATAAACATGTCTGTCATTGAAACTGGCGGAAAAACATGAAGACTCTCCGCATCTCCAGCATTTGCCTCCCAGAATGCATTCGTGAAAGTATAAAGGAATACAAAATTGATATATCCAGTTAAATCACTGTTGAACAAATATATTTAAAAAAGCAAACTTGAAAGTATTAGATATATTCATTTATGTATCTGTATATTTAATTTATATAATATTAATTATTCAATAGACATTATTTATCTCAAAAACATAAACTTCACAAGAAAATGACTTCCTAAGATTATATGAGTGCTTCCGACAATATTTGGCATATTTCATATTCACAATTTTTGAAATGTCATTCTGAACATATGGAATCTGAAAAGACTGAAAATTTCAAAACAGCATTGCTGTTTTGTTATGGAAAGATACCCAATTCAAGGATTTTAAAAGAAGACAACAACCGCATTGCAAGCAAAGACACAACATTAATGGGCAGTGATATACATCAGGTCAGCAATATTGTAGACATTAGTAGACACTGTCAATACAGTTAGAGTGATGTCAATATCAGCTGAGGGAAAGCTGGATTACTGGGAAAAAACATGTCACAATTTCACCAAAATAATTTGGTTTGAGATGGAATGTTAGAAAACATTTTAACACTGAGCAAGATGTGAAGTTGATGGACAACTGACGGTACATAACATTGGAGGTAACCAAAATATAGAAAAGCCTAAGACAATCAATAACCCCACACAGCCTATAGAGAACATCACTAGTCCTCAGTCCTTTGTGCTGAAATATTGCACAAAATATACAAATGAAAACATGATGAATATATAAAACATGGCATTATACACATCCATCAGGTTTTCAGATCTGGTAAAAAACAGCCAGCTGCTCAGCTGAAAAAAACCCTCATACATTATAGCATAAATCATACATTATAGCATAAATCATACATTATAGCATAAATCATACATTATAGCATAAATCATACAGGCAAAGTTCAGCTTAACAACAAACGACACATGACGACACATGCACAAACAGACCACAACATATGTTCATTTGGCATTCAGTTCAATGAGCAAACCATAGATGGTAATCAGAGGAAGAAATGACTGGACATGCAATGGCAGCAATCACATCATACGCTGACTTGACGGAATTGTCTGGATGTGCAATAGAGTTGCAGCAATCACATCATATGCTGACTTGAAGGAATTGATTGGAGTTTAGTGCTATCACTTCCTACAAACTCCGCAACATATACTTGTATCCGAGTATACACTTAATGAACAGTTCCTTGTGGTAACCATGATACAGCTTATTAACAAACACCTTTATTAGCTGTTAAACATTATGCACGGTGCAGATTGGTAGGTGTAATTATGCCTTGATAATGGGGAATTTCATCTTGATCAGTGACATTTGCCAATAATTAGCAAGAAAACTATTCAGCTGCCATGTTTGAGTATAATATGCACACCCATGATGTTCTGAGAATGTGAGGAAGAAAAAACATGGCTCCCATTTATTATATAATATATAAAATCATATAAAGGTTGTCAGAATTTCAGTTAGATTACTTTCCAAAGGGAACAAAGGTTCTAAAAATACAAATTCCTAATCAAACAGAGAGCATAGTTTTTATCTTTCACCTGTCTCTGAAACAATAAAATATTAGTCTCAAATGCAAAATCTGATTTAAGTCTGTTTGTATGTTCCAGCTGATTGGCCAGTATATTCCTTATCAAAAAAGCATATAGCTGAAAATTGCATGTGACAAAATATAACAAACACAAAAATATATAGTTCTGAAAACAGTCATCAAAACAATTCACATTTACACAAGCAAGATCCCCCCACAGAACACCACCAAGGCACCCCCCCAAACACCTCACACAGGAATAATCATTGTTTCTTTGTTTCCTTCACAGCCACAATCAATCATGGGGATATTCTTTCTTTCACCCTGCTGTTTTGTTCACAATACCACACCTGCCACATACCATAACATAAATACACGTAAATAGACATATCTTTCTTTGACCCATCTCAAACTCTAACAAAAATAACATTCCCACATTAAACAAACCAGGATTTCGCTGTGGGTAATAAACACAATTTGCTGCAAGAGTGAGTGAGTGAGTATGGTTTTACGCCGCTTTTAGCAATATACCAGCAATATTCCAGCAGTATACCAGCAATATACCAGCAATATCACTGCCGGGGACACCAGATATGGGCTTCACACATTGTACCCATGTGGGAATCGAACCCGCGACTTCGGCCTGACGAATGAATGCTTTAACCACTGGGCTAACCCTCCACCCTTGCAGCAGATGGTGGATCCAAGCAAAGAGCATGTGTGAGTTGTGACCTTACTTCTGAATCAGTCTAAAGTTCTGCTGTGACATCCTCACTGATGTGGGTCCTAAATTTCAGGAAAAACACAAGTAAATTACAACATAAAGGTAGGTCACCATACATTAGGGTCTGGTTCCACAGTACCACCACTGCACTAAGTCAATTGTCTCTGTCTCTCTGGAAACTGTTGTACAAAGCGACCTTAACGCTAAGGTGACCATGACTACATACTTTAACATAGACTTAAGGTAGTCTTAGATGTAAGGTTGTTTTGTACAACGTGGAAGTGTATTTAAGTTCTGTCATGTAGTGTTGGGAATTGGTTGAAATCTCACAATTGATGATTGCTTCATTACCAACGAACAATCATCGAAAAAAATTGGTTAGCGTCATTTTCAGATTTTCCTATCCAGGTTGTTATTGCAGATATGTATAACATGATGCAACTTGATATTCTAAAGTGATGACTAATATATCATGAACATACACTTCCTGGAGTCTTCAAGAAATATTCAGTCATGACTTTTCAGTCAGTTAAGTGAGTTTTCTAAGAATCAAACAAGTTTTCAGGCCCTGACAACTTCTATCATATGTTCCATCGTCAAGTGTTTCAAAGACTAAAACAGTAGTTCCAAAATCGTTTGTGTTGGATTATGAGAAAATGTGATTGATTGCTTGGTCGTTTGGTCACTTCGACCTATCTTCGATTTCAATTAATCGGAACACCACTACTGTCATGACCTGCCAGCTTAATTCAGGATGATACCCCGAGTGGTGAGAGGCTCACATGTTTACCACTTCCACCCCCAAGAATGTGTATGGTACTGACAAACCTTGAGATATATTACAGCAAGCTAGAATACAAACCCATAGTATTCTGGCATTCAAAAGGGAGACAATCCTGACATGCAATGTCCAGCACCTTCACAATAGGCTCCACCTTGCCTATCGAAGATGATCGTAATGCACATATTTAATAAAGCCTTATGACAGTGTTACGATCTCTTTGAGATCAGCAGGGCCCTGATCAGCCGTAAATTTGAGTTGGTTTGACACATTTATAACACCCTCACAGATTTTGACAGAATTCTGCACTAACTGCCCTGATAGGCAAATTAAGTATTTTTTTCTATTTTGCTTCAAAATTAAGATTTCTTTAATTCCGAAGTATTTAGACATAACCTTTGGAGGTTGCATTCTATGGTACTGGTCCTTCCTTGGCCTTGTCCATCCTGGTGTCCATGGGGTGTGTGTGTATATATGTCGGTGACCCGCGTGTGTGTGTGTGGCATGTGCACGCTGTGTCTGTGTGTGTATGCAGATTTGGGGCTGAATATCAGCCTCTGATCTACTTTAGATTAACCCTTGCTCCCCTGTTATCAGCAGTGGTCCTACACAAGGACACTGAGCAGAGGCACATAGGTGGCACGCACATCGACCTTTACAGTGTAACTGATATAGACTTACACTGAGCAGTTATTTCAGTGGAATATTGAGATTTTCAGAGTATAAAAATAGAAATGTCGCCTCCATGTAAACAGAAAGATATAAGGATTTCAAGTATTTGAGTATCTAAGTTATGATGACTCTTGGGCCATCCGATACTCGTGCACACTCCCTTTCAGGAAGGCCTTCTTGCAGGGAGGCCCTGTATCTGTTGTGTTCCCCTCGGTCTGTGATCCATCACCTTCGTTATCAGGTGTGCCATACCCTCCTCCTCCTGGCGTTTCCAGGTGAAACACGTCCTGAAAATAGGACACATACATGTTGCAGGAATTGTACAACTTGGTTGGTTTGGTATGATACTACTGTGAGTGAGTGAGTGGGTGAGTGAGTGAGTGATTGAGTGATGTGAGTGAGTGAGTGAGTGAGTGAGGTGAGTGAGGTGGAGAGAGGGTGGAGGAGTGGTGGTGAGTGAGTGAGGAGTGAGTGGTGAGTGAGTGAGTGAGTGAGTGAGTGAGTGAGTGAGTGAGTGAGTGAGTGAGTGAGTGAGTGAGTGAGTGAGTGAGTGAGTGAGTGAGTGAGTGAGTGAGTGAGTGAGTGAGTGAGTGAGTGATGCTTTTACACTGCTTTTAGCAATATTCCAGCAATATCATGGCCGGGTACACCAGAAATGGGCTTCACACACTGTACCCATGTGGGGAATCAAACCTGGGCATTCAGCATGACAAGCAAATGCTTTAACCACTAGGCTACTCCACCACCTGATACTACTTTGAACACTATAAGCTTACAAATGTAGGAATACAGGAGTGAGGTAGGATGAGTGCTTTGGTTGCAGACTGACATGAAGAAGGGCTCAACTAAAGTCATGGTTAACAAATGGAATCATTTAATTAACTTGCTACCTTACGACATGTCTCCCTACAACACTGCATACTGACTGATGTGTTCATGGATGATGCTGGAGTGTAGCGTATACCTGTCAATGAAACGTTCAGGATGCACCACCCACGGTACTACAGGTAATGTTGACACTCACCCGGGGCCAACATCCACAGAGTTCTTGCCCCCCAGGCTTACCACCCGACCGTCAGCATACAAAAGCAGGTTCACACCAGACCTTCCATCTTCACCACCTGTAGGAAACAGTTTTATTTATCTGCCAGATATTTTCAGACTGACCATTAAAGACCCATGGTGGCAGTTGCTAAGAGACAGAAGCAAGGGGTAACAAAGGTATAGAAGCTTAAAAGATCTCAAGTGAACAAATCATTCAAAGAAGCATTTCTGATTTTGAAACACATGTTCACAGGCAGTTCCAAATAGAAAACAATAAAAGTAATGCTGGATATGTTGTGGGTATTTTATACACTCTGAGTGCCGTGGCAGTGATCGAACATTTGTCCACTTTGTTGGTTTCTTGTTTTGGCAAGATTGAAATTTCTAAATCAAGGGGTGAAAATAAATTAAAGAAATGCTCCAGAACACTGCAAAGTGATTGGCTCACAAATACACACATACTTCATTTTGAATAGCTGGTGAAATGTTACTGACCATCCATCTGTTGTGACATACTGGAGATGCTGTTAAGCACCCAGACTGGTATTGTATCAGAGTATTAAATGAATTGGGTTTTTTATGCTATCAGCAATAATACAGAAACAATATACCAATGTGGACAACACCAGGAACTTTGACCTATTTTTTTCACCACTTGGCTAATCAACTAGCCCCCAAATTAACTTTACAATATTTCCAGTATATACTGACCAGATAAGCCGTACGGCCTGAACACTCTCCTCTCTGTCAGCACAGAAAGTGTCAAGTCCTTGCGGAACAGGAATTCCCGCACAACCCCATCACCTCCTGGGTGGCGCCCCCTACCACCTGTGCCAGGGTTCAGATGGAAGCAGCGGACAACGATGGGGTATCTGGAAGAAAAGACAGTCATTCAGTTCACGCCATCACTTACCAAAGAGGCAGTATATTTCATGTCTGTCCCTGTCAGATAATTCTGTCAGCTGTAATACATACACTTTACCTTACACAGGAAACATTTACTCCCCAGAGATGCAAACACCCCCAAGATGAAGGAGGTAATGAGCTAGTCTAGAGGCTAAGGTGTTTGCTCGTCATGCAAACGGAGCAGTTTGATTGTGCACATGGTTTGATTGTGCATATATAGAACGTCATACTAGTGCATTTGGATGTTTTGTATTGAACTCGAAGATGCCATGGAAAAGAGGAACTCATTGTTTCTCTGCTCCCATGACATCTTCTCGTTCAATACAAAACATCCAAATGCACTAGTATGAGTTCTATATTTATTATATACCCTCTTATCTTGCATTAATCTGTTACTTAATAAAACAAATCATAGCATAGCAATGTAGAACCGGCAGGGGTTCAATATGGAATCTTGGGTGCAATACAGAATTTCACCACATGATCCGTATTGCACCCCTGTATTGTTATCCTATGTTTACATGGGTATGTAATAAAATGTGTGTAGCCCATTTCTGGTGAAGTGGCATGAAACTTACACACACTGGCACAAGCTTACCTCCTCTCTACAATCTCGGGTCTGTGATTCTTGTATTTGTCATGTGACTGTGAATACCACTGTGACCATCCCATGTTGGGCCCTGAAGATGTAAGAGCAATGATGATAATGATGATGATGATGATGATGATGATGATGATGATGAAGACTCTCAATTTTGTGAATCAATGCTCAGGATATCAATCACTGGATAGTCTGGACCATTTTTAATTACTTTCAGAAATCCATCATACTGCTTAAATATTACCGACTCAGTAACAAACAAACAACTAAATAATTGTCACAGTATCTTAAACATGAATTTAGAAAATTCGAAATTTTGTGTCATTCTCAACAAGGCCAGTTGTAATTCCTTTCCCTTGTGGGTAATGAGATAAAACAACATTCAACGCCAAAACAAACAAAGGTCTTCACTGCAGTGATACAAACAGACAACCTACCGCCCGCGCTCCACCTGCTACGGTCTCGTAGTAGCCGACGTTGGAGTCTCCGAAGGTGATGTTGTTCATGCAGCCCTGGAACACATTATCATCATGATGAGCTGGGAGGTGTTCTGCCCCAAACTCGCCAGGGCATTGTGGAAGACATTTGTCTAAATTTAGTGTGAAACACTCAGAATGTAGCATTTCTGCAAACACATAGATTGACAATTTTGAATGAATGTATTCCAAACTCAGTTACACAGTTTTTCCATGTAGTTCATGCAATGGTGATGACAGGAACAGACCCACTCAGGACTGGACCACTGATCTGTGTGGTGAGACATAGGGACTACTTACTAGTGAATAGAGACAAGCAGGGAACACCTTGAGATATACAAGGACCACCTACCTGTATGGAGAGTGAGTGAGTGAGTTTAGTTCTATGCCGGTTTTAGCAATATTCCAGCAATATCACCGCAGGGGACACCAGAAATGATGTCATATCATATTGTACCCATGAGGGGGACTGAACCAGGGTCTTTGGTGTGACAAGTGAACACTTTAACCACTAGGCTACGCCGCCGCCCACCTGTATGGACAGATATACGAGGACCACTCACCTGTGAGGCTGCACAAACACTGAAGGCCCTCAGCACTACGTCTACAATCCTCTGTGAAGTGAGGACGTTACCTCCGACAACTGCAGCACGCCCGGAGGGGTCAAGGATGCTGCCCTTAGGAATGATGGCGTGCACAGGTTTCAGGCAACCCTAGCAACAGGCAATGCTCAGATAGTAAAATCAATGGTGGAAAATCCTAGCAACAGTGTTCACATAACAACATGAATTTAGGGAATCTTAGAAAAAAAGACCGCCTCCACGGTGTAGTGGTTAGAGCATCCGCCCAGAGAGCGGAAGGTCGCGGGTTTGATCCCCGGCCGCGTCATACCAAAAGACGTTAAAAATATGGTGCTTGTTGGTCCTTGCCTGGCGCTCAGGATTAATGGGTACAACAAGGACTGGTCAGCTTGGAGTCAGTATAATGTGTCTGAGTGGGGTATTCATGCTTCACTGCGGCATGGTATCTCAGTGGGCTAGCACTATAAAACCAGCTTCAGTCTGGGCTAGTACAAGCAGCCGCACATACACATACACACGCATGCACGTCCTCATATGAGCGAAATATTCTCAAGCACGACGTTAAACCCAATTTCACCTCACCTCACCTTAGAAAAAGAACAGTGTTAACAAAACAAGATAAATGTAGGGAATCCTAGCAACATAACATGAATGTGGTGAACCTTAGTAACAGTGTTTACATATTAACAAGAAGGAATGAGACACTACCAACAGTATTCACACAGCAGCATGAATGAAGGTATCCATAGTAACTCACTATGTTGCCATGGCTACATAAATACCTATAACCTGATCAAGCTGCCCTTACTTTTTAGAGTTAGGAAAACTTTCCAAAAACTGTCAAAAATATATAAGGGTCACCATCCAGAAACACTATCAGAACTACATTTATTAATATTGTCGTGTACCTGATTCAAAGGCACATCATGTCCGACCATACATCGTAGACAGTAGATAAGTCCTGACAGAGTTACTGCCCTTGGTGCATTGCAGTTCCCATGCACTTCGAAAGCTGTTCCTGAGAAGTCAAACACTGCTGTACCCTGGATCACAGACAAATGAATGGTATCTACCATATAATATCAACAAACTTGGCATGTTGTATGACAGGCAGCAATATAAGTTTTATAACCCAGTTATATCACATCCACCAGAACTACCTGCGAGTGAGTTTAGTTTAACGCCGCACTCAGCAATATTCCAGCTATATGGCGGCAGTGTGTAAATAATCAAGTGTGGACCAGACAATCCAGTGATCAACAGTATGAGCATCGATTTACGCAACTGGGATACAATGTCGACCAAGTCAGCGAGCCTCACCACCTGATCCTGTTAGTCGCCTCTTACAACAAGCATGGGTTGCTGAAGACCAATTCTAAACCGATCTTCACGGGTCTAGAACTACCTTTATATAACCGAGTTATATCACATCCACACGTAAATAATTCAGTTACATCACTGCTATCTGTGAATAACACAGTTACAATACACCTACCTGTAAATAATTTGGTCCAATCATATCTACCTGTAAATACTTAAGTTTTGTCACAACTACCTGTAAATGATTCAGTTATACAGCTACCTGTAAATAATTCATTCCTATCACATCTACCTGATACTTTTATCAAAGCTACCTGTACATGGTCCAGTCAGTAAACCAGTGTTAATGTAAGACTCTAGGATATAGATAAGGGACGCAGGACCAACAGGATCCCCATATCACTTGAATTTCCATCAATACCATCTGTTGACACATCTTACCCAGTTGTTTCAGGTTTTTTGAAAGATATTTCAGTTATATCACATTTCTGCCTATGGCTGGAGGAAGGCCTAAGTGACCACTGTCATAAACTTTGTTGACAAATGGCAAGTCTTTACTGTGCCAGATAGTGAGGCTAAGTAGTAGTGTCCGCAGTTATCTCCCCTACCTCCTGTTCATCTATGTCGACTGTCAGGGCTATCTTGCTGCCATCATCCATGAAGTCACATGCATGAAGCTTTGTGGTGCCTGTCCTCGCCCTTGTGTCCTTCGCGATCTGTCTCAGCATGTCACCCACAGCAACCTCTGCATTGTTCTACAACAAAAGCATTGAACACATATTACTGATTTTACATCCTGAACAAATTTCAGAAAGTTCTATCGATTTTTCGATGAAAGTTCTCCAAGTTTAACACATTTTTTACATCTTACATGATTCTAGTTATCATGTTTATATGAACAGGAACCAAAAAAAGTATACAAGTTATTTTGTATATTATGTTGTTATTTTTGTTCTGTATAACAAGATTTGGCTGTAAATAGTTGTCAAGTAAGTTGTAGTTCACCTGTATATGGGCCATGTAGGCCTGAACCACATTCAGACCATACTCATCTATCAGCTCGGATATCAGTTTGATGCCCTGAAACATGGGAGGAAGACATGAGATGAGGTGATGCCAGGTGAGGTGAGGTAAGCTTGGCTGGGGTGAGGTGAGGTGGGCTGGGGTGAGGATAGATCGGCTGGGGTGAGGCAAGATCATCTAGGGTGAGGTAAGATAAGCGAGGGTGAGGTTGTGTGCAGAGAAGGTATGTAGGGTGGAGTGGGTTGGGTTGAAGAAGGTAGGACAGACTGAGGTGAGGTGAGGTGGGATAGGCTGAGGTGAGGTGAGGTGAGGTGGGATAGGCTGAGGTGAGGTGAGGTGAGGTGAGGTGAGGTGAGGTGAGTGGCTGGGTGTACTAATCCAGATTATTGCTGGTTTTGTAGAGCTAGCACACTGAGACACCATGCTGAGTTTCCTTAACATGGTGATAGTAACGGCATTCAACAGGATAGGTTATTCTCCTACCCTCTGATTGGCTGCAATCTGGGCATGCAGATCACTGAGGTTGTCGGCGAGGTTGCGAGAGCCGCTGCTTCCAGGAATCTTCCCAGGGTCCATGAACTTCTCAGTCAGAGCTGTTGAGTATTTGGGGAAGAGTGAGTGAGTGAGTTGAGATCAACATTGCTGTGTTCAGTATTTCAGTATCACAGTGTGTCATTACACAAGATTATGTAATTTTTAGAGTAAAATTGATATTTTATACTTATCCTGACTCATGCTCTTTTGCTTGTCTCCTTCCTCTTGCGAACATAGTGGAAACACTTGTATCTCCCTAATTGAAGTTCCCTTCAATGTAAAATCACTAATTAGCATTCACCACGAGTTACCTCCCTTCCACAAGCTCGGGAACGAGGGCGCCACCTCTACCCATGTGCCTCACTCTCTCCTCATATACTGAGCCCAACATTTGAATTTACAGGAAATCCAAAAGTGTTATGTGGGAGGATGGGAGGAATGACCTCATGAGTCAGGATAAGTATAAAATATCAATTTTACTCTAAAATTACATATTTTTCCTTATCCTGACTCATGCTCTTTTGCTTGTAGAACTGAATGGAAAGGAGGTGGGAATATATATATATTTTGGATTTTTCTATAATTAGTGATTTGAACTGTGATGATTGTAATAACCCTATGGGAACTTCATAAAGGCACTGAATTGATGAATTCCTGCTGCTAACTTATCAGCTGCCATATAAAGGTTATTACAATGTACTTATTATGATAAAGTATTTATAACATTAATACAATGCTTAAGACTAATAGACTTAAGCTTGTTAATATGCTAGTATAAACTCCTTAGAGTTTGTTAGCTAAAATACTTTAAGATATAAACATAGTACTAAGCTTAAGATATGATTAAACTTAAGCTAATTAAAATAGCAAACTCTTTAGAGTTTGTTAGTTAATATACTTATATGATATAGATATAATGCTGAGCTTAAGATATGAATAAGCTTTTAGCTACATATATAATAGCAAAACTCTGTAGAGTTTGTTAGCTAATATATTTTACAATATGAGTATAGTACTGTGCTAAAGATATAATTAACTTAAGCTACATATATAATAGCAAAACTCTGTAGAGATTGTTAGCTAATATATTTTTACAATATGAGTATAGTACTATGCTTAAGATATAATTAACTTAAGCTACATATATAATAATAGCAAAACTCTGTAGAGTTTGTTAACTAATATATTTTTACAATATGAGTATAGTACTGTGCTTAAGATATAATTAACTTAAGCTACATATATAATAGCAAAACTCTGTAGAGTTTGTTAGTTAATATATTGTTACAATATGAGTATAGTACTGTGCTTAAGATATAATTAACTTAAGCTACATATATAATAGCAAAACTCCGTAGAGTTTGTTAGCTAATATATTTTATAATATGAGTATAGTACTGTGCTTAAGATATAATTATCTTGCTACATGTACAATAGCCAAAAACTCTGTAGAGTTTATTAGCTAATAGATTTATAATGTAACCCTAGTACTAAGCTTAAGATAAGATTAGACTTAAGCTAAATGTATATAGCAAAAAAAAAAAACTCCTTAGAGTTTATTAACTAATATACTTTTATGTTATAAACATAGTACTGAGCTTAAGATATGATTAAACTTAAGCTATATATATATAATAGCAAAACTCCTGTCGAAGTTTTGTTAGCTAATACATTTTATAATGTAAACATACTGCTTAAGATATGATGAAACTTAAGCTAATTGTATAATAGCAAAACAAAACCCTTTAGAGTTTGTTAGCTAAAATACTTATATGATATAAACCTAGTATTGAGCTTATGAAGGAAACTTTTAAGCTACATATATAATAGCAAAACCCCGTGAGAGTTTGTTAGCTAATACATGTTATAATGTAACCATAAAGCTTAAAATATGATGAAAACTTAAGCCAAATATATAATAGCAAAACCCTTTTTAGAGTTTTGATAGCTAATATACCTATATAAGATAAACATAGTACCATGCTTTAAGATATGAATAAGCTTGGTTACATATATAATAGCAAAACTCTGTAGAGTTGGTTAGCTAATACATGTTATAAAATAGCCATATTGCTTAGAATATGATGACACTTAAACTCCAATAGCAAAAACTTTTTAGAGTTTGTTAGCTAATATACTTATATGGTATAACATAGTACTCAAGCTTAAGATATGAATAAGCTTAAGCTACCTATATAATAGCAAAACTCCGTAGAGTTTGTTAGCTTAATATATATTTTTATAATATGAGTATAGTACTATGCTTAAGGTATAATTAACTTAAGTACGATATAATAGCCAAAACTCTGTAAAGTTTGTTAGCTAATGCATTTATCATGTTACCATAGTACTACTCTTAAGATATGATTAACTTAAGGTAAATATACAATAACAAACTCTGTAGAGTTGTTAACATATATATTGTATGATGTAATAATCATAGTACTGTGATGATAAAAGGAACTTAAGCAAAATAGCATGTAGCTATTTAGTACTTGTTATAAGATAAGTAGAAAACTGTAAAATTGACTTATCTTCTCCGAGGAACTGTCAATTGTTGTGCGAGGACCATGGGATCAATTGGTGGATACCTGAGACGCCCTCAGTGGTGATATCTCTCAGATAATGGTTGGCAACCACCATATCGATCTCCAGAAATAAACCCTCCATTATTCCAAATAACATTAGTGCAGATCAATTGTAGAAGTTAACGCTCTAATATCATGAGTATTAAAGCTCATGGAGGGTCGGATTGGGTCCATCCGTCTTGTATGCACATAGTATGACAGTTCTGATCCAAACGGAGATATAGTACGTGAGACTTCATTCTGCCTAAGTTGATGATAGAGGAAATAATCTGTTGCATTTTCCCTTCCTGTTTGGTTCGGTGGGAGATAAATTTACAGTGCTCTTGCTGGCCATCCGTGATAGAATCATCGTATCATGGAGCCCAAGTATGTCATCCAGGCGTGGTCATAAACCTCACTTGTGAGGTGTTGGAGCACTATATTCAGATCCCCAAGTTGGAGTGTGAAACTTCCGCTTTAATTCTCCAATCAGAAAGCTTAAGCAGGTTACCAACCATCTAGTTGTGTTAGTAGCTTGATGATGAAATTCAGCTGTAGTCTGAGACGCTGTGGATTTAGATCCACTTGTATCCCGGTCCGCTCAGGTAATTTCGCTGCTAAGTCCTTGACTACGAGGGTTCACAACCAGGTGTGTCTGTCCTCGTGAACTTTATGAAAATTACCTGACTGCCGTGTCCTCGCCTTAACTTGACAGGGGAGGTCTCTAACCTGAAGAAAGCAGCCTAATCATGAAGGTTCAGGTTAACTGGACTGTAAGGAGGCTTGCTCGCTCACTGATATATAGTTGTCGCTTTCAGACGTAAGTCTTGCACTGTGAACTAAGATCGACCTCACGTAGGGCTGTCCATCAGCGTCCAATCAGAAGAAGGCATTTTGATTCTGTATAATACCCGCATGTGATGTCACCGTGTAGTAGGAAAAAACCTTGTATAAAATCTTGCCAGCCGTTGATATTAGCATAAACGCCGGTCTTCACCGTAGCTTCCGGTTACCCGAGTGACCACGGTTTCGAGGGTTAGTGGTAAACGCCGCTGAAACCTTCGCCAAATACCTCGCCTGTAATATTAATGCTGGGTAGGTTATTTTCCTGGCTGTCGAAAGTAAGTTCAGTTTTGAATATAATTCAACTTCCTTATATAAAGGTACAATAAACTTGCAAGTTGTCAGCTTGTAGACTGTATACATGAATGTATCGCCATAATTGTAGAATTAAAGCTGAACTTGTTGTACATATTTCTTCTTCTCAGAAACGCTGGACGATTATGAGTTATACTCGCTGTAACAAGACTGCTGTTCAATTTCGATATTGAATTGTCTGCAGATATGCGTAATGGTCACGCATGTAGATAATCGTGATCGTCGTCCGGGGATTGCATATTCTAGCAATTTATACGAATAGTTGATTTCTGTGAAGATCTATGAAACGCCGCTGACTAAATAATACAGCCACGCTCTGTGTTGTAAATAGCCTGTGCAATTGTCTTCGCGAGGCTTATAGACGGCATCTGGCATACAGTTGATAGACAACTTATGCGCGCATGTGTTGAATGGACTGACGAAAGTAGCTATATATGACGAGTGGCTAGTATATGGAGACCTTGGAGGAAACTTCCTCGGTGAATGCCGGAGACTTCGCGGAAGCTCAAGGCATCCTTCTAGATTTTCTGGGTGAAGTAGACTTGCAGCCACTTAGCCTTCGCGACCTTCGCTGAAGGTATCGAAGTCAAAGCCCGATTAGTATATATATATATATATATATATATATATATATATATATATATATAGCGCTTTGCTTCGCGAAACGGCCTCTGTGTTAAACAGGATGTGGGGTCGGCGAAGCGCTACTCCTCCGCGATGTCCCTTGTAGCTGGTGAGGCTCTAGCTCCTTCTCGGAGGCGGCCTGGGACTTGCTGGTTGTGCATAAGTAGGGCCGAGTGGATCATCTTATCTTCAGAAGTCGTGTTACTGTAAGTCTGGTGATAAGTGTCTTATTGATCGCTCTAGATCTATTTAGGCCAGAGAACATACGCCTCGGCCATGGATTCAACTGGAACCAATTCTACGCATTGTAGTTCTTATTCTTGATATCGATGATCAACTTGTCTATGGGTTGATCTTCTCGGAGACTTGTGAGGAGAACGTTGATAGCTTCGCGAAGCTCTTGTGTAGTCCCTCGATGTCCTTCTAGATGATGATGATCTGGATTCAGGTGTCCTTCGCTAATGCCTTCGCTGAAGCTTCAAGGCTCGTCCGGTCCGGGAACGACAATATGACCTTCGGCTAAGGCTTCCGTGATGTCTGATGGTCCTAATCCACATCTAGGGATGAAACCGAAGAAGGCGATGATTTATCGCCTTTCGCGAAGTCGCTGAAGGCTGTACATCTAGGTCCCGCCTTCGCCATAAGTCCTTTTCGCGAAGGCTGTACATCTAGGTCCTTCATCAAGGTGGTCCGTGGACTTCCTTCGCTAAGGTGACATCGCCCTGGCTGCTACGCTGGACGGGGTGCCTCTGGGTGCTGTCTACGCTGGAGCCTTCGCTAAGGATCGGTCCCTGCTACTGCAGTCTGTAGCGGTCCTCCATCATGGTCATAATTTGCCGCGATGAGGTCCTCAGGGATGGTTTGGCGGCAGGTCGCCGGTGCCTTATCTGCGGTGTTAATGGAGGGTCCACAGGAAAATCGTCCGACATCAGTGTAGAGGCATCAGGCTGCATGGTGATCTCTCTCTGCTGATGTCATTGTAGCTGTCACCGGTCGCTTCTTGTGGCGTGATCGCCGGGGATGATGATCGGCTGCTCATCGAGAGGTCCAGGTCATCGGCTGGAACAATCTCGCTTGAGAAAGTCCTAGTAGACTTCGCTGATTTCCCCTCAGAGGTCGATGCTGCCCTGGGTGTGCGCGACGCCTGCGCTGGAGTGTTGGTAGCGATGGGACCCTCAGGAAGATCATCATCAATATCAGCGATGGTACATCAGGCTGCATGCTGATCTGCGCTGACATCACTGTTGCCGACATCGGTCATTCTTTTGATGTACATCAGGTATGATGATCGGCTGATCATCATACTCGGCTGTTGAGATGTAGTAGAAAACCCTCTAGTCTTCGGCTGCGACGATGGGATGTCTGGGGAAGCAGGACGCTTCTTGGAGATGGCGGACTACGTCCCACGCCTCTCCACCACTCTAGCGGAACACCACACGGGGGTCGGCCAACAGCAGTAGACTGGCGAGGGGTTCAGGTGTATCAGTCATACTAGACTCTGCATACGTGACCTATCTGCTGCGCGTCTCAAACGCAAAGTAAATATTAATAAAGGGTAGAATTGGATAAATTAGTACCGCAACTGCAACGTGAATAAAATGAACATGGCTCAATACAACTAAGGCGGATCAGCAGCAGAATAAAAAACGTAATCTGCAATAGTACAGAATTTTTATCAACGTAATACACTGAAACAAACACGGCGTCCCGTGAATAAACTGTAGAAAAACGATTAAATATCAATATATAATCGTTGAAGGATACTAGCTAAACCTCTATAGATGTCTATACGAGGTAACTAACTAAATATAAATCAAAGGATATAGTGTCGGGAGACACAGGCGCTCTCACGTCCAGCTCACTGGGCTGCGAAGGAGAGAGTGAGGCACATGGGTAGAGGTGGCGCCCTCGTTCCCGCGCTTGTGGAAGGGAGGTAACTCGTGGTGAATGCTAATTAGTGATTTTACATTGAAGGGAACTTCAATTAGGGAGATACAAGTGTTTCCACTATGTTCGCAAGAGGAAGGAGACAAGCAAAAGAGCATGAGTCAGGATAAGGAAAAATAAGTAATATTAGCATCGGTAACTAAACCAAATGGCATAACATATTGAAACCATTTTGGGAACCAAACCTGGGTATTGTTATGATGAGCCAACACTTTATCTATTTGGCTACCCCTTGAATTATATGACACGTGTGACTCACCTTCCTCCATGAAAACTCCCTCCTCGACCACTTTGAAAGACATGAACACTGCTCCTTCCTCCTCTATAGACTTGGAGTTAGCGGGCATGGAGCCCGGAGTTATCCCCCCTATATCAGCATGGTGACCTCGACTTGCCACAAAGAACACTGGCCTCTTCTCTCCTTCATAAAATACCTAATCAATAAAACAAACTCATTACCATATACACTAACCCCTCATTAGTACAAAAACTGTTCATACAAACGCTTCATCTACCCGACACTTACATATACGCTAAGGGACATTACTTTCTAGAATAACCTAAACATAGCTAAAGACAATTTGAGAATTGAATCCTGTCTGTTAGATGAAGCCATGAGACACAACATGCCGTTCCTTATAGTGGTGGTCCGATTAATTGAAATAATCCAAGATTGGTCGTAGTGACTAAACGACCAAGCAATCGATCACAATTTCTCATAATCGAACACAAACAATTCTGGAACACTTGTTTTCATTAACAATAGTTTTCATATGGTTGGTTTTGTCTGTTACATTTCGTAAGCACTACAAGCTTGTTTCAAGTCACGATTGAATTTATCTTAAAGATTCCAAGAAATTTATGTTCCTAACATACTAGTCATCCTTTAAAGATGTGAAATTTTGCCCAAAACCCCAAAAGAACTACTTGTTTTTTACCTTATTTTAGGTGCATTAACAAATTTCATAAATGATGCCAACCAATTATTTTCGATGATTGATCGGTAGTAATGAACCAATCATCAATTATAGTTCCTTACCGAGTGATGACAGTGAGGTCAGGAAGATGGCTGCCTCCAGCTGAAGGATGGTTGCTCAGGATCACGTCTCCCTTCAGGAAGTTGTCACCTAACTGTCTCATCTGAAATCATAGGACACATGTAAAGAAAAGAAAACCTAGATGTCCAGCATATGTTTCAATACAACAAAATTGCGTGAATACTTCCTAATCTAAGGCTACAGAATGGCCAAAAGCAGAAATATGCAAAGAGGATTATTATACTTTATTACGCTTTTCAAATTCAAAATGATGACAGAGTAACAGAATCAAATTTATTAATTCTGACTGTTAATAGACAAGGTGTACACTGACTCACCTGATACTGTACAGTCTCCTGCATGGCCCCAAGGTTTACACTGACTCACCTGATACTGTACAGACTCACCTGATGCTGTACAGTCTCCTGCATGGCCCCAAGGTGTACACTGACTCACCTGATACTGTACACTGACTCACCTGATACTGTACAGTCTCCTGCATGGCCCCCAGGTGTACACTGACTCACCTGATACTGTACACTGACACTGACTCACCTGATACTGTACACTGACTCACCTGATACTGTACAGTCTCCTGCATGGCCCCCAGGTGTACACTGACTCACCTGATACTGTACACTGACTCACCTGATACTGTACAGGTGTCTGGTGTACACTGACTCACCTGATACTGTACACTGACTCACCTGATACTGTATAGTCCCCTGCATGGCCCCCAGGTGTACACTGACTCACCTGATACTGTACACTGATTCACCCCTGATACTGTACACTGACTCACCTGATACTGTACAGTCTCCTGCATGGCCCCCAGGTGTACACTGACTCACCTGATACTGTACAGTCTCCTGCATGGCCCCCAGGTGTACACTGACTCACCTGATACTGTACAGTCTGACTCACCTGGCCCACTGTACACTGACTCACCTGATACTGTATACTGCATGGCCTGATACTGTACACTGACTCACCTGATACTGTACAGTCTCCTGCATGGCCCCCAGGTGTACAGGGATGTGAGGAGCATTAGCCACGAGTCCACCATCAGGACCAAACATTGCACAGGAGAAATCCAGTCTTTCCTGCAACAACACTTGCACATACAGCAGAGCCAAGAAGTAACAGGAAATATTATGTGAGCCAAAGCGTCATTTCCAAAAACAAAACCGTTTCTCTTGGAAGAATGAAGAATGACTGCGGAAATATGTACATGTCAACTGTAAAGAAAACTCTTATTGAAATGATCAGTAAAATGGAACTTAGTTATCTAATTCTTCATTGAATGAGTCTTGTACAACTGTTTGATGACATAAAGATGTGTACATGCCCAAAGCTACTCACCTTTATGTTGGTTGAGATGGATGTCCTCTGTAAAACTCTGAAACAAAAATATTTGTGATTTACCAACAATGTCTGACACTGCAGTAAATAGACATACAACAGTGATTCTTCAGGGATCCTGTTAATGTGAATGAGTTTGGTTCTGAACTGAATGACAAAACTATTCTTAACACAACAACTAAAACTTACTTATCAATGTACCAGAAGATTAATATTTAAACAGATATATTTCAAGAATGGCGATGAACACGGGAGTTACTACCTGCCCATCTGCTCAGCAATGCTCATAAATCTGTGAGAGAAGATGGACAGTTGTATCGCATCCAGCTCAGTCCCTACAGACTTGTGAAGCCCTTCTCCTATCTGAAACAAACATAACACATATCCTCGGAATACCTTGTGGACATTTGTTAAGACTCCATTCTTAATAGTAGATCATATTTCACAGAATCTAATTTGAACAGCCATCAGGGTTTTACACAAAGCACATTGTGCATCCAGTACACAAAAACTGATAGAATGGAAACAAAAACTATATCTATTGTGTCTCATGGGAGGCAGAACAATGTTCTTTGTTCCAAATTCTTGACAAAACATAAGTGTCCTGTAACTGAGATAACCAAAAACATCTTATTGTTTACACCATTTCATTGCTTTTCGAAGGACCTCATCGGTGTACGGACATTTCTAGGTGTCCTGTGACTGCGAGATATTCAAAAATCTTATTGTTTACAACCAAACTTCATTGTTAAACACTCACTCATATGGAAGGACCCTTGAAATTAAGTATTTTGAATGCTGTGATTTGGTGGATGGTTAACCAATCAAAACCTCGGTTACATTCTGCACCAACCCAGATTAATGGACTTACCACTATCTCAATGTCCCCCTGCCTTGTGATGGAAGCCATGCAGGTGGGCTCGATCAGCACAGTGCTGGAACAATAGGACAGTGTAAGGAACACTGGTATAATGTGTTCAACAGAAGAATAATGTGATGATAAGTAGAACAATATGTTGAACAGTAGGACAATGTCTTAAACAGTAGGACAATGTCTTAAAAGTAGGACAATGTCTTCAACAGTAGGACAATGTCTTAAACAGTAGGACAATGTCTTCAACAAAACGATAATGTGTTGAACAGACTTGACACAGTGTTTAGGTTTTACTGAAGGTTTCACGGATTCTGTGTGTACCTGTTGACATCTGTGATAATTGCTGGTCCCTTGATCACATGACCAGAGGTGATGTCATCCATGTGGTACACTGAGGTGTCATGGAAGCCGTCTTCAAAGAAACACTTGGTCACCTGAAGAAGGAGACATTCATTTTGAGTGAAGAGGATATGCCAAGGAATTGGATATTAAAATGCAGAGATGTCGCATAACTCCACATTCAGCTATAGTGCAGTTACATGATTGGTTTGGAAATACTTGAGTCTGGACCAGACAATCTTGTAAATGATATCGTGATACATTGAAGACCAGTCAGCAAGCCTGACCAACCATTAGGTTGCAGATTACAATTAGCACAGTTGCTGGGGTCAGCCTGTCCCAGCCTTCAGCTGAAGTCACCAATTGTTTGGTATTGGTTGAAATATCTGGTTCAGCTGCAATCCATTAGTGTCATTTTTCAGATTTTCCTATCCAGGTTGTTATTGCAGATATGTATAACATGATGCAACTTGCTACTGTCAAGTATTTCAAAGACTAAAACAGTAGTTCCAAAATCATTTATGTTCGATTATGAGAAAATGTGATCGATTGCTTGGTCGTTTGGTCACTGCGACCAATCTTCGATTATTTCAATTAATCGGAACACCACTAGTCACAACCAGCATAGGGGTGGTGGGGTAGCCTAGTGGTTAAAGTGTTCACTCGTCATGCCAAAGACCCGGGTTCCATTCCCCACATGGGTACAATGTGTGAAACCCATTTCTGGTGTCCCCCGCCGTGATATTGCTGGAATATTGCTAAAAGCAGCGTAAACCCAACTCACTCACTCACTCACAACCAGCAAAGGATGCTCTTCACACATTCTATCCCACGTCCCCACAGGGATCAACTAGCATCATACCCGCCATACATCACAGCAGCATTGTGTTGTTGATCAAATACGTACAACTGCAAATACATTGAAACCCTTCAAATCTCACTGTGTGTGGTCTCTCACCATTCTGGGCTTGGCTTCGCCAGCAGCGACCTTGATGGAGACGTCTGATGCAGCATGTGACTTGCCGACACCTCGAACACGGATGTCATCGACGACGACTGCACGATCCTTCAGGGTGAACCCAAACTCTGTGTTGTACCTGCAGTACATAGACCAGAGTGAGTGAGGGAGTCGGGTTTCAGGGTACGTTTAGTAATATTCCATCATCACATAAGTGGGGACCACTAGAAATGTGGGGAAGCAAACCTCAGTGTTGCTTTTACTACAGGAGTACCAGACTATTTGCCAGTTTGTTATCTGTCTGCTACTCAACATTTTGCAAACATTATGACTGAAAATACAAATTCTATAACAACGACGTCATAATACTGATAAAGGTGGGTTGGTGATAGCTCATAATCAAACTGGATGACTGACTGAGTATGGTTTTATGCTGTTTTTAGCAATATTCCAGCAATATCACGGCGGGGGACACCAGAAATGGGCTTCACAAATTGTACCCATGTGGGGAATCGAACCTGGGCCTTCGGCGTGACGAGCGAACGCTTTAACCACTAGGCTACCCCACCGCCCCCAAACTGGATGAAACCCATGAGGACAAAGTATGACTGACCAAGGAACAAAACCAAGAAAATCTGAACACTTGATCATCAGATCCTGACTGGCAAGGGAGAGAACTCTTCTTCTGTTATTGTAAGTACTAACTTTGGAAAACATGCTGACAGATCAAGGTTCATTATATGAGTGACTTTAACACTATCAGCACATATTGGCAGACATGGGACATTACTCTGTACAACATGTCAATACCTACCTGTTAATGAAAGCTGCCTTGAAGTCTCCATAGCTGCTGGAGTTTGATGTGTCGGGGAAGGCTTCGGCTGAACACATCAGGGCACAGTCGGTCTTCTGGTAGCGGAGATGTAGGAAGGGCTGGGTTTCAATCTGATGACTGAGCAGAAACATGTCGTGAGGGTTTGTAGGTTGCTGGATAAAAGTCAGCTAATTTTCTGCAGAGTTTCTCCTGCAACATCTTATGCATTTTACCACCTCTCTCTCCATCTTGAAAGTAGTCACCTAACCAGCTGATACACAGACAATCTTCCAACATTCATTGTTCTTAAAAAGTCTTTGAAATCCGAGTGAATGGGTGTGAGTGAGTGGGTTAGTGAGTGGGTGGGGTACAAACATTATTTCAGTTAGATCATAGTGTGTCAGCTGACTGTATGCAGTTCTCTGACCTTTTTACCACTATGTTGACATCTATCAGCAAGTTTATTTTTATTATTATAGGATATTTATATAGCGCACATATCCACGCACTAGTGCATGCTCAAGGCGCTGGTATTTTTTCCCTCGATCATTGGATGTCAATCTCAACGGCACATCGCATTATCAATCTCAACTCCCTGGGGAGTATACAACTCTTGCAGCCACTAGGCGCACCGAGTTATTGTGGCTTTCTCATCCTAACGAGGTACCCATTCACAGCTGGGTGGACTGGGACACATAGTCACGTCACAGTACTTTGTCCATTGCTGTACCCGCGACTAGGTGTTTGCACGTATTCATGTGGCCACCATCTGGTCAAATACCAACGGATTCGTGGGTTCTTCTAAGTGCATAGGGTTGTGTACTGTACACTAGGGGTTGTGACAACACTGAAAGAGCCTGCACACAAAGTTGACTCCAAGGTTTTTCCACCTGGTCACAGGTGGGTTGATCCCGACACCTCAACCTCGCTGGATCACTAGCCAGCTCGCCCACCGCGCCCCAAGTTTATGGTGCAGACAAATTAAGAAACATATACAGTAGAACATGGATATAGCGAACACGGACATAGCGTACAAACGGATATAGCGAACAAATTTAAAAGTCCCGTCAACAGTCCTTTATAATATCATTAAAATTATACGCGAATAACGAACTCGCGAGTAGCGAATTAACGGCTATAGCGAACTGATTTACTACCCCCAAGACCCAATTAACGACGTGATTAGCGAACTCACTCAGTGTCAGCTCAGCCACTTAGCGGTACAGTATACATCAATCTTGTTGGCGGTGAATCAACATTGATTGATGGTCATTAATTAATTAACAAAACAAACATATCGTGGTTCAACCCATTCAACAACCGTTTTTCGTTGACGAGGACGGTATCCATTGCCGCGAGTATGATTGGCTGCCTTAGGTCACGGTCTGATTTTGACCAATCACGATCCTTATAGCAGACTGTGGCTAAAAGCCGCCATTAGAAACCAATCTTTATCCAATAAAATCGCTTTTACAACTGTGAAAATACTCGGCGAGGGTACAGTGATATTGTTGATGTTCCAGAGCTGTCGAATCGATACCAGACACCACACGCATTCGCCCGCATGTTATTCATAATGAAGCTTCAAAACGGAGGTATTTCCGTTTTTGTGTCATGTTAACGAACGGAAAGCCTGATTCCATAAAAATGAAAATATAAAAGAATAAGGCACAGGCATGTTATGACATGTCACAAATGGAAAAAAAATCGCTACAGTTTTTGCTTCTTTCGTGGTTTATCTGGACATTATAAATGTAAGCTTCCATTTTCATTAAAAAATAATTTTATTTAAGTTGTAGTTGTATTATTTCAATTTTATTATAAAAATAAACTTCATATTTATCAAAATGATATAGGTAATGTCTGTGAATGTCTCTACAATCCAAGATGGCGGTCAAATGTGAATAATGAACAACAGATATAGCGAACTAAATTTCTTGGTCCCTTGGAGTTCGTTATATCCGTGTTCTACTGTATGTGATAAGACTCACTGTGACAGGTGACAGCTGTTTACACCTAAAAGCAAGTTCCCAGTTGTATTATTTGGCATGTCCAGGCTAGCAAGCAAGACCAAACATAACTGACTGCTTTTAACAAAATGACTTTTGTTCGTAATGTTCCCTTTGCACCTGCACAGGTTTACATTTTTGTCCCCAAAGATGAGTGTCGAGGAATCTGAAGTCCCTTTCCTCACCATGTCTGTGTACTGGACATAAAACAAAGAACACAATTTGCTGTTAATGTTATGTCTATGCACAGACCAATCAAGCATCATCAAGATAACCTACCTCTGAAAACCTTGGCTCTTCAGTTCCTCTCTACATTCATCTGACAGGACTTTAATCCGATCATCAACATACTTGAAAGAAGCTGCAAATAATTTATAATGAAATGTCAGTTAAATTCAAGGGAGATAACAATGAATTTTTCTTAATGCCTCTACATTATCTCGAGCTCTCTTATCATTTCTCATCTCCATACTGTACTTGCCATTAAAACCAGATTACACTTCCAAAATTAATTATTTGACGAAGGACACTTATCAAAACAATACACTCTGGTTTTGGTTTTTAAAATTCGAACAGTATTGACTGAACATAATTCTGCACTAACACTGGCTAACGCAAAGAGGAAGATCATAACATTTTCTATGATGGAAAGGATGTCTTCATATCCAGTTCCTTTATCCCTACCTCATGGTTTGATTTGTCACTAAAATATTAATGAAAATCAAGGGCAGGTAATCTATGACCACAATCATGACAATGGACCTAGACTGCCTGACTGAGTTTGGTTTTACGCCCGCTTTTAGCAATATTCCAGCAACATATTACGGCGGGGGACACCAGAAATGGGCTTCACAATGGATCTAGATGTTAGTGTGGGTTTATGGAAATGGAGGTATGGGGGTGCTGGTACTGACGCCATGTTAAACACCTACCTGAAGTGTACTCCTTGGCACAAGGTTCCTGGGCTTCGTGTACAACATCTGCCAGAGCCATACCATAGGCAGACAGGATGCTGGCATACCTGATGTTGATGGAGGAAGTAAATGAAATAATACACCGGTGCATCGTTAGGCTTCATTTGATTATACAATAAATGATGTTTTTCTACTGCATCAGTACACTTGCTCCTTTACATAAAACTAGTTTAACAACACCCCCAACCTTAAATTCTTTTGCAGTCAAACATCGGAATATGAATTGTGATTAGCATTTCAAGTTTTCTACTACAATAGGCCAGCATGAACATTTGGCTACAGCTACCTTTCCCTATGGAACTGCTCTGGAATAATTATGGTCAAGATCACATGGTTATATGTAACTATGTGCATTGCAATATGTATCATATAGGGACCCAGCGTTACTCACACTAAAACTTTGAATAATTCTTGGAATAGTTCTTGGAGACCATTTCTAACCTGGAATCAGGCGTTTATGTTTGTTGAATGTCTATAACTCACTTGTGTATAAACACTCGGGTCATCCCCAGTGACCGTGCAATGGCGCATGCATGTTGACCACCAGCTCCACCAAAACATGCCAGTAGGTGGCGTGATGTGTCATGACCTTTAGCCTGCAATGTGCATGACATGACTGATATATACACAAATGTACTTCACAAGTTGCAATCTATTTTTGTCAATTCTCTTCATGACACATGCACTCTACAAGTGTTGTGTGTACTAGTGGTGTTCGATTAATTGGAGTGACTAAAATCCATTGGCACATCATAATTTCTCAGAATCAACACAAACAATTCTGGAACACTTGTTTTCATTAACAATATTTTTCACATGGTTGGTTTTGTCTGCTACATTTCGTAAGCACTACAAGCTCGTTTCAAGTCATGATTGAATTTATCTTAAAGATTACAAGAAATTTATGTTCCTTAACATACTAGTCATCCTTTAAAGATGTGAAATTTTGCCCAAAAAACCCAGAAGAACTACATTTTTTCCCCTTATTTTAATGTGCATTAACAAATTTCATAAATGACGCTAACCAATTATTTTCGATGATTGATCGGTGGTAATGAACCAATCATCAATTATGAGATTTTAACCAATTCCCAACACTAGTGTGTACTAACATTTGTACATGGGAACGCCAAAGTGAAATGACATGGCCCATTGGCAAAATGTAGATTAGGAAGGACTAACCAACACACAAATGCACTTTATCACCAAACATGATAAACAGAATCATAGTAAAACCAGTTGTAGATACCTGAGTGACATTAAGCACCAGTGAGACCTCTCTCAGATGTATGTTTACTGCTTGAAGGTGCACTCATGCTGTATGGGGACAACCTGTATGTAATCAAATCTGGACCAGACAATCCAGTGATTGATATTAGGAGCAACGACTCATGCCATCAGCGTATGAGGATAAACCATCAACCAAGTCATTCAAACTGACCCCAAGGATTCATTTGGTCATCTCTTTACATCATCTAAAGTTGCTTTTCCTAACCAGCCTCTTCCTACCGAGAAACCCCTAGGGGTCTCCAACATAAGGAAGAAGTAACTATTAACATACATGCATGGTTTGGCATCCATACTTGTACCGTTCTTTTGGAATGCATTCTCAGGCTTTCATTGTTTTTCAACCACAAATCTACTGCTAATATAACTATTTACTTACAACTTTTGTATAATGCACTTTTCACTTGACGCTAAGTTAAGATTATCAACATGTAATACATTTAGTTATGCAATAGGTGAAGTTAATGCAAAGAGAATGTTAAAACGTTTTAAAATTTACACAGATATCTCACCTCAGTTAGTGCTCTGATTGGTCGACACATGGTTTCATTAGCAACACGAATAAATCCCATAGCAACCTCCTCCACTGTCATAGACTTCTTCTTGGCTTCTCCTGGTTGGGACGACAGGAAGTCATTTACCTGACAATTAAACACAGGATTACTGCTTGTCATCATTTTGTGTTCATAATTACTACCGGGTCGCCTTGGGAACTTCCAGAAATATGTACTCAACATTACGCTTTAATGTGGAAATTTATCTGGACTATTTCAGGGGATATGGTACTGTCCAGATTAACAAGGTTTAACTGTGAATGAATCACAAGGTCATGTGACCACTGAGGGACAGAAACAGGTTTGATTGTTGGTTTGTTGTTTACTGCTGCACTCAGCGGGTCTTCAGCATGACAAGCGAACGCTTTAGCCACGTGCCATTTCCAGGCTATCTAGCAAGACCAAAGACAATTGACAGCTTTTTACAAAACAAGTTTTGCTCGTAATATTCCCTTTGCACCTGCACAGGTTTATATGTGTCGAGGAATCTGAAGTCCCTTTCCTCACCACGTCTGTGTACTGGACATACAAAACAATGAACACAGTTTGCTGTTAATGTTACGTTTATGCACAGACCAATCAAGCATCATCAAGATAACCTACCTCTGAAAACCTTGGCTGTGAGTGAGTGAGTTTCGTTTTATGCCGCACTCAGCAATATTCCAGCTATATGGTGGCGGTCTGTAAATAATCCAGTCTGGACCAGACAATCCAGTGATCAACAGCATAATCATCGATCTACACAAATGGGATACGATGACATGTGTCCACCAAGTCGGTAAGCCTGACCACCCGATCCCTTTAGTCGCCTCTTATGACAAGCATGGGTTGATGAAAACCAATTCTAAACCAGATCTTCATGTGTAGACAGAAACAGGATTTGTTCAAATGTATGTATATATTTAACACTGACTCTAGTGATGGTTTCTGACTAATTGAGTCAGGGTCAGACAATCCAGTGATGCACTGATATACATTACGGACATGTTACAGAGACTGACCACCTGATCCACATTGTCACCTCTTATGGCCATCACAGGTCCCTTATTCTAGCCCCAAATTCTGATAGGTTCAGGGACATGCAGTGAACAATACCTCCTGTGTCAGCTTGGTGAAGGCTTGTAAAGTGGACTGTTTGTCAAGTGGTTGATCTTCTTTCTCTCCGAAAATACTTGGGAAAAACTCAGGCAGGATCCGCCCCAGACACAGATTGGCATCAGTGATAGTCAGGGGACCCCCTGTAATGTTTAGGTACTCGTTATGGAACAACCCAAACAGGCAAGGCTAAATACGTATAGATTATAGAGGTCTAATGCTGTCCCCACACTGCCCATTGATGGAATAGCTGGGGTGACTATCAGGGGTGGTTATTGGAATAGCCAGGACGGATAGTACTGTATTGCATACTGTAATAATTAATATCAGGCAGATTTACTCAAAAGGTACTTGTTGGGAATGTGATAAAGTGTTAAGATGTCACACTTGATAACAGCAGCATACGTACTTATTAAGAAGATACGTCATGAGTTTGCCCTTGAATAAATCATGGATGGAGAGTTTTAGAATTCAGTCGGTAGAGTGTTAAACAAAGTGGGCTCTCCAACAACCAAACGCTGATGACAACAAGACTATCAGTGATCTACTCCTACAACCACTCATCCTGATCTAAGTCTGACCTTTCTTGTAGCACACGGGTCCTGGATGAGCTCCAGCAGACTCAGGTCCCACCACGAACATCCCGGACCGGAAAAACAACATGGAGCCTCCACCGGCTGCCACAGTGTTGATGTCCAGCTGGAGACAACAGTGGAGTGAGTGAGTGAGTGATGGAGTCAGTGAGTGGATGGGTGGATGGGTGAGTGAGTGAGTAGGGGAGGGAGATGGAGGAGGCCCCACTCAGGTGTTGGGTTCAACCCACTTTTAGCCTTATTCTTGCACAGTGGCAACAACCAAGAAGGGACTTCATCTATTTCATTGTTGGGGGATGCAATACAAACCGAGTATTTTGAAATGCTAAGACACTTTTATAACTACCCTTAAACCAAAATTCTTTTTTCCAATTTGAATAGAGTTGACTTTTTTCAAATTTTCATTTGGATTTTAATGTCTTGAAAGAAAGTGAGTCAAACCAAGATGTGAGCGAGTTGAAGAGTGTTATGGAGGAAATGTCATAAGTTCATTTGGGCATCATGAGCCATGAACTTGACACTTTCACTGTTCAGGACAATTTTCAATCATCAAGATGAAGGTTAATTTTAATTTCATTTTACATTTTCTTCTGACATCTACACTGACACATACTTACATCATTTTTAATAAATGCAAGAAATCAAGATTTTACAGACATGTGTCAAAAGTAATCATGATGTAATGAAATATATTCCTGTAACACATTACACCCTATAAACAAACATACAATGAAATTACACAGCCAAGAAAACTAACGTTTCGGATGTTTGTAATTAAATTAATTTCTAAATATTTCCTGATGTATGGAATAAACAACCTACTTGTGGAGCTTGGATGGTGACGCCAGCAGTGGTGGTTTCAAACACATGTTCGAACTGTCCCGCATAGCGACTCACATCAGTGGATGTCCCTACAAACACAAAACATCTTCAGTACTCTCTGTAAAATCTAATTTTCAGATCTTCGGATCTAAGGCTATATTTTGTCTTTCCAGATAGTCATAAATTGGAGAATTATTCACATCAAGCGACCATCATAACCATCCAATCCCCATTAACCTCATCTTATAATAAACAGAAATCCAGCTGACCAGTATACAAACTTGTATTAATATCAAGATAAACTCCATTCAATTATAGTTCACATGACAGAGTTACCTCCCATGTCGAATCCTATGACAGCCCTGCCTGTCTCTGCACTGTAGGAGGTGAGAGCGTAGCCTACCACTCCGCCAGCTGGACCCGATAAGATGGCCCTGGACCCGTTAAACCTGGCACAAGGTACAGAAAACACAGGTATATAGCATCACTGAGCAGAAACCTTTCTCTGTTTAAAGTTATAGTCTAACACTAAGTTCTACAAAATATAATGAAACAAATTCAACATTAGCAAGGTTGAAATTTTAATTTTGACGACAATATTTATTAGTAATACAAGCCTAAAATGATAAGACTTTATACAGCACATATCTTCAGTGTCAAAAACATTATTATGAACAGTACTTGAATACTTTGCTGTTACAGGGAAAAGAACAAACAATACTTTTAGAATATGAATTTTGAAAAGATTTTTAAAAAACATACTTTTGAACTGGTGTTAAACCTCCATCAGACTGCATGAAAAGGACTTTGGTGTTCTGAAACAAAATTGAACTATATATTTGCAATTGACAAAAATTGTTAGAATATTTTAAAATAAAATGTCAAAAGTGGTTTGTTTGCAGGTTGAGAGTTTTTGTTTGGCTGTTACTGTTGATAATTCTGTTAGGTGATTGTTTGGAAACAACTGTGGTTTGTGAAAGTATAATGAACTCCCATAGCAACCTACACTGTATATTCATCTCTTAAACCTTGCACATTGTCTGCTCCAGAGGTTTGGTTGTTTCTTTGTTTGTACCTTAACCCTGCACTCCGGAATATTCTGTGGGGCAGTGGGTTGTTGGGTCTCTGTGGGGCAGTGGTTTGTTGGGTGGGGCTGGTCGGAGTGGGTTGTTGGGTCTGTGGGTAGTGAGTGGGTTGCTGGGTCTCTGTGGGGCAGTGGGTTGCTGGGTCTGTGGGGCAGTGGGTTGCTGGGTCTGTGTGGGGCAGTGGGTTGCTGGGTCTCTGTGGGGCAGTGGGTTGTTGGGTCTCTGTGGGGCAGTGGGTTGCTGGGTCTGTGTGGGGCAGTGGGTTGCTGTTGGGTCTGTGTGGGCAGTGGGTTGGGGTCTCTGTGGGGCAGTGGGTTGCTGGGGGTCTCTGTGGGGCAGTGGGTTGCTGGGTCTGTGGGGCAGTGGGTTGCTAGGTCTCTGCTGTGGGGCAGTGGGCTGCTGGGTCTCTGTGGGGCAGTGGGTTGTGGGGCAGTGGGTCTCTGTGGGGCAGTGGGTTGCTGGGACTCTGTGGGGCAGTGGGTTGCTGGGTCTGTGGGCCAGTGGGCTGTTGGGTCTCTGTGGGGCAGTGGGTTGGCTGGGTCTCTTTGGGGCATGCTGTGGGTTGCTGGGTTTATTTTGAGTAGTGGGTTGGTGGGTCTCTGAGGGTGGGTGGGTTGGTGTGTCTCTGTGGGGCAGTGGGTTGCTGGGACTCTGTGGGGCAGTGGGTTGCTGTGGGGGCAGTGGGTTGCTGGGTCTGTGGGCCAGTGGGCTGTTGGGGTCTCTGTGGGGCAGTGGGTGGCTGCTTTGCTGGGTCTGTGTGATGCTGGGCAGGTTGCTGGGTTTATTTGTGAGTAGTGGGGGTTGGTGGGTCTCTGTGGGGCAGGGGTTGCTGGGTCTGTGTGGGGCAGTGGGTTGCTGGGTCTCTGTGGGGCAGTGGGTTGGGTGGGGGCAGTCTCTGTGGGGCAGTGGGTGGGTGGGGGCAGTCTCTGTTGCTGGGTCTCTGGGGCAGTGGGTTGGGGGTCTCTGAGGGCAGTGGGTTGGTGGGTCTCTGAGGGGGAGTCAGTGGGTTGCTGGGTCTCTGTGGGGCAGTGGGTTGGTGGGTCTCTGTGGGGCTGTGGTGGGGCAGTGGGTTGCTGGGGTCTCTGTGGGGCAGTGGCTTGCTGGGTCTGGGGGCAGTGGGTTGCTGGGTCTCTGTGGGGATGGGGCTAGTGGGTCTCTGAGGGGCTGTGGGTTGCTAGGTCTCTGTGGGGCAGTGGGCTAATGGGTGCGCTGTGGGGCAGTGGGTTGCTAGGGTCTCTGTGGGGCTGTGGGCTAGTGGGTCTCTGCTGGGGTCTCTGTGGGGCATTGGGTTGTTTGGTCTCTGTGGGGCAGTGGGTGGGTGGGTGGTCTCTGTGGGGCAGTGGGTTGGTGGGTCTCTGTGGGGCAGTGGGTCTCTCTGTGGGGGCAGGGGTTGGTGGAGTCTCTGTGGGGCTGGGTGGGCTGTGGGGCAGTGGGTCTCTGAGGGGCAGTGGGTTGCTGCAGGTCTCTGTGGGGCAGTGGGCTAGGAGTCTCTGTGGGTCTCTGAGGGCAGTGGGCTAGTGGGTCTCTGTGGGGCAGTGGGTTGGTGGGTCTCTGTGGGGCAGTGGGTTGGGTGGGTCTCTGTGGGGCAGGGCGGTTGGTGGGTCTCTGTGGGGCAGTGGGTTGCTGGGTCTCTGTGGGGCAGTGGGTTGGGGTCTCTGGGGGCAGTGGCTCTGTGGGGCAGTGGGTTGCTGGGTCTCTGTGGGGCAGTGGGTTGCTGGGTCTCTGTGGGGCAGTGGGTTAGTGGGTGGGTCTCTGTGGGGCAGTGGGCTGCTGGGTCTCTGTGGGGCAGTGGGTTGGGGTGGTCTCTGTGGGGGCAGTGGGTTGGTGGGTCTCTGTGGGGCAGTGGGTTGCTGGGTCTCTGTGGGGCAGTGGGTTGCTGGGTCTCTGTGGGGCAGTGGGTTGCTGGGTCTCTGTGGGGCAGTGGGTTGCTGGGTCTCTGTGGGGCAGTGGGTTGCTGGGTCTCTGTGGGGCAGTGGGTTGCTGGGTCTCTGTGGGGCAGTGGGTTGCTGGGTCTCTGTGGGGCAGTGGGTTGCTGGGTCTCTGTGGGGCAGTGGGTTGGTGGGTCTCTGTGGGGCAGTGGGTTGGTGGGTCTCTGTGGGGCAGTGGGTTGCTAGGTCTCTGTGGGGCAGTGGGTTGGTGGGTCTCTGTGGGGCAGTGGGTTGCTGGGTCTCTGTGGGGCAGTGGGTTGCTGGGTCTCTGTGGGGCAGTGGGTTGGTGGGGTAGTCTCTGTGGGGCTGTGGGCCAGTGGGTCTCTGTGGGGCAGTGGGTTGGTGTGGGTCTCTGGGGCAGCGGCTGGTGTGGGCTAGGGTGGGTCTCTGTGGGGCAGTGGGTTGCTGGATCTCTGTGGGGCAGTGGGTTGGTGGGTCTCTGTGGGGCAGTGGGTTGCTGGGTCTCTTGTGGGGCAGTGGGTTGCTGGGTCTCTGTGGGGCAGTGGGTTGGTGGGTCTCTGTTGGGCAGTGGGTTGGTGGGTCTCTGTGGGGCAGTGGGTTACCTTGTGGTTTAGTATTTGTTCATAATCATATGGTAACACATACACACACCATTCCAATAGAGTTTGTAGCAGCCAGTTCAGGTCTTCCCTAAACAATAGGATCCTGATCCACAAGGCATTGGCTTATTGATAGTTTATTATCGGATTACAAATGTTTTGGGGATCGGAACCCTGGTTTAACTCCCCACATGGCTACCATGTTTGGTGTCTGATGGGGATGGAAATTAACTCAAAAACAAAACAAGCTCACAGGGATAGTGAGAATTATTTTCTGTTAGGCTTGCTAAAAGAACTTATGAAATAAGAAGATTTTCAAATTTCAATATACTTTCAAAAGATAAGACCACTCTGAAAATACAGTTCGAGTGAATTCAGAAAATGCAGACATGATTCATTATGAGAAAGACTTGACAGGTTGCACCAAATGTCTAGCACGGCAATGGGTTGTCAAGTAAAAGATAAATAATTAGGAATATACTGTAATCATATTTATTTTCGCATGGGTTTCTTTTTCGTGCTTTTAACGCAAAAAAATCGTGTGTCAATAATCATACCAAGCGAAATATTCATGGTCAAGTCATAGAGATATCGAAACTGAATTATATATACACCACGAATTGAAACGAAGACAAGAAATGCAGGCAATCAACGATTTGCCCATGTGAACAACATGTGTTCATAAACAACAGACACTACTTTATGATTTCTATGTTTAATTATCATAAGTACCGGTACTAGTATACACTAGCTTTGATCATTGCATATCTATCGGTTGTGAAAACTTTCTGATGGACACCATCACTCAGGTGTTGAAATGCACGGGGAAAAAACTGCACTAACAGGACTTTTGTGAACTTTCTGCGAAAATTGCACCCCATGAAAATATATATACGATTACAGTAAGTGATAAAACTTTACAAGATTAAGCCATCATAATTTTAAATCCCAAAGTAATTTCTACTAGACACGAGCCTATGGTGGATGTTAATTTCCATTCTCATGTCAGTCACTGTTATATAGGAAGAATATTGCTAATAGTGTCATAAATCCACCAGTATTCTTCCCTGGAAACCATAAGGGGCATGAATATGACATGAGCTGTGACATATCAGGTGATCATAAATATATCCTACCTTACAGCCGCCAGTGAAACCCGAGGAGAAGCCGGCGACGTATCTCATGATGCAGGGTGTGAGGTAGGCGTCGCACAGGCTGCGGAGAGACACAGCTGGACATAAGCAGCATCAAGTTTCTGCATCAGTCTTGACACTGTGACATCCATACTGTCACAGATGTACATCTGGAGTGTCACTAACAAACTACAGGGAACTACAGATCATCTTTCCCCAGTCAATAAATGGTTATAGCTAATTTGATATCAGGTTGCTGTCGTGTGATATGAGCAAAACATTGATAGGTCACTTCGTGAGATCAACAGGTTGAGGTTTGCGAACTTACAGACATAACCCTTACCTACAAACATACAATTTTATAATGGATAAAACTCAGAGGTTTTGGTCAAATTTGAGTGAAGCAGAGATCAAGGTTGTAAAACTGGAGGTTTTACCTTGAAGTTTTACTAGTCAGGGTCCCAATCCACAAAGCGTTCTTAGCGCTACGACATTCGTAAGCTTATGACAAACTATAGAGTTACGACAGGTCATAACGTTATGGACGTGTTGTGGACGTGGTCCCTAGTCACTGCTGCCTGAATGTTTTACTACGTCAAGCAAAACCATGGAGGATTGTTGAAACTGACTTAACCTTTCTTTGATGGGCATTTTAGAAGCTGAGTTGATGAAGAATGATGACAATTATTATGGATGTACAATTTCTTTTAATTTACTGTGAAAGGCGACGTGTCGACATAGATTCTAATATCGTTGTCAAGCAAGTGACTTGACAACGACATTATATTCTATGTCGAAACATCGCCTTTCACAATAAAAGAAACTGTATAACCATAAAAATTGTCATCATTCTTCTGACTTAACCTTGAAACATTCTTTTTATTATTGTTCAATACCATCCATAAACATACGTCATGAGGGTCTAAGGAATTGCTAGTAAAATATACCCATCCACGAAGTACAGATAAATACAGTTACAACAATTGAGCAATATGCTTTAGCAATATTCCAGCAATATCACGGACAGGGACCACCAGAAATGGGCTTCACACATTGTACCCATGTTGGGGAACCAAACCCGGGTTTTCGGCGTGACGAAAGCAAACACTTTAACCACTAGGCTCCCCACTGCCCCTCAGTTAAACAAAGTCATAAGGATCACTAAGTATAGTTCCTTGGAACCATTGTACGTCATACATATACTGAGATGTACAGCAAGTGGCGAAACAAGTCATGTCCAAAACAATTATGAACATCCATCATAACTTTATAATGTTTAAGATTGATTCATATTTGTTTGTCGCTTAACTATGCACTCTACCGATATCATTTTATGATAATTTCATCTGGGTATATGAGCAATATCTCACACAATCAGAATCAGTAACATGCTGTCGACAAACCAATCTGGTCACCTCTTATTGCAATTATGGACATTTATAACCCTAACACCTCACGATTATCTGAATGTTATAATGTGTAGTAGTTTGTAGCTTGCTATTGCCTGACTGTTAACCTTGTTCTGTCTGAGATAAGTCAATATATTCACCCTGACGCCTCACGATTATCCGAATGTTATAATGTGTAGTACTTTGTAGCTTGCTATTCCCTGACTGTTAAAGTTGTTCTGTCTGAGATAAGTCAATATATTCACCGGTAAATCCCCGCGGCACCATCCTCACCATCGGCATGACGTCCGAGGACAGAGATACATGGGTGAAACCCATCTCCTTGGCCAGCTGACCAACCTGTCTCTCATGGAGGTCACAGCTGAAGAATATATACAACGCGAGTATAAACATAAATGTCCCGAAGACACAGACTTGAGAGAAACGTGTGTAAGAGTTTGAGGTAAAGCTGCAGTGGATCAGTCATATTAACATGTATGGTCCTGACAAACCGTTAAAAATAACAAGGGGTCATCTGGATCTAAACCTACGATGCATGACTAAAGGAGGCAATACAGTACAGCAAATAGTGGCAACCTGACCAAATAGTAGCAACCTGGCCAACTGGGAAATATATGTCCCACCTGGTCCAAATTATTATTTGGTTTGTTCGTTGTTTAACGCCTCACTCAGGCCAAACGAAAAAAAATGTTGTGGTTCCGATTACACCTCTTTAACATTTAGGGAAGGTAGGTAGGAATTCTTCTCTTTTTTAAACATTTTTTTTAGAAGTAAAGTTTGAACTAATAAAACATTTATCAATGTGTAATTGCTTATTCAATCAAGCTAGCGGCCATCATGTCGACTTTATTTATCAGAATGACCATTGTCCGAAAAAACAATGGTATCTGAAAGCTTTTTTTATGCATAACTCTAAAATATACTAGGGTCAGTACCAGAATTCAAGGGTCGGTCGGAACCACAACTTATTTTTTTAGGCCTCAGCAATATTCCAGTTATATGGTGGCAGTCTGTAAATAATCGAGTCTGGATCAGACAATCCAGTGATCAACAGCATGAGCATCGATCTACGCAACTGGGATACGATGACGTGTGTCAACCAAGTCAGAGTGTCTGACCACCTGATCCCGTAATCACCTTTTTACGACAAGCATGGTTTGCAGAAGACTAATTCTAACCTGGATCTTCTCTGGTCTCTCAAATTATGAGGATAACAGACTACATGTTAAATAGCTGCATGCATGAAAATGTTGACAGTTATTTTAGTTTTATGGAAATGAGGAGAATATTTATTTGTCGGGCAATTTGTCCTGATTTTAAGAAAGAGTTGTCTTTCTTTGCCTCAACTGTGCTCTCAAGTTCAAATTAGCATTCTGCTTATGAAAACAAAATAGAAACACAAAAGACACATGCTTTCATTTTATGATCATATTTTGTTGACAAGTTTGTTCACAGAGGCAATATTTATTTATTCTCTAGCCCACTGAATCACACATCCACCCATCCACTCACTCACCGACTACAGCTACTCACGTGTAGGAGTGCGTGAACACTACGGCCAGACTCTTGATGCCCTTCTTCAGTAGTTCCTGGAGATCAGCCTTAAGTTTGTCCACATTCACCTCCTGCCAGATCTCCAGCTAATCAAGGATAAGTGACATTGAAGGAGAACTGAGTTCTATGGATAGTCAGCTTCTTTATTGCAATGAGCTACACATTTTGGTGTAGGTACTAACACTGTTATCACTTGCTTGATAACAGTGTTAGTACCTACACTAAAACATCGCACTCATTGCAATAAAGAAGTTGACTTGGTTCTCCTTCACCTATACAACTTCTAAAATGCCTTCTCAAAGAAGTTAAGTGACATTGTTATTATCTTTGTTTGATGATTTCAAATCAATTCAAAATCTGCATGTACCAGACAAGGAGATTATCGTTGTGTTCACAATACTCCACATCACAGTAAGGTACATGTTCCCACTTGGTACCCATGTATGAAACCGAACACAGGTTTTGATGTGAAGAGAAAAAAAAATATCCACTAGCCTTCCTCACTGCTACTACTTCAAGTAAATGACGTAACAACATAGCAGAAAATAATATTCAGATATATGATGTCACCATAGGAGTGAGTGAGTTAAAATTTAGAGTCACATCCGCAATATTGCAGCCATATCATGACTATTGTCAGCATAGGAAATGATAACGGACACAATTCCATTATTTGTATTTGACTCTGTCTACCGACCTGTTCACCTGTGGTTCCCATGACCTTCTGACATGACCTGTTGACCTGACACACGTCCTGCTGCAGGACCAGCCTCTCCTCCACCTCCACCACCTCCTCGTACAGCTTGTCGGGCATCACGATTTTCTGAAGTCACATCAATCTCATCTTCACTCTGGACATCACAGTGACACATCATCACAACCAAACTTTCAACTTTCACTGACTTCAATGGTAAGATGATTCCGGAAAACAAGCCAATATCTGATCAAGCCTCTGTAGTCAACATGCTCATCTTCAAATTAAAGATCCAAGCTCATTACTGTGCAGAGAAAAAACATCTTAACATATCCACTGTTTCAAAAAAAGATGCCACCCTGGGAGAAATTCACAATTTATCCATTTTCTGGTGCACATTACTCAATTAAATATGAAAGAAAGCCCTTAGTTTCAGGAGTCCATCTGAAGATTAATCAATATGTCTTCGTCATGTAAATAATTTGTTTCGGTGCCTCGTCAAATACATCCATAAAACTGTATCACTAAAATGATCATCAGTTAAAACTGATTCTAATAATCGAAATGAAGATACAGTCAAATCCCGATGAGTCGAATCTCTGGGGACCAAGTAATACATTCGACTTATCGATGAATTCGAGACATAGGTATGTCTATGAGGGTAGAAAAAAAAACATGATCCAGTCCTAATTCCTCCACCTAAGCATTTGTTTACCTAATGATTTCCCTATCACTAATAGGGGCACCTTATCAGTTCCAGTCTGATAGCACAGACAGTGACTTCCGTAAAATCACTAATCTGCCTTTTGAACTCACCCGTCAATGGCGGAAAGGTGTGAGCTGCGCTGGTTTGTTAATTGGATCAGTTTGCTACACCAATCAACTTCTCATTGACTGACTTCGGCTTATGTATACAAGATTGCTGTTGTTTGAATCTCATGGGACCAAATTTCCTTCTCGAGTCATCGTGTGTATTTATGAGACGAATTCGTGTAACCGGTATTCAAATGATGACAACTATAACAGGGAATGGTCGGGACCGACAGGTACTTCGAGTTATGCATAATATTCGAGACACCGGCATTCGGGCTCATCAGGATTTGACTGTATTACCATTTGATCATTACTTTGTAATTGTAGTTCTGATATGACAATATTTCAATAGCTGCTTTGGATGTTTCTACGATTCTTAGAAAATAACACTGAAGACCACAAGTGAAACTTGTCATCTTGAGATGGTATTTCCTGAAATTTACATGTTAAAGAGGTCATTCTCAACGCTGTCTCAAGTGACAGATAATTTTGATTAAGTAATTTGAGACAAGGCTAGATTGTATGTATATATTCTGCAGTTAATTCTTAAACTTTTACACATAACCACAGACAATATATAATTTACCAGGTCAAATATGTGCGGCCTGGACTGGTTGCCGATATGGAGTAGATCTCTGAAACCCTTGGTGATGACGAGCGCCATCCTCTCTCCCTTCCTCTCCAGCAGGGCGTTGGTTGCCACCGTCGTCCCCATCCGGATCCAGTCTATCAGAGACGTGTCTATCGGGGAATCTGCTGGGCATGGCTTTCCTGTATACTGGAACATATTCATAACGGTAAACAACATTGTTAACCTTTGGTAAAAACAATCAAATGTGTAATTCGATGTGTAATTGTCATCAGACACCTACAGCTGATATAGTGTTCCCCCTAGGCACATTAAGGAGGGCGCTACGCCCTGCCCTTTGATTTTTGCCCTTTTGTTTTTGCCCTGCCCTTTTCGCCTCAATCCCAGTTTTTTTTCCAGCTGAGCTTGATTTTACAACAACCCGTGTGTATTTTCCGGATTTTATTAAGGACAGAGTTCTCTCCCTTTCTAAGGGAGACGCAAAATTGTTTTGATAATGATTAGAAATTGGTATTTAAACCATGGCGAAGTCAAAGGTGTTTAATTCGCTTTACAAATCACAATGCCTACCAAGGAAAGAATCAAAAGGAAAAGAGAAGAAGCAGTGAAGGTTGAAGCAAGGAAGTGTCAGATGTCTGTATCTTTGATTTTTGACACCTGCAGCAATGGTTTTACACTTATGCTCCAGATATGAGCTCTACCCTCATTTTCAGTAAAAGTCCATTTGTCACCATAGAAAGAAACAACATAAGAAACCAGTCATCCGAAATTATCAAAAGGCATGACTTCACCATTAGACTGATTTGTGTAGCAAGTTTCAATTGTTAAGGGGTTCTGCTCACAAAACAGACAATGGACTGGCAGAAGGACAGCACACATTGATCAGTATATCCCTCTTTCATTCCAGCAACGGGGGAGGTGGGGTAGCCTAGTGGTTAAAGCGTTGGCTCACGCTGAAGACCCGGGTTCGATTCCCCACATGGGTACAATGTGTGAAGCCCATTTCTTGTGTCCCCTGCCGTGATATTGCTGGAATATTGCTAAAAGCGGCGTAAAACTAAAACTCAGTCAGTCAGTCATTCCAGCAACGTAACAAAAGGTGTTATCACAAGCACAGATATGTACTGACTGCTTTAAAAGATCCTGATGATCTTAATCGAATATAATGCAGTCCATGTACACTCGTCATATGGAGAAACAAGCATGTCAAAAGTTCAGCTGCCCCCCGCCTGTCAGTTTTAGAGAAGAAAACATTTACAAGGTAAATATCCGCCTTGAAAGACTGCATGAGTATGATCAAAATAAGATCAGAGGTCGATCAGAGAAATGTGTCCTACATTTGATGAATGCTATATTTCTTCTTCATTGAACAAGCAGATTTTACCATAGTTTCCCATTAATGTTCAATACTTTCCAAAACCATAAATTTATCTGAATACAATGTATATGTATGGATTCATATAAAACACATTTTCTAACTGAAATTAATTTGAATGAGTCTTACAATTTCCATCCATCTGTTCATGCAATTTTTTATATAAACAAACCCAGCCTGGTTTGGTCCCTGAGTAGTAGTACAATGTGACATGACTATATTATCAGTATTTCTACATCAAAACACTGGACAGCTGTAGAAACAGCATTTATCCATCCAATTACACTGCTCATTAACCTAGTGATGTTTCACGTTCCATCACATAAGTTACAGCTTGTTTGGGAATTGTGGAAGTGACAGCTGGTTTATTCATAATAATTTTGTGTATACAAAAATGTATAAAGAGAAGACGAAAAATAAATACGTTTTTCCTGGTAGAATTAACCACAGCTGAGTTTTGTGACAGTTCGTGGAGTTACAAAGTAGATACGTTGAGCCCCAACTGTACACAAAGAAGTGATCATATTCAAAGACACCTATATAACCTTAAATGGGCCCCTTCAGATTCATTCACTTTCTGTATCCAGGATAACGCATTCAGCCTACGACTCAAAGAATGACGTGTATATACATTTGGACATATGCGATGTTCTCCAATCTATTAAGTAGATTCATACAAATGCCATACATAAATTTCTCTTAACCAAATGAGCTAAACGTCTATATCGAGATATTTTAACATTCCGGTGCATATCCCTAAACGAGCCTCAATAAGTTTTTGGAGGATAATCACCTCTTCCAGAATGCGCCTGATGCCTTCCCTGGGTGCGTCATCGTAATTGGCGGGGTCCTCCGACAACAACTTCAACACCCGAATCTCATTATTCGGACATCGGGCCCATACGTCGGTGAAGGTGCCCCCACGATCGATGGCAAATTGGAACGGTGACGACATTGACACTTTGTCAGCCATTTTGCCAAGTACTAAGTGTGGTTATCTCCCCTGATTCAGATTCAGATTCAGTGTAAGTAACTGAAACATATGTCACGCGTTCAAAGGCTCCGAGCACGAACTCGGCTGATGAGACATGTTCAACACGTGTCAGGAACGTATTGTGAATGTCAAATAACAATAATGAATGCATAAATATTGTACACACATGTTTGAGAATTTGTTTGCAAGAGAATAGGAATGCAGTGTTCATTACGTATACAGGTATTTTATGTGAATGCATATAACATTAGGAAAGGGATAAAGGATATAAATGTCATTGTTTGATTGGCATTCTAAAGGTTGATGAGTAAATAATCAACCATACAACTTTATGTCACAACCAGGTCCAAAATTAGATTCTCTCAGATGCAATGTCCTGCTTTCTGAAGGTGAAATGATTACATTTATGTAATCTCTAACTTTGTATAAATTTTATTTTTGCCTGCTACGTTTAACCACATTTTTTTCATGTGTTTTTAAAAAAATTCTTTGTTCAAAATTGTAGCATCTGTGCATAATGTTCTGAACAAAACTTTATAAATATGTTTCGACATATCTGTATATATGCAAAACAACTGTTTTGTTCAGTTTAAGTATTAATATACAATAGTTGTATTATTAAATTCATTTGACAGTTCAGATATTGCACGTGGAATTTTCATCATATAGATGATATCTTCGGGTTTGTTCAAAATTACTCACTCAATCAGTTTACTCATTGCAACTTAACAAGATAAGTCAGTCAGAAAGATTGATATAATTTGTGATCAACTATGAAATTAACACATTTACAGTTCCAAGAAAATATCAAAAATGATTTTGTCTCCATTATACACTTTTAGCTGTGTTTGAATTTCCTCCAGTCTGTCTTCCTAGAGTAGATACCTATAGTGCATGGACTTGGTATCACATGTGTTGCCACACCAATTAGACGTTCCTTTTTAAAGTCAAGTCTTTTGTTCGTTTAATTATTAGGAATTGCACAATATGCCTTCAGTTTATAGGGTTCTGGGCAGTGGATGTCATTGCCCTGTATTCCTTATTTTATTTATTAATGCTTTTTGTAATAATATGTAATTAGGTGTATCATTCTGGTCAGATGGGCTGCCCGCCATCATTAATTGAGGTGTGGATTTCAGGGCTGCGGTGAGGGTATGTGACATTAAAAAAAGTGTTATATCAATACTTTGATGTACAAAAAATAATCTGTGAAAAAAATCTTGGGGGCAGTTGGCCCCTTGGGCTACCTACGGCCCTGACGACGATGTAGTTTTTACGTTACTCTTGCTTCTTATGGATGTGGGGTAGCCTTGTAGTTAAGGCGTTCGCTCGTCACACCGAAGACTAAGGTTCGATTCCCCACGTAGGTACAATTTGAAGCCCACATCTTCATATTGCTGGAATATTGCTAAAAGCGGCGTAAAACTAAACTCACTCTCAATGACGTAAGAATCTATCAAAACATCGCCGAATGCGAGATAGATAAACTGTTATCCACCAAGATGTTTTTATCGGTATTATGGTCATAAAGTTCAGAAACGTGTGGGTATTTTATCTGACGTTTCATTGCTTCCTTTGGCAATAACATGCAATGAATGATTGTGACCAACTCACCTACTCCGTTTTTCACCACAACATAACCAACATATAGGGCAACGCAGATATCACGAAAACTGAGCACTATTGACCGTCTACTTTCCCGTGTGTTGTCATTACAGAACAAGTTAACCCGTAATGATCCGGGATAAAATTGGTCTAAAGCAACTCGTGTATGTATGTCGTTAAACGCTTGTGTTTGTCTTGTACCAGTGTATGTATAAGTCAAAAACCCAGCCAGACATCTGGGCTGGTAACTTAAAAAACTTTCCAGCCCAGAAGAGATTTAACCAGTCCTTCTTAAACACCAAATAGACAGTGCCAGTGGATACGTTATTTGAATATTTTTTTCACCCGTCCATCGGGCTGGCTAGCTGTAAAATTACACCGTCGGACGGGCCTTATTTTATACACTGCTTGTACAGACTCAATTATTTTCAGACGACCGTCATATACCGTATAGCTTGAAAACATATATAGCTTAGCAACAAACAAACAAAAGCATGACAAATTAATAATTCAAATAGAAATCTCTCACCATAGCAATTTCTCTAATGCGACACCCTTATTATCGTTAGACTGGCAAATAAGCGTAACAAAAGTCTAGGCAATAGAGTTCTCAAATCTTGTGAAAGATTTTCAGTTTTTGCCGAAAATGTAGTGATTATCATCGTTAGTGCTTCACATGCATCGTGGGACTGCACTACGTTCGTAAGAAAGGTATGATACTTTACGGGTGACAACTTCTTTGTCATAAGATGATGCGACGTTTCGGTGTATAGGTTCTTATACCGTTGTCAAGAGTGAAATGGCTTGCTTGACAACGCTATAACAACACGTACCGAAACGTCGCATCATAGTATTATAAAGAAGTTGTCACCCGTAAAGTATAATACCTTTCTTATTATTCGTTAACTTCTGAAATGCCAATAAACGGTGCACTACGTTCCTTCATAATGCTGCGTTTATACACTAGGCCACGATTATGCCGATCGGACGCGAACTACAATCCGTTTGATTTCATTTGTGACCTATGAATTGCTATCTAATAACTGCAACAAAACCAAATTTGGCACAGTCACATGAAATCGACAGACCAACTCTGATGATTTGTCTCACAATTTTGGACACCCGAATAAATATGTAGTTTAACGAACGATCATTATTTTGTTGACGCTTTTCGCATTTTTATTTTATTTATAAATTTATTTATTTTATTTTATTCTATTTATTTTTTTATTTTATTTTATTTTATTTTATTTTATTTTATTTTATTTTATTTTTATTTATTTATTTATTTTATTTTATTTATTTATTTATTTATTTATTTATTTATTTATTTATTTATTTATTTATTTATTTATTTATTTATTTATTTATTTATTTATTTATTTATTTATTTATTTATTTATTTATTTTTTTTGGGGGCGGGCACCTGCTGGGTGTGCGAGTTGCACGTGTGAAGTTGAAATTTCACTACACATGCTGGTTGATTACCTGGCTTTTCTACACATTTTTACGTTTGGATATCTGATCATATACGCTTCAATGAAGATCTGCTGCGAATATTTGACGATCTGTAGCTAGCGACTTTTTACGATCATCACGGCGATTAAACACGATTGTGACACGATTTTCGGACAGCATGAGTTACTTTGGAGCCCTTTCCTTTCTTCATATTTTACAATGAAAATGACGATAACATAGTGTGATAGGGCTTGCAGTTGGATCACTATGAATTTCCTCTGGCAGCGTGACACAATTTATAGGAAATCACACCAACGCACCAGAACGTGTCGCAGCACACAAGGAAGCGTAAAGAGATGGTGAAACATCGTGGACGTTAATGGTAGTACGGCGTGTTAAAACGTTCATAGAAATGCATTTAATCGTATTAGATCGAGATAGGTTGTGAACAACATGACACAGGGCAGGAGATTTTAATATAATCGAAATAGATTGTAATATATTGTAATAGATCTTTGTAGAATCGCAATAAATCTTGGTAGAATAGTGGGACAATGGGAACTAACATCTGATACTCGTTATTACAATGTATTACGATCATCCGGACACGCCCCATGGCGCTTTTTCACGCTCTTATTCGATTTGTTCCGATGCCCTCACTCTACTATACGTGGTACTTCGTTCTGAAACGATAGCTAAGAAAATCGGCACGATCGTAGCAAAATATTAAACATGTTTAATATTTTAATAGATTAAACATTTTAATAGATTAAAATATTAAACATGTTTAATATTTTGCCAAGATTATAAAGAATTTAATGTTGAATTCATTGGTGAATGTGAACGTCATTTTGCGTGTCTTACACGATTCAAGGTCAATACCAAGCGTAACCTCACTGTGAGTGTATGACAGTCAGCACTCTCCTCCTCATACCCCCTGTCAGCCTCCTGATCCTCTGAAGGAGCACTCTACGCCATTCCTCGTGTAAAGCAATTTCCAATTGGACCAGGTTCTTTTAAGGAAGATCCCTTTGTTGCACACGACGAGCAATGTCCCAGATATGCTCCAAAGGTTAAGGTCGGGGCTCATTCAATCGTGAGATATGTAACTAAGTTCTTTGTGTGCATTTTGGATTACACTTTCTCAGTAAGAACAGTATAACAGTAGGTTAGCATTACCATTTTGAAGATTACTGAAGATCACATATCAACAACTGAATGTATGATTATCACACTTATATTATTACTATTATTACTACATATTGATAAACATATAATAAAACATATTATATATATATATATTAGTTTGCATGTTGTTATTTGAATTATATCTATGGCCCTTTTGACTTTCCCTTGGCCCTGGGGCGGTGTGGTAACCTTGTGGTTAAAGCGTTCGCTCGTCACGCTGAAGACCCGGGTTCGATTCCCCACATGGGTACATTGTGTGAAGCCCGATTCTGGTGTCCCCCGCCGTGATATTGCTGGAATATTGCTAAAAGCGGCGTAAAACCAAACTCACTCACTCTTGCCTAACTGTGAAGATGATGTTGTTATTAGGTGGTTCATGACTGTTCATTCTCCGGCTGCATCTTTGTATTGCTAAAAGCGGCGTAAAACCAAACTCACTCACTCACTCCCTTGGCGCTTTTGACTTTTCCAGTTTTTGCCCTTTTGACCTGTTCCCGATCAGGATATCGAAAAGAAATATTTGAATTTGTCCGAATCGGACTGGAACTGAATGATATTGAAAAATCTTCCAAAATGGAGCAATATCATTTGCAGGGACAGGCCGTGAGTAACATGAGAATGGATATTGGGATTGGGTACAATTGAAGCGTACGTACAATCATAAATCCAAAGAAGGGGAAGTCACTCTAAACGAATGAACGGGCACATGTTCATAACAACATGGCGGGCTTAGAACTTCTGTCTGATCAGGGCTTTCGAATTGATGGGCGTAGACCCCATGAACTACGGAAGATCCAGTGTCGTCTAGGGGTTTTCAAGCAAGCGGACGGTTCAGCGTATATTGAGCAAGGAAACACGAAGGTTCTGGCAACAGTATACGGACCGCATGAGGTAAACCCAGCTTCAGGATCCACGAATACTGTGACAATTGACGTTGTGGTACATGCAAATTATACAAAGCTACTTTTCACAGCGGACTTATCGTTCCTCATACAAACTGTTGAGACAAGTGGAGTGTTATCAAGTTTTGGCGTTCAGATTCCATAGCCAAACATTGACCCTACAATCTCCACAACACTGATTTCACAATGTCCTGTCAAAATAGTGACACTTAATTGTCAACGAATGATTCTTTTCAAATTCTACTTGAAAACTTTTGTAAATAGTTACACATAAGATATGTGATATGTATCTTAAATTTCATATATTAAGCAGAAACCTTCAAATGTGAATGAATAATGTGTTTTTTGAGAGGCATTTTAGAAGTTGTGAAGATGAAGGAAAACTAAGTTCTATTGATAGTCAACTTCTTTATTGCAATGAGTGCAACATTTCGGTGTAGGTACTAACATCATTATCAAGCAAGTGAAAAAAAAGTTCTATGGATAGTCAACTTCTTTATTGCAATGAGTGCAACATTTCGGTGTAGGTACTAACATCATTATCAAGCAAGTGAAAAAAAGTTCTATTGATAATCAACTTCTTTATTGCAATGAGTGCAACATTTCGGTGTAGGTACTAACATCATTATCAAGCAAGTGAAAAAAAGTTCTATGGATAATCAACTTCTTTATTGCAATGAGTGCAACATTTCATGTATACTAACACCGTATCAAGCAAGTGAAAAAAAAGTTCTATGGATAATCAACTTCTTTATTGCAATGAGTGCAACATTTCGGTGTAGGTACTAACATCATTATCAAGCAAGTGAAAAAAAGTTCTATGGATAATCAACTTCTTTATTGCAATGAGTGCAACATTTCGCTGTAGGTACTAACATCATTATCAAGCAAGTGAAAAAAAGTTCTATGGATAATCAACTTCTTTATTGCAATGAGTGCAACATTTCGGTGTAGGTACTAACACCGTTATCAAGCAAGTGAAAACTAAGTTCTATGGATAGTCAACTTCTTTATTGCAATGAGTGCAACATTTCGGTGTAGGTACTAACATCATTATCAAGCAAGTGAAAACTAAGTTCTATGGATAGTCAACTTCTTTATTGCAATGAGTGCGATGTTTCGGTGTAGGTACTAACACTGTTATCAAGCAAGTTATTATCACTTGCTTGATAATGCTGTTAGTACCTACACCGAAATGTTGCACTCATTGCAATAAAGAAGTAGACTGTCCATAGAACTTAGTTTTTCTTCATGAATAATGTGGTCTAGCATGACATGATTATAACAACAAACAAAATCACTATCATATGTTCTATTGCAGATCAGAGGTAGCAGAGGAAGAGCCTTACATGACAAGGTTCTGGTTAACTGTCAGTACAGCATGGCGACATTCAGCACAGGGGAGAGGAAAACACGCCCACGCGGTGACCGCAAGTCTCAAGAGATGACCATGCACCTCAGACAGACCTTTGATGCAGCTATTATGACTAGCCTCTACCCTCGATCACAGATTGATATATTTGTTGAGGTAAGACAACACTATTCCTTTGTTTGGGAATCTGAGTTACCAGAGTCAAAGTTTGCAGTCAAATAATGCAATTTACATTTGTGATTTACAAAGCAGAACAAGCCGAAAAATAAGGTTTTGAATTAAATGTGACAAAAACAAGAAAATAAACAATTAAAAAAAATAATGAGGTATCACCTGATTACAATTTAGAATGGTGTCCTCCCATTACGCAGACAACCAGTTCGCAGACACCTTAAAACAACAACATTTACGGTTCAGTGAACAGATTATCTACTACCTGTTACCTACACATTATAATGGAATAGTCCAAATAAAAACACAGGAACAAACTGAAGCTATATTATTTATTTTGAAAGATGGACGAAAAGACAGTAATTTGAATTTTCATTGCTGCAATATAAAAACAGTTAGTTTTCATAAACATTTCTGTTTAACCTTCTAGTCGGCATCATCATATTGAAAACATTAGCTTAGCTATTAGGAATTGCGACACTGTTGTATCATATAAATCAAATAAAGTGAAATGTGAACCTAAATATTATTCATATGGAATAAAGAAGTTATATGTTTTGCACACAATATTAAGATATATGACGAGTGCACTTAATTACGATTTATTTAGAATAAATATTCAAAATATGACGCATCATGACAATGTGGCTATTACTTCCTTGAATGACCATTGTATACTACTCAAAGACATAAACTGTTACAATCTTTAGAAAGTATCGCTTAAAATTAGAACACTGATTGGTATTATTCAGATCTTACATGGCAATGCAGGTGTCTCATTTACTGCCTAAAATTTGAGAAGAGAAATCATTTATCATTTAATCACAACAAAGTTCTATTTACTCACAATCAAACTTCTCAGTAGCGAACCTGTTTCAGGCTCACCCTGCTCTACTCACTAGACAGCGGACTGTTCCATTGTACTCTTGGTATTACCCTAATTAACCTTCTAGTTTAGTGTCTGTCAACTGGCTGTCTGTCAAATGGGAGATAACCTTTAGAATACATTAATGATGCATATTGTTTTTTTTCAAACTGTTGCTTTGTGTGTTTGTTGTTTAACACCACACTAAGTAACATTCCAGGGTTATGATGGTGCAAACCGAAAGAATTCCTATGAGACTTCTTAAAAGAAAATTGGTTTACAGATTTGAACAAATATGAAAAATAAATGACTTTTGAACACCAAACCAAAGAGGTTACAGTTGGGTATATTTACAAGACAATCGTAACTATCATAGTGGAGATGGTGACATTGCTTTTCACAGAACAATATGATACTACAATTAGCATTTATCAATTATTATTCCCACCTACTCAAGTGGAATTAACACGAGTTCTGTTAAAACTTCAACATATGACATCACACTTGATCTACACTGTTGGCAGGTTCTTCAGTCTGATGGGGGCAACTACTGTGCTAGTGTGAATGCATCCACACTTGCACTAATCGACGCTGGTATTCCAATGAAGGACTATGTATGTGCATGCTCAGCAGGTTTTGTTAACGACTCTCCACTAGTGGACATCAGTTACCTGGAGGAGTCTTCAGGTGGGCCGGAACTGATTGTGGCCACCTTGCCCCAGTCGGAACAGATTGTGTTTCTGGAGATGAACTCCCGGCTACACGAGGACAACCTGAACAAGGTCCTGGACCAGGCCATGAAGGGTTGTAAAGACATCTACCAGGTGCTCAACACTGCTGTCCGGGAGCACGTCAGTACCACCGTCACGTCACTCGGCTGGGAGACTTGACACTGTACTGTACACATTTGTCACATGTTTGTAAATAAATTATATCTGACTTAAACAGTATTTTGTTGTTTTGTGATGCTGGTTATTTTGTTTCAGACCATTGGATGCAGCATTGTTTGCTTGTTGTTTATGCTGTACTTAGCAATTTTCCTGCTATAGTAGTATAAGACTGCTGTCCGTAAATGATCGAGTCTGGACACACAATCCAGTGGTTGATATCACGAGCATCAATTTACGCACGTGTGAGGTGAGGTGAGGTGAAATTAGGTTTAACGTCCTGCTTGAGAATGTTTCGCTCATATGACGACGTGCATGCGTGTGTATGTGTATGTGCAGCTGCTTGTACTAGCCCAGACTTAAGCTGGTTTTATAGTGCTAGCCCACTGAGATACCATGCCGCAGTGAAACATGAATACCCCACTCAGACACATTATACTGACTCCGAGCCGACCAGTCCTTGTTGTATGCATAAATGCCGAGCCCCAGGCAGGGACCAACAAGTACCATATTTTAACGTCTTTTGGTATGACGCGGTCGGGGATCGAACCCGCGACCTTCCGCTCTCCGGGCGGACGCTGTAACCACTACACCACGGAGGCGGTCTACGCAAGTATGACATGATAGCATGTGTGAAACAAGTCCGTGAGACTGACCACCAGACCAGGCCTCTTGAGACAAGCCAGGGAATGTCAACACATGAGAATCACGTTTTGAACACAAGTTCATCTTGTGTCACTAAGCTGGTTTCAATGGCTGCGAAGAACAGTTACTGGATGTCTTTGCAGCCACCTACGATTGACTGTTTTAGTGTGAGAAGTGGGGAAGGTGCTGGAATCTAAAGCACTGTACCAAAATACATGGAATGATGGTAAATGTTCTGCAAATTTGGTGTTGTCTCCTGAAATGAATTGTTCTACCTTGTGATTATGTTTTATTAGAGGTAATAATTGCACAAATATGGGAATAGTCTTATTGTAATGACAATTTTGAATATAAGGCTTGGCTATTATAAACAGGTGGTTTTCAAGGATATTCTTCTTGGGATCGCCAAGGAGGAAATGATTCATATTTAGGTCTAATTTTAGATAGGTTCTACTTTCATACCAAAATTTGAACTCATTTATCATAATTTGAACTTTTTGACAGGAAAAAAATAAAAGTTCTAGTGTTTCACTTTCTGATTGGTAACCCCATGATGTCAAACGTACACATGCAGGTTACTACATATATGTAATAATCTTGAACATGATGTTTGAACCCAAGAACAGATATGTGGAAAAGTAAGGTGTGGGTCAGTGTATTTCTCCTACATACAAGTGGGGGCTGCTTAGTCCAGTGGTTGAAGCATTCTGTTTTGACATATATTGCCCAAGTTTCATTCCACAGTGTTTCAACCGAAGGGAAAGTCCAACGCCTTGAAAGGACCACATTCCAGAAACTTAACATATTATAAAATGGAAATGAGTGAAACAATCTTTAAGTTCTCTCTGTACGTCACCCGAAGGAGACCGCCTCCGTGGTGTAGTGGTTAGAGCGTCCGCCTGGAGAGCTGAAGGTCGCGGGTTCGATCCCCGACCGCGTCATACCAAAAGACGTTAAAATATGGTACTTGTTGGTCCCTGCCTGGCGCTCGGCATTAATGGGTACAACAAGGACTGGTCGGCTCGGAGTCAGTATAATGTGTCTGAGTGGGGTATTCATGCTTCACTGCGGCATGGTATCTCAGTGGGCTAGCACTATAAAACCAGCTTAAGTCTGGGCTAGTACAAGCAGCTGCACATACACATACACACGCATGCACGTCGTCATATGAGCGAAATATTCTCAAGCACGACGTAAAACCCAATTTCACCTCACCTCACCTCACCCTAAGGTATACCTGACCAGGAAAGAAGATGGTAAACACAATGCAAGAAGGATAAGGGTCTGTAAACAAGACATACTCCTATCTACATAGTAAAACATACATATCTGCCCATGCCCCTGTTGACAGCCAGTCCCATATGTAAATGATGTGTAATATGACAATACTTAAGTATGTTTCCTTATTAGGCATACACCATTTCATAATGATGCAGACAAAGCTGAAAAAGCAATTGGCGAAAATGAAGTACACTAACGAGTGGTAATGAAATATGTACGCTGTATCTAAATTACATTATATGAGAATGATTCTTTCCAGGTCCATATCAACTGTTCTTATCCTACTTCAAAGACAGATTGAAAAAAAAATGTTCAAGAATATAACTACGAAATGCTTATGCTGCAGAACTACTGCAGATAATTGATATATACTTGTACCAGTTGTGGAGTGGGTTAGATGGCTGACTTTGTGTCCTGGCGATTAGGTGTCTAAGTCTGATAATGTAGGTTCGAATCCTGGATGATACTCAACCTAACAAAAGTTCTTGAATCGGTACTTTACGGAGAAAGTGCAATCCCAAATATTACTTATGTTACATTTGACCACTTTCTAAATTGGATTGTGTATTTATGCAAAATATTGCCCCAAATTTACCTTGTTACAAGGGGTCTCAGTTGAACTTAGATTCACAATTTTAAACCAACACATCATTCCAACCTCTTGTGGACAGCCAACAACTTAATGATCTAAAGCCAGCGGGATGGACGTCTTCTGTACATGCAATACATTGTATCTGATACATATTCAAGTTTACGTCCATTATGTTCTCCCTACAAATACCCTATTACACACAGCCAACAGCTCAACTCCCTAGAGCCAACGGGATGAAGGTCTTACAAAAGAACTCGACCCCTTCAGCTGTTTTCATGACCTGACCAATTTGAACTGGATGAATGTAATTGAAATTCTTGTGGAACTGTTGTTGCAGCGCACTGCCTTGAGCACGGGTCACATGGCGACCGTCGAGGTAGTAAACGTTCCGTTGGTCTTCAATCCCGCTGATGACCGTGGGGATCGTTATCTCGACAGGCAGGCCGTTTCTTGTCAGAAGATTCGAAAGGAACATGAACTCGAGTTTGTATCTCTGTGGCACGTAGACGATGTCGGATACTTGGGAGATGTAGGTGTCGTCCCTGGCGTGGTTGCGATTGTCACCGAGTCTTCTCTTGAATGCGGTATACATCGTCTTGTTGGTTTGTTCCAGTTCTATCATGGCCTTCATGAATGATCTTGCGTTGATCCTGAAACACGGCACATGAACGAAATATGTTCTAGTGATTCATCCATAATCATATTGTTTGAGTGAGTGAGTGAGTGAGTATGGTTTTACGCCGCTTTTAGCAATATTCCAGCAATATCACGGCGGGGGACACCAGAAATGGGCTTCACACATTGTACCCATGTCGAGAATCTAATCCGGGTCTTCGGCGTGACGAGCCAACGCTTTAACCACTAGGCTACCCCACCGCCCCCATATTGTTTGAAATATACCAATATATTCCTAATACTAAAACAACTACATAACGTATGTTAGTATTTGATGGGTCATGTGACGTGATAAGCTGCAGTACCTCTAAAGATGGGTTAAAATCAATATTAACTAACCACGTAAAGATTCCGGTTTTACAGAAGAAACAAACAGTTCTCACCTAGACTGATACTTGTACCGTGGACTTCTGCTTGTATCTTGAGACACCGGTTTGATGAACCAGATCCTGTCTTGAGGCAGTACTCCGAGCGTCCACACGTGGAGGAGAGTGTCCTCGGATACCAAGAGGTACCCGCCGGCTCCGTAGTTCATCTCCATCGTTTTGATTAAACAATTTTGGGCAAATGTTCCTTTGTGGACGTCAACCTCTACAGTCGTGACCTTTAACGTCGGTGTTTTATAGATCTTATTAAACTTTGCGCCACAGTATACGATGTGTGTGAACTGGAACCCGTACAGAGCTTCGTACGTTCTGACATTGCCATAGTGGCCCGGCTCTTTGAGGACGATAATCAGAACGATGCTACTGAAAGTTGTATGGGTTCCACGGGGTGGCCTGATGTCCAGTCTGGGACAGATCTGGTTAACATTTGCCAAGTAGTGATGCAGAAGCTCACTGGACGCGGTGGCGTCCACTCCAGGTGGAACTTGAACTTCTGGCACAAACTGGACATTGGTCGGGGAAGATTTCCGCCGTTTCCTATGCCGTGTATGTGTGTGTTGCTTCCGTTTGGAATATGGAATCCTTTTAGGCTCCTCATAACCCATTGTTCTCAGATCTTGCAGCCAATGACGAATGATTTCTGCGTCTGCCTTTCTCCAAAACTTCTGTCTTGCCATGTCGTCAGACAACGCTATCACACAGTCGAAGAAAGAGTTTCGGGGATTACAGTTCCAATTTCTGAGAAATTCGAGCAGTTTCTCAGATTTGAAATACATCTCATGCTCCAAGTTAGCATCGGCTAAGTTCGTTTCGTTGTTATGCTCCTGGAAGCTGTTCGGTGGAAAGAAGCCAATGCTGCCCCCCATCTCCCAAAGGAGTCTCTGTGCCCAATATCCCCGCCAGATGTCACTGACGAAGCTTGGTATGGTCGTAGGTATCAGAAGTGCCCAGAAAGCGTTATAGGTAAATAGAGTGTTATAGGAATTGAGCGTTGAAAACACACCACTGGGAACAAACGCAGGTGGCGCTATGACGTCAAAGGTTATGTTCGGGGCTAAATGCTTCCTTGTTCTCGTGAGCTGAACGATTGCGTCCACCTCCGGACTACCGTTAACGAGCCCTTGTTGTATAGATGGAGTCGTCCAGTCGTCGAGGACGTAGCTAAGAGAGGCGTTGTCCCCGACCGAACTGAGGGGGTACCCGCGAGGCCATACAGTAGGCTGTCCAAAGTGATTATAAGGATTGAACATGTTAATGCCACCATAACGCAAGCCGGTCGTGTTTGGCTTGAGGATGAACTCTGTGAGATTGCCAGTTGGTCGGTGGTTGTCGTCAGTCTCGTAAATGACCTTGGCACCGTGGGCGATGGCGTACAGGTAGCCGATGTTCTTCCTGGCGTAGCTGTCCCTGGGCAGATGTGGCGCCGTGCTGAAGCCAAGGAGGGTCTGGTCCTTGGGACCCAGGTACACACATCCCTTGTGTCTGGAACATATACGTATCAATCAAGTCTAAAATGTAGTGCCATGTTTACCACACCGAACCATTTGATTGGCTTCTGTGGCGTTTAGAACGGTACTTCTGTTAACTCGTGTTAACCAATGTTTCAGAAGACAAAAGCAATGTAGTAGTTATATGTTCACCACATAGATGAGCACGAATCTTGTGTTAACAAAGCAGGAATCACAGCGATTTCAAGTCCTACGAGAAAAATGCAATCCTGGAAAGACTGAGTATCCAAAGTATGGCATATGTATTTCTATTCTGTTATGATTGTGTTTTTTACATATATACAAAGGGGTAAAATTTAGCTGTGTACAGTAGTACATGTATAAAGAAATCCACAAAATGGTGACTACACAACAACATACTTACGACCACTGAGACGGAGACTTTCTGTCGCCGACGACTACGACCTTCCAGCCCGGTATTTGTGCCAGAAACTTGACGTTGTCGTTGGGAGCAGCGGTTGCAGTTGTCACTATCCACTTATCGCTGAACTTTCCGTTCAGAATTCTGCCGCTTCAAGAAGAGTGAAAACATTCAGGGAAGCGATAATAGTGACTGAGTTGGCCTTTCGCCGCTTTTAGAAATATTCCATCAATATCACGGCGGAGGACACCAGAAATTGGCTTCACATATTGTGCCATGTGAGGAATCGAACCCGGGTCTTGGGCGTGACGAGCGAACGCTTTAACCACTAGGCTACCCCACCGCCCCCGATAATGAAGTCGACGTCGGATATGAACCTGCATATGCCTTACCATAAAATTCTCGTCTAAAACCTTATGCCGACGTCCTAAAACTATAAGTATGGTAAACTAACATACCGTTTAATTGCAAAAACGAGAGTCGATCAAAAAGTACGTAGACTAACTGTATTCTCGATGTCCAATGTTTGAAAAGCTTCCATTTTATTTTGAAGGAATCTTTAGCAAAGTCATATCCAAAATTTCACAACACATTGGGGTATAATGTTTCTAACAAAACTGCAGAAAATGAAAAACGATCTGTCCTTTGGTACCTCTTGGATAATGGTATGCCCTCAGAGTATATCATATAAAATATGTTCAGTATAGTATTAGATGACTCCCGTCATAATCAACAGTCAAAGATTTGGATTGCTTAATTTATATTTAGTCTAGGGCTGTTTTTTTAAGACACCCCCATTTCAATCTACCTGAAACACCGTGTCCAGATATTCAAGCTGGTACTGTTTGCAATATATGGTGAGCTGACACTTGTGTGACCATTCAGTGTTTAGGTTGAACCCTTGCCATCACGTATGAATAAGTGAAAACATTAGAATAAGTTATGTCCTTATGATTACATCATCTGAAAGGGGATTGGTAGTGTCTCCAAAACAAGCTCTTTCAGTCAACATGAAGGGGGGAGTCACTTTAACAAGCGATTGTAATTTCAAATTGCTTTTTGATGAACTTTAATATCTAAGTGTGATTCTAGGGGACTTCTATCAATCTCAAACACACAAAATATTTCTTGCATATTTTGTTTCCTGAAATTTTTGATGAATATATTGTAGATTTTGCATTTGTTTAGGGTACCAAGATAAAAGGTCAAACAAAATGGGGATTGTGAGACTGGAATATAGCAAAACCAAACTGCTTGAGCTTGACAGATAATATGTCACAAAATAAAACATTAAAATAGCTGCATTTGTATCGTTTTCTTGGTGAAAATACTTTTTGATCGCCCCTCGTACTTTATATGACGGGCACGTGCAGCAGGCACAAGTCTTACATTATCTTGTGCACGTTTCTCAGAAAACTTTGATTAAAAACAATAAAATGTGTCACATTTGTTTTTATACATATATATACAAATATTATGATAATATTACATTTCTTAAGCTTCATGTAACAATGCACAAATGAAAGTGATATCGACAAATTCATCTACAAGATTAATTTGAGAACACTTTTGAGTTCTGAGTTCCACACATGTGAAACATTTTTGAAGAATATCTTTATCTGTGAAGCTAGTGAATTTAGAAATGTATTCACATATTTGTTTGCGTGTTTACAAAGGACAAATGAAAATCTCCCACTTACAAGTCTGAGAGACGGCTCATATCTCCAGTCCTGGTGAGTGGTTGGAAATTCCCGTGACCATAATGTGTAGCAAAGTCGTACAAGGACAGAATCAGGGATCCAAACAAGCTGACAAGGGGAGACATTGTCTGCGACCATCACTCCAACTTCATCCACAGTCTAATGCCTTGTAGGATTATGGTGGCTAGAGTGGCACGCCTTGGCGTTAATCCTTGCTGTCGCTGTGGTAAAACGTTGACACTGTTGGCCGCTGTTGTGGACCCGGAAATGTTAAAATACTCATTGGACAACCTGCTGGTACGGGGCGGCGATGTTAGTGTTTGTTGTTGTAAATATGAGAGATAAAAAAATAATGTGCGTTTCACAGGACTTTTTTTGTCTTTGAAATAATAATGAAAACATTCAAAACTCGGCCTGGTGTGTGATCAAGTCCCTGTATACCTCTCCCCGGGAAGCAAGAGATGTGGCTTATCGCCATCGTGGACAGATGGCGATGTTAGATACAATGTCAATCTATGACTGTGGCGTAACTCTAAAAACTACCACGAACAGGGGGGAAAGATAAAACATTCAGTGCAGAATGGCTATAATATTATCTGTATATGAAATAGTTATAAAATAGCAAAAGGTCAACATACTTTCCAATATTTAATGTGGCTAGCTACAGGTAAGCACGATCCATTGTAGTTATGTTACATGGAGGGGGTCCGATTAAAACTCCCTGTTAAATGGCAATGAAACTCTAAAACCCTAAAAGTTTGCCATATAGACTCTGAAACAAGTATATCAAAGAAAGCCCATGCCTGTCTAGAATGTCATGGCTGTGCAGATTTGTTTAGTCTCTGAAACTGAAGTCTCTGGGCTCTTCTTCATAAAATTGTCAGATCATAATTTCGGCACTGTTTTTTTCTGTTTTGAAAATATGTTCATTGGGGAGACTAGATGTTAGTCTATACCTACCCCTGTGTCGTGTTGCTACACTGTAACGAACACAGCGTTAACTTGGTCGTCGACGACAGGCGTTAGAACACTACATTATTACAATGTAAGGAGTTATAAATCCGACCTTGTAAAAATGATAATGAAATGCCAGTTTTTACAAACGAGCGTTATTTGGAACGTATTTTCTGGCTAGGCTTAAAGCAAAACACACTTTAGTGAATATGTTTTATTTTGTAACATGGTAAACGTGTAATAGCTGGAGTTCTGAAGCAGTGTTCAAGGCTGTCTTGGCAGCTTGTTACCTGTCAGGTAACCTACGGTTGTCTTCCTCATTATACTTCATCGAGGGATCATTTTGTGGTTGTGTCGAACCTCCCATAACTCGAAATATTTACCTAGGTCACTTCAACTTCGACACAACGGTGTTTGTGTGTTACACAATGTGCTGCGGTCAGGATATTCCCCTTTTCCTTACTTATACCGAATAGGGCGACTGGATGGCGCAGTGGTTAGCTTTCGATGGTCACATCGAAGACGCAAGTTCGATTCCCACATGGATTCTGGTGTGGCCCGCCGTGATATTGCTTGAATCTGCGCATGCGTAAAGCCTAACTCACTCCAATACGGCCTTGCATTAGAACTGTTCTAAAACAGCTAATTGTCTCGGGTTATAAAGAAAAGATTTCAAGGCCAGGTAATATGGTGGGACACACTGTCACAATAAGAATAACCAGTTTCTCATCCTTTCCACCCGAGAAGAACGTGGTATGTAGCGACCAATGGAACGGTACCATCCCTTATATATTATATATATAACACATGTTTATACATTCCCGCGCAAGTGAAGTGACGGTAACACTTGAATACAGTCCGTCGAGTTCTGCTTTACCATCACAAGGTAGTCTGTCGTAAGGCCACAGTATCAAACACCATAGTCTCGATTTCACTTTGGAGGGGGACCCGCAGCTCGGGTTCTGATTGGCTGAAATCTGTGCTCGACGTTGGATATCCTTGTGAAGGGCCAACGTCACCACGTCTTCCGTTCCGTCGTCCGTCTGTAACATTGCGTGAATGTTATTATATCAAACAATATACTTATTATATTAAATTGTTTTAAATTGTGAACTATTACAAACGGAATATTACGAAGGTATATGCTAGGTCATATCAGGGTAAAATTTATACAACCCCACAACAGCTAATTTCATAATGATTCATGGTAATATATGGACAATAACAACATCTTCTGTATGGCTGTTTTGGCGAACAACTTGAACATGGGCTAGAAGGTATGTGTAATTTATACTATATGATTGTTGACACTATTGCTGGGTTCAATTCAAAACATTAAATTTCCTCTGTGTTAAAATCTTTTGTTAATAATGCAAACGTCAACCACAAACAGACGAACGAACAGCACATTAGCTCATTTGAAGCTTTAAGAAAGTTTGAAAAACATGCATTACACATGAAAATAGCGACTGCCACAGCCACTACGGCAACTAGGAAGACTGTAGCAAAGACGACGGCGCCTGGGTTGATTTGGAAAACGTCATCGTCAACATCTGAAGAAAGAGTTAACCTAAATGAACGAACATGTAAAGACAAAAACGATGCAGTTTGATGATAATAACAGATAACGTTGCTTCCTTTTTTGTTTCATTATAGAAACTCATTGGAGACAGTGACATGAAAAATAAGAGTTTCAGTTCCTTTAAAACCAGGCTTACATGGCGTACACGACATTTGCGCTTGTGAAGCATGTCAAGGTGGCGTTAAAGACAGTCACCCAGCCAAAATAAAGTGAGTGAGTGAGTATAGTTTTACGCCGCGTTTAGCATTATTCCAGCAATATCACGGCGGGGGACACCAGAAATAGGCTCCACACATTGTACCATCGTGGGCCAAAATAGAAAGGCGGGTAGAAAATAACACATGGCCTATAGGCCTCAGGAACATTTTCACAGTTTCACTTCTGAACTGAACGTATTTTCGATTACGAACAATATATTCCAGTAATAAGGAGTATACTGCCCAGTGCTTTTCATAACCGTGGACATCCACTGTGTTGGCCAATCGAAGTAAAACCCTTAACCTTTCTTTCAAGCAACGCCCCAATTAACAATAATACGCCTGGCTCGCTGACTTAGCTGACATGTGTCATCGTATCGGAACTGCGTTAATAGATGCTCATGATGTCAGTCACGGGATAGTCAGCTTCAGACTCGACCATTCACCGTCTAAACATACATGGGGCGGTGGGGTAGCCTGATGGTTAAAGCGTTCGCTCATCACGCCGAAGGCCCGGGTTCGATTCCCCACATGGGTACAATGTGTGAAGCTCATTTCTGGTGTCCCCCGCCGTGATATTGCTGGAATATTGCTAAAAGCGGCGTAAAACCAAACTCACTCACTCACTCTAAACATACACACACACACACACACACACACACACACACATACATACATACAACACAATATAATACAATGAGCCATTATACTTGTTGGACACAAGTCCTCCGACTCGTCTTCACCATGGTAGCAGTCCCGCTCGCCATTACACACAACGTTGTTCCACATCATCACGGGGTTGCTATGGTGATATGTGATGTCATTGGGTATACATGATATTGTACCCAATTTCTTTCCTCTTATACGGTAGCAGATATCTGAAGATATAAAAATGTCATTACAGTGAAATACTGGGATCGATCGATGTATGGATACGAAGTATACTTTTAGATTAATAGACCTTTAAATGGAAGATACTATGTTCAATGAATTCTAAATTGGAACTGGTCTCCATCAGAGCCATACTGGTTGTAAGCCGCTTGTGACTTGCGCTGAGTGTGTATGTCATCGTGGACTAGTGCTCGTAATATTGATCACTGGTTTGTCTGGCTCGGATTGGGTTATTTACAGGGCGACGTTGTACAACTGGAATAGTGCGGGAGTGGATTTACACAACACACAAGCAAGTAAACAACCACATTTACCCTTCCTCTCGTCGGTGCCGTCGGGGCAGTGTCGGACGCCGTCGCAGAGATACCACAGGGTCTTGCCGTAGTCCAGACTGTACCGGGGGATTTGTGGTCTGATGCACACCCCATCTGAACACAGGAAGCATGGCGAGTCTCGAGGGGGTACTGTAAACGAGAGCATGGGGTATTTAGAGTTTTAGAGTGAGTGAGTGAGTTAGTGTGCATTTACGCCGCTTTTAACAACATTCCAGCAACATCACGGCGGTAGACACCAGAAATGGGCTTCCCACATTGTACCCATGTGGCGAATCGAACCCGGGTCATCGGCGTGACGAGCGAACGCTTTAACCACCAGGCTACCACCGCCCCGAATATTTAGACCACAGGTTAAAAACGAAACAGCTTCTCCAACCAATTCTGTGGGAGTGGTCTAGTGTTTATAGCGTTCGCTCCCTAAAATAAGCCTAAAATAATGAAAGGCTGCAGCATACTTTAATGGCAAAACTGGTCTCCAGCGCTGTCTCTTGCGCTATTAATAATAATACGTTTTGGGGTTTTTCCTATCTTAAACGTACAGATTTATGCCGCTTGCGTTAACCTACACTTTCGATTCAGATATCGCCACGCATCAAATATTACAATGGACATATCCGCCATACAGCTGGAATACTGCTGAGTGCGGTGTCAAACAACCAAACAACCTACAATGAACATACAAAAATGATAAAATGCTGCAGCATACTTTTGTGGCAAAACTCGTCTCTAGCGTTGTCACAATCACGTTTGCCGTCACAGATGGCGTGTCTGTTGACACACTGCAAGGGAGAGCACTCGAACATACTGCTGTTACAAGGAACTGAAATAAACACAGTCATGTTGGAAGGCTTTACAATTTCTTTTCTTTGATGGAGGAGACCAAAACCAAAACATATTCGGGGACCTCGATAAGAAATTCAGCACATAAAAGTTTCCTTTATCAAGTATTTTCTGAAACACATTATTTTCTTTACAAACATCTCATTTGTCTCAGGGAAGTTAAAACAAGGCCTGGAGTTCAGATCAATCTGTTAGGAAAAGAGTCTCTTGTCAACCAGTTCAACGTTTCTGGGAAACCTTCTGGGATTCTTACCATTCTGCATTTCTCAGCCCTGACACACTCCAAAAGGCAAACAAACCTTTCTTACCTCTGACACTCGAGAAAACATTGATATGGAAGACTTCTGGTAGAGATGACATTTTGAAAACAATCCACAGATAATTCTGACGAGACACAATTTCTTCCTGGAAAGATCCATTAGCAAACCGATATGACGTCATTGACGCCTCGTTGATTCTTTTCCCGTCGTTGCCAATGTGAACGTAGTCATGGTAACGGTTTGTCGTCTTGGTATCATGTGGCACGTAACGAATACTCAAAGAAATCTGCGTACCAGGGTCAGAGTTCAATTCTAGGACACAGAACGTGCTTTTCAATGACGTCACTTCCTGCACATCAATCCGCTTAGTCTCACTTCCTATGTAGTAATTTGCCCGCAGACATGGCGTGATTCCTGCAACTGGATAAAGCAAACAATCCTTGAAGGTGATACTATCATGCTGCTGCCAATGGAATTAAGTGAGTGAGTTAGTGAGTTATGAGGGAGCGGCGTAAAATTTAACTCACTCACTCATAACGTAGTCACTGTTTCACCCGTCGAGATAATTCCGTCGCATATATGAAGATTTTAGCATGAGTGCAGCAATCAAATGAAAAATCCATGAAAATTGGTCTTGTGTTTTACTCCAGATGATAGGATTTGTGAAGGAATTTGGAGACGTTTGGAAACCACTAGCCTGTTGATAATTGTTGGATGTAACACAAACTTCAATTACTAAGTTACTGACTCAGACATGCACATGAAGCATGCAAAGTCTATACTTACCATTGTCGTAAGAGGCGACTAACGGGATCGGGTGGTCAGGCTCGCTGCGCGCCGACTTGGTTGACACATGACATCGAATCCCAATTGCGTAGATCGATGCTCATGCTGTTGATCACTGGATTGTGAGGTTCAGACTCGATGCACAGACCGTCGCCATATAGCTGGAATATTGCTGAGTGCGGCGTAAAACTAAACTCACTCACTCACTATACTTACCAGTGTTATCAGTGAGATTCCGGCTCTCGTTTGTAGTTATTAATACAATCACGCAGATGAGGTCTATAACGAAAGACACAAGTGAGTGCATTTAGCGCACTTTCAACAGTACATTGGGAATGTCACGAAATCGTAGCGAATTGACACGGTTATATGCCATTGAAACGTATACTAACAAAATCGTAATGAAGACGAAACAGCAAATGTCAGGCCCTGCAGAAGACACGGCCCTACACAACTCTAAAATCCACTGGACCACTAAATGCCACTTTCTTAGTGGTACTGCCAGTCTGTATTTTATACCCAACAGTTCAGAAATAACTGTTTTTTTAGGTATTGTATAAAGTGTGTTTAGTTTTACACCGCTTTTAGCAATATTCCAGCAATATTACGGCGGGGGGACACCAGAATATGGGCTTCACACATTGTACCCATGTGGGGAATCGAACCAGGGTCTTTGGCGTGAGGAGCGAACGCTTTAACCACTAGGCTACCCCACCGCCCCTAATGTATAAAATACATTGTGCGTAAGATTTGTTTGTTGTTAACCCCGCACTCGTATTGTTTCCAGCCATATGATAAATATTCGAAACTGGATTCGATCCTTACGCCAAGCATTCGTTGCTGAGAACCAGGGCCTAGATTTTCGAAGCTCTCTTAGCGCTAAGATAGTCGTAAGTTAATGTTATTGTATGGCACTTACGACTATCTTAGCGCTAAGAGAGTTTCGAAAATCTAGGCGCAGTTCTAAACAGGCGTCCCGAAGAAGCGGGGTTATGTAGAAGCAGAATAATACTTACGTTTAGCATTTAGTGCCATGCTGATTCTATAGCCCTCGTAACGCCGTCTTGATGTGAGAAGTACACGGGACATCAGTTATCGGATCTGAACTTTATAGCATCTACAGACATAGTGCAGATAACAGCCACATCTACGAACAATAGTCACTGAAGTACACACAGGTGTGATAAAAGCAGGACGGAACAAGACGATCCAATATGAGACTTGTCCAAGGTCAGTTGTTATCTTTCAGTTTGTTACTATAGCAAATACTATAGAACGATTATGATCACAGATTTGAGTGGGGAGCAGTAGAGTGTAGGACTGTTGGAAAATCACAGTTATGCGCAAGTGAGTTTTCACCAACATTTTGGTTTTAGGACATTGTTTTATCACGACTATTTAAATGAACACCATTGAAAAGGGTTCAGCAGGGTCCCCATTAATTAGTGTCATTTGGGTTGTTGTCACACTGTTTTCTATTTTAGGTCACAGTGTCAAACTTTACCATTTTACCATGTTCCTTTGGATGTTTTTGTTTGTTTGTTGTGTAACTCAGCACTTAGCGATATTCCAGCTGTATGGCGGCGGTCTGTAAATAATTGAGTCTGGACCAGATAATCCAGTGATCAACAGCATGAGCATCGATCTTCTCAAATGGGATACGATGACATGTGTCAACCAACTCAGCGAGGATGCCCATTGGTCGCCTCTTAGGACAAGCACAGTCGTTATCTCTTGTCTACAGTGTAGTGAGGGATACGTCTTAACTCGCTATCAACACATATCAGTATGAATTTCAGTCACGTGACATTCTAGTATCTTTGGTCATGACTTTTATGTCTGCTGTTATTGTTTGTGTAGTAGTAGTAGTAGTAGTAGTAGTAGTAATAGTAGTAGTAGTAGTAGTAGTAGTAGTAGTAGTAGTAATGTAACAAGTACAAAATATACAAATAGTAAAATGTTCTGAAAAAGCAATCTATTTTAATGTGTCTTGTCTTATGTTCCTGTTTGGAATCAGTTCATAACACCTTAAACAATAATACAAATTGTCAGTGAAAAGGTTTACATTTTCACAAGTCTGGTCTGCTGTCATGTCCTTGGTTTTCATTGGCTGAAGATGTGCAGCATCTTGATTGGATGTTGAATTTAGTTGCATTTGGAAAGTGTGAAGTTTGTTCACTTGCTGTCTTTCTCCCATCCTGGCAAGGTGGTTGGAAAGTCATGGATGGAGGATTTTGAGTTTGGTGAATTACAGGTTAGTTACACTTGGTTTTATATAAAAAGAATAAAATACAAAAATATGTTAAATTGTTGAAAGGTTAATTCAGTATTTATTGTAACTGAATTTATGCATTTGGTGGAGGTATATTTTGACGTATGGTTAGAAATTGTTGGTGTCAATAATTTCACTTACAATTGATTCAGATTAATGTTTGAGTTCAAACATACATGTATTGTACGTTTATTTTACTGGTGAGAATTAGCATTTCCATGCTAATTAAAACATACATGTTTTAGGTCCTTCCTTGGTGTTTTCTTGGTGCCTCACAACATGTGGCCAGTTTGAAACAAGTTGTCCCATAGGTGGTAAGACACGTTGATGTTTCATTGTTGTTTTGAAGATGCCAAATGTGTTCCATAATTCCTAAGGATCTGAATATGAAACTGAACCATTGATTTTGTGATGTCAATTTTTTGAGTTCATTTTATATGTTCAGTGGTAGAGCTGTAATTGTTAATTATCTGAACAATGTGCAATGAAATGAATGTGATAAAATAGGTATTTTGATGGAGTGTTATATATTCATATACATTGTTTCAGACTTGTATTATTTATACAAACTACAGTAATAAATCCGGACTACAGCCTCAACGGAGTTGTTGTTGAATCAGAGCCATCCCCGTTACAGTAGTAGTAGTAGTAGTAGTAGTAGTAGTAGTAGTTGTAGAAGTAGTGGAGGTGGCATTTGTTGTTTATCGCCGCATTATCCCAGCTACATGACGGCGGTCTGTGACTGACTGGACCAGACGATCCAGTGATTGGCATTATAAGCATTTGGGACACGATCTGAGGCGTAGCTATCATAAAAAAAGCCCGGTCTTACACATGATTGTTGCTAAAAAGGTTGGGCAGGCCCTCAATATACTATCTACATATAAAGTTTTGCAACCTATCGGGCTTACACGAAAAAACTGGCTTGCTAAGCGCCTGACGGTTTTTACATCTATGCCCTACTCTGACGCAGTATAATCGACTCGAGGCTGATCAGGCTTGTTTTATCCCCTCGGTGCTGACCTTCCACCAGTCGGATTTGGTCCACTTGGCAAATCCTATTCTGCCCGTGTGATACACAGGCGACCTGCCTGTAAGGTGTAATCATTCGCGGATTTACACCACCTGTAGAACCGCAAACGATTTTCCCCCAAACCCTTTCTGAAGCACCCTGAATATCTATACATTTTCAGTCTGACAAGCCATAAACCCTCTTCTACTGATGACAGAAATAGCAAGACAACCAGACATAAATAGCTAGCCCTTAATTTTCATTCTTAGGGACCGTTCATAATTTATGGCAAGTGTGTGTGTGTGTGATGATTTTTTATGCAGAAGCATGTACTTACAATGAGAATGACCCCCTAAAATTTACGTACAAAGTGACCCTTTCATATCATGTACAAAATTAATGACCCCTGCCCCTTCCCATAATTTGTAAGCATACTTTTTAAATATTATTATGCACAAAATTGTTGACCCCCCTCCCAGAACAAAATAAATGGGCAACCCCTTAAAAATCAACACCCCCACCCAAAACAAGCCATAAATTATGGACAGTCCCTTAAAAAGACTTATATGAAAACCTGTCACCATAATGTGTAACCTTTCCCCCCAATCCCTGACCTGTGCTATACTGTACTGGTAAGTCCGACAAACTCTATAAATTCAGTAAAGGGTTCTTCTGCCATTGCAACTCAAACATCTCCTAATTTCCAAAATCGGAGAGCGGAAGGTCGGGGTTCAATCCCCGGCCTTGTGATAGTAAAAGATATTAAATATGGTACTTGATGGTCCCTGCCTGGCGCTCAGCATTAATGGGTAAAACAAGGACTGGTCGGCTTGTGTCTGAGTGGGTATTCATGATTAACTGTGGAATGGTATCTCAGTGAGCTAGCACTATAAAACCAGCATAAGTCTGGGCTAGTACAAGCAGCCGCACATACACACATCGTAATATGAGCAAAATATTCCTAATAAGTATGACGTTAAAAATCATTCCACCTGATGCTGGGCCACTGGCTGGTGTGTTGACCTCAAGCATGCATGTAGCTCTTCTTTATTCGTAAGCTTGACAAACTATACAGTTACAATAGTAACCTTACGAAAGACCCTGATGTTGTGTAAATGCATGTAAATATCAGCTCAGTTTGTACAGAATACAGTACCAAGTCGAAGCATATGATAATTCATAGTAAACACAGAATATGTCTGGTTTCAAATATATTTATTATAAAACAATATGAATAATATTCAACAATAAAATATTCTAACAATATCTGACATCTCATTCTGTTTATATTAACAAACAAAAACTGGCAAGGTAAATAGACAAAACTCGCACACAAAGGTCCTGTTACTCTAAAGGTTTGCTACTTGAGTCCAGAGAACCCTCAAGATATTCAACCATTCACAGAAGGAAGCCTGGAATTCATACCTAATTCTCAACAGTCTTTTACAGTGCTAACCTGTGAGTTGTAAACTGAGGTTCTAGTACTATTAGACTTGCCTAACTACACAAGCAAATCTAGGCTTAAGCTAGATCAAGCCAAAATTATGAGTCTTATGGAGTCTTGTTAGTGTTAACAGCACTTTATTTCATATGGCAACTCAAACTGGATGATTTAATTCAAACAGCAATAAAGACAAGGCCACAAACATTTGTTAACTAGTATCACATTTTGATCATTAAATTTTGTAAACATGTTCTACTGGGATTCCCTAATAATTTTCCTTCATTTATTTAAAAACAAGTACCTATATTATAAATAAAGATTCAAGTATGTATAATTATTTAGAACTCTTGCCTGAAGTTCATCAGCGGCAAAGCCTGACAATCAAAATCAGAAATACATTTTCTATGGTTCTTCACATTTCTAAAGATAAAAACATGAGAACAGATAAAAACATGAGAACAGAACAAATAAAGAAAAGAAAAATAGGATAGAATTCCCCAAAATATAATTGTTTTTTTGTGGCCTAAGAGATTGCTACTAATACTTGGCCCAACTGAGATACACGCAAGCTGCTGAATCTTTAATATACATCACTTCAGAGACCATAAATGGTCTCTAATGACTTCAAGCATCAAGATAATGGGTCGACTATATTGCCCACAGGAAGTAACAGGTTATCCAGCTGAAGGAATGGTAGAAGCACACATCACTAAGTACAAATAAATCACATCCGTAATGCTACAAAAATAATATAAAAACTCTAACTACAAACCTTGATCTTCGTTCATATTTATCTACTTCTGAGCTAGTGAGAATGAAGATCTGAACTGAAAAGGGTTATCTGGAAATTTAACATCCCTGAGAGAAGGATAATATCCTCTACAACTCTCCTAATCACACTCACAAGGCAAATAATCCATCACTATACAACACAGAAATTGCTCTTCTCAAAAATATCTTGTGGTTTCTTTGAATAGAATTTCTCCATCACTATGTAGTTTAACTTTTGGTTCAAATCATATAGAGTTTCTTTAGAGCATGAAACTAATATAAACAGCTACATCTATTACAAACACACATTCAGGCTGATAACACCACACCTCTCTACTACATTTGATTTGGTTTAACAATTCTTTGTTCAGTGCTCTTCCCATCAAATGTTTATTAAATTAGCGACATTGTGTATGATGTGTCACACATCACATTTCATGAAACTGAACACATAATCACTTGAGTGACATTTTGAACTGCTTTTAGCAGAATTCAAGCTCCCAAATCATGGCAGAGGGTGGGGAAGAGGAGCTCTTAAAGGGGACTTAATTTTGGGGAAAACATATCACATGAACAGCAGACCACTAAGAACAGTCCCCCCATTAAATGACCCACCACCCTTTACACACCATCAGCAAACCAGACAATAATCAGTCCAAGCTTCGATCATCTCCATTCAGCATGAGTGATTACAAGATGTATACACCAATATATATGTATACAGTAAGAGAATGTTTTGGCAGTAAGGTAGCATTTTGTCTGAAAGCATGATGACAATCTCAGCCAGCTTTGTCCGCTGGCTACAACAATCCAGTTCCAGCTGCTCTGACTAACTGGTGTCCCTGGCATCACCAGCCTTGGCAGTTTGTCTTAAAGAATAATCCAGATGACCAGTGGAAAGGTTGCTACTGAACGCTGGTCATAAACACATCGCTATGTTTGGTCTAGCCTTTCCACAGATTTGTAATAAAAATATAAGAGATCCAAAACGAGTGCCCATAACATTACCATCTTAATCATTATATTCATTTATGACTTACTTTACCAAGCCTCTTTTTATGTTTTTGGCCTGTTGCTGAAAATGAAACAAACTTAAGGCACACTAAAGAATGACTTCACACAAAAGACATTATCTGTCGTAACATTTAAGGAGGTAGTAAGGTTTTGGCAGTAGTGCCACAGGCAAAACATCTAAATGTTCATATTAATGGTAATTCAAACATCAAGTTAGAATCATTCATCGGTGGAAGATGTGCTTCCTGCTATTGCTTCATATGTGGAAAAGTGATAACATAATTATAAACAATATCATTCGAGAGTGAGGTAGAAGCCACATCGAACAGCGCTTCAGTTAAATACACATAGATCAAGGCTTGTCAGGAGCTGCTGCTCTGTGAGTGATAAATTCTGATGACATCCTCATATACAAATATACAATAAGAAAATAAATTGATCTTGTCCACTTTAGATAAAACTGATTGATCCAGGCTGGTTTTGAGGAGTTGATATGGTTGGGTCACAGTAAGATTGGTCATTTCTGGTCAAAACTGGTTTGGTCAAGTTAAGGTGAAACTGATCTTAATGCAGGCAACAATAGGGCTGCAATGTGGTCAAGCCAGAGATAGAGTGGAGTCAGAGATCGATTTTGACAACCATCTCTTCAATAAAATAAAAAAATAGAAAAAATAGAATGGTCTGATATGGATAAGATGAACCAGGGATAAACCCAGGCAGGTCACAAGGAGGTGCTTGATCAAGCCAGAGTCTGTGGGTGGTCTGTCCTGATGACTTCCTCTTCCTCGTTGAGATGGTTGTAGAGGGGGAACTCACAGCAGCACAGACACTTGAGGAAGGTGGGAAACACTCCGTACACTGGCGGGGGAATGGTATCAAGGGGCTCGTCCGCTTCTTGTAGGTTACATAGTCTTCATTCCTGAAAGAGTATTTCATACAATCATATCCAAACCATACACCTTGTTAACACTGACACATACAAAGCATTGATGCTCATGATGTTGGTCACTGGATTATCTGGTCCAGATGGCTGATAGTATAGCTGGAATACTGCTGCATGCTGAGTTAAACAACAAACACAAACAAACATACAAAGGAACATGGTAAAATGGTAAAGTTTGACACTGTGGCCTAAAATAGAAAACAGTGTGACAACAAACCAAATGACACTAATTAATGGGGACCCTGCTGAACCCTTTTTCAATGGTGTTCATTTAAATAGTCGTGATAAAACAATGTCCTAAAACCAAAAAGTTGGTGAAAACTCACTTGCGTATAACTGATTTTCCAACAGTCCTACACTCTACTGCTCCCCACTCAAATCTGTGATCATAATCGTTCTATAGTATTTGCTGAAGGAGTCAGGATACAGCCAAGAGTAAGTGTCACACAGCATCATTGGAAGAAATATTTCAACAGCGCTAAGTAAGTTGGAGAGGGGGACCTGCCATATAGCTGGAATATTTCTGAGTGCTGTGTTAAACAACATACCAACCCTGAGCTCGGATTTAGTGCTTTGTTACTTGCACTGGTGCAATCCAATATTACAAAGTGCAACCTAGTTATTAGTCAAACTTGCACCAGGTGCAAGTCAATTTTTGAGAAAATAAATCAACAATAAATCTAACAGCTCTTGTAAACAGGGATCAGCTGTGTCTCTGTGTTGCTATGGTTTCATGGGTACATCATAGAAATATGTTTATGTGCACCGAAACCTATGACGTTTTAACACACTACATTGCAACTGTAATTTGGCTGGTGCAACTAGGTTTTTTATCTTAGGTTGCACCTGGTGCAAGTAGGTTAACATCTCTTAAATTGAGCCCTGCAACCAACCAAGTAAGTTGGGCTAACCAAGCCAAATGGATGATTCACCTGCCGAGTAGCACTAGCAGTTAAATTGTTTCGTCCCAGTAACTACAAAGAGTGAGTGAGTGAGTGATTTGGGTTTTTACGCTGCTTTTAGCAACATTCTAGCAATATCACAGCAGGGGACACCAGAAATGGGCTTCACACACTGTGCCCATGTGGGGAATTGAACCCGGGTCTTCGGCGTGACGAGCGAACGTTTTAACCACTAGGCTACCCCACAGCCCCTAACTACAAAGAGAGATCTTGTAGTATGGAAAAAATGATTAAGAGAAACTGATGGTTAACTGAGGTTTGAACTTTTATCGGAATTAATATTAAGCAATTTATGAAACTTGAAGAACTAGGGACTGTAACGAGCAAGACAAATGTCTTCACGAAAACTACGAAACTACAGGTAAATCCCTTCACCCATACGGAAAATCAAACCTACATCTTCTCTGTGAAGCACCTGTGCTTTAACCACTAGGTTACCCTGACACCCACTGTTGACCACGACACAGAAGAACACATTATGTTCACACATGGAGTGAGTGAGTGAGTGAGTATGGTTTTATGTCGGCATTAGCAATATTTCAGCAAAATTACGACAGGGGACACTAGAAATGGGCTTCACACATTGTACCAATGTGGGAAATGGAACCCGGGTTTTTTGGCACTACGAGAGAACGCTTTACCACAAGGCTACCCAACTGCTCCGCACACATGGAGAGCTACTGACAATATTAAGAGCTTGTTCCAGGTAAATCTGTATGCCTTACTTCCTGTATCGCTCGTCCGACTTCTGTTCCAGGAGAGGAATACCGCTGAGGAAGAGTAGAATGGCCATAGTGAACACAGGACTGAGGACGGCCACCCACTGACCATCGACCAGGATACTGGTACTGATGAGGAACACGCCGATCCATAGGGTGATCTCACCAAAATAGTTTGGGTGTCGTGACACTTTCCATAATCCTGGAAGGAAATTAATCATTAAACCTCATGGTATCAAACAGCACCACATCTAATCTGCTTGGAGACGGTTGATAATATAATTGTAAGCCTTTCACTCACCCACTAATACCAGTACAATGCCCAGGCACATGCTTCATTAAAAAGACAAAGACATTACAAGGAGTTGTCTCCCCTTATACATCTGCTTTAGAGGATATTTGCCTGCTCTGGTCAAACAATACAATAATTAATATTTATCAATATTAATTCATTAATAGAGCAGCTACAGATAAAAAGTCATCTTTTAGCATGTGGATAGATAAGAAACTATTATTATTTGACAAGAATGCCAAATAATTTTTCAATACATATTTTCAATCAATGGATGAATTAAGTTTGGCATAATCATGATACAATTTCATTAAAATCAGATCTTTTCCCCCTCTACCACAAAACAAAGATCTGAGGATATCCCATTACAGATCATATCAGAATGACTATTACAGAATGTTCTTTAGTTCAGTCTTCAAATTTGAATCAAGAATTTTGTAATAAGTGTAGTATTGACTCAACGTCGCCAGTTACAAACTAGTGTCATTCAGCTCAATAAAGCTGCTTTCTGACTGGCTGATGTTGACTTCCTTTAAACGGTTGATCAATGCTCGTAGAATGTTGTTCTGTAACGGTACACCTTCAGATCTAGTTTTATGGTAGCAGGACAATGACTGATCTTAATGTGATGAATCATGATAAAACTAACTCCGACATAATCGTAATGATTAACACATTGATCGAACTGGCTGACTGACCGTCACCACTGTCTAACATCAACTGGAATATTGTAGAAGTTGTTCATATGAAAATCATATTTACTTCACTGGTCACACTTTTTAAAAAAATTAACAAGTTTGGAAATAAGACTGTTCATCCATGGATTCTAGTTGCATCGTTTTCAATATTTGATGAGCCATAGCTAAATGTTAAAGTAAACAAAACAGTATGACAACATTTACCCTTATCACACCATTTTCCTTTGTTGATCGGATCATTCCTGAAACCAAATTTCTGGAAATCGGCAAAAGTTTCTGAGAAAAGCCCTATTGCAAAGAACACAATGCCAACAATATCCTGAGGTGTGAGGTAGATGCTCTTGACTGCACTGGCTGGTGCATTGATGAAGATCACAGGTAGGCTCACAGTAAACACCCACACAGCCTGCAACAATACAAACATGCCTTAGGTTCTGTAGCTCACCTCTCTCTTAATACTTAGACTACATTCTTTAAGTAATCTGGGGTAAGGTTGACAGAGTGTCTTTAGTTTTATGCTGCTTTAACAATAATCCAGCAATATCACAGTAGGGAACACCAGAAACAGTCTTCAAACATTGTACCAATGTGGGGAATCGCATGAGGGAAAGCTTTAACCACTGTGCTACCCGACTGCCTGGGTAATGTTGAAACCAAAGGATCACTTTGAGAAAGAATGCTCTGGGTATCTCCAAGCCTACCTCATACTGAAAATGGGCACAAATGCAAATAACTTGATGGAAAAAATAAAGAAATATCAATATACATAAACACTTTAACTCTTTACTATTAAGGCAACACTTACAAACTTAACAAATATAACAAAATAGTTTATAGAAATCTGTTTTTGCATATTCTCAGACAAATTCTCAAACTTAACAAATGTATCACATCAAAGGCCAATTTGTGTAACAAAACATCTTTGAGATTTGGTGATATAGTGCTTACCTGAAATACCCAAAATCCAGCAAATTTCAAACAGTTTTCTCTTTTGTCATCAAAGCGTTTGTCTTCTCCAATCTTGATGATACGATACAGCAAATATCCTGAGAGCCGAAGACCCCAAACCACTACAAACACGGTGATGATAATCTGCCGTGTACTGTACGTCTGAAACACAAAAAACAGGAGAGACATCAGCAGAGTTCTGGATTGCTGTGTCTACAGCATTAGGATGTTATTCAAATAAGAATGGAGATATGGATTAGTTGTTAGGTAATTAGTACTTGTCAAAGAAGACAACAACACGATGACAACTAGTTAGGAGACAATACTAAACAGGTAGGGATATTTTTGCTTATGATTGATTAGGAATTAAGATGAACACCTCTTTTACATAAGACCATGAAGGTCCGGGTTAGAATTGATCTTCAGTAACCCATGCTTGTCGTACGAGGCGACTAACGGGATTGGGTGGTCAGGCTCGCTGACTGGGTTGACACATGTCATTGTATCCCAATTGCATAGATTGATGTTCTAACACATTGATCAAACTGGCTGACTGAACGTCACCACTGTCTAAAATCAACTGGAATATTGTAGAAGTTGTTCATATCAAAATCATATTTACTTCACTGGTCACACTTTTAATTTTTTTTAACTATTTTGGAAATAGACCGTTTATCCATGGATTCTAGTTGCATCGTTTTCAATATTTGATGAGCCATAGCTAACTGTTAAAGTAAACAAAACAGCATGACAACATTTACCCTTATCACACCATTTTCCTTTGTTGATGGGATCATTCCTGAAACCAAATTTCTGGAAATCGGCAAAAGTTTCTGAGAAAAGTCCTATTGCAAAGAACACAATGCCAACAATATCCTGAGGGGTGAGGTAGATGCTCTTGACCGCACTGGCTGGTGCGTTGATGAATATCACAGGGAGGCTCACAGTAAACACCCACACAGCCTGCAACAATACAAACATGCCTTAGGTTCTGTAGCTCACCTCTCTCAATACTTAGACTACATTCTTTAAGTGATCTGAGGTAAGGTTGAGCGAGTGTCTTTAGTTTTACGCCGCTTTTAGAATAATCCAGCAATATCACAGTAGGGAACACCAGAAACAGTCTTCAAACATTGTACCAATGTGGGGAATCGCATGAGGGAAAGCTTTAACCACTGTGCTACCCGACTGCCTGGGTAATGTTGAAACCAAAGGATCACTTTGAGAAAGAATGCGCTGGGTATCTCAAGGCCTACCTCATACTGAAAATGGGCACAAAATGCAAATAACTTGATGGAAAAAATAAAGAAATATACATATACATAAACACTTTAACTCTTTACTAAGGCAACACTTACAAAATGAACAAATATAACAAAATAGTTTATAGAAATCTGTTTTTGCATATTCTCAGACAAATTCTCAAACTTAACAAATGTATCCCACCAAAGGCCAATTTGTGTAACAAAACATGTTTGCACAGAATTATCTTTGAGATTTAGTGATATAGTGCTTACCTGAAATACCCAAAATCCAGCAAATTTCAGACAGTTTTCTCTTTTGTCATCAAAGCGTTTGTCTTCTCCAATCTTGATGATACGATACAGCAAATATCCTGAGAGCCGAAGACCCCAAACCACTACAAACACGGTGATGATAATCTGCCGAGTACTGTACGTCTGAAACACAAAAAGCAGGAGAGACATCAGCAGAGTTCTGACAGGATTGCTGCTGTGTCTACAGCATTAGGATGTTATTCAAATAAGAATGGAGATATGGATTAGTTGTTAGGTAATTAGTACTTGTCAAAGAAGACAACAACACGATGACAACTAGTTAGGAGACAATAGTAGACAGGTAGGGATATTTTTGCTTATGACTGATTAGGAATTAAGATGAACACCTCTTTTACATAAGACCATGAAGGTCCGGGTTAGAATTGATCTTCAGTAACCCATGCTTGTCGTACGAGGCGACTAACGGGATTGGGTGGTCAGGCTCGCTGACTGGGTTGACACATGTCATTGTATCCCAATTGCATAGATTGATGTTCATAGTGTTGATCCCTGGATTGTCTGGCCCAGACTCGATTATTTACAGACTGCCACCATATAGCTGGAATATTGCCGAGTGCAGAGTAAAACTAAACTCACTCACTCTTTTTACATAAGAATAACTGTAATACTGGTACTGTAGGGATCTTTTGTCAGAAGCATCGCAAAACCATAGTCACTCACTTTCTTCCTGTACTGTGCTTAAAATACAAATAGTTTTAACCCTTGCTGAACCAAACATTAACAGTATTGCAGTTAACATGTACTTAGTGGTGGATGCACCGGGGGATAGGTATCACGATCACTGATTATATCTGACATGAATTTATGTCATTATTAATTCTAATTCAGCTTAGTATGTAACACGACTTCTGATTGGTCAGTGCTATACATTTCTGACCGTATTATCATTTGCAGCGGGCAGCTCATTTCTAATAACTAGAGGGCGGTTTCATGATAATTCCGTCCATTTTAGCTATAACACTATAATTTATTCATCATTGTCAGATTTAGTCAGTGTGCACATAATAAATGTGTTGAAGTTTGAAAAGGAACTACTATTTCTGGCGATGGTGTAAGTTCAAGGAGTGATATGATTAACCTTGACCTAGAGGAACTTTGACCTGGGTCCCGTTCCTCAAAGCGATCGTAACCCTAAGACGATCGTAACTCCCATACTTTAACATAGACTTACGATAGTCGTAGTGCTACAATCGCATTGAGGAACGGGGCCCTGGTTTAATTAATGAATTTTTTTCACGATAAAACAACATAAAATGAGTTGAATTAGAACTCCGCTTACGTGTCGCCGATATAACTAAATTTGCGGCTATATAACCACCGGTATACGTCCCCAATTCGTCAAACACAGTACAGTTATCCCCTAATTATTATAAGCTTAATATCATCACGCATAACTGAAATTATATTTCCTTTCACAAATACAAGACACTGACAGTACAAAATGACGTCTGACAACATTACATTGGTTAAACATGTCATCACAGAGAAACAAACCTTGTAATGAGTCATATCTTTATCACTCAAGACGTTAGGTCACACAAAATATGAAACTACCAAATATGAGAGACAGTAGTCGCATGTTTTGTGGGACCTAATGTCTTGAACTAAAATGTGACTCATTACAACTATGATTTGGGTCATTTTGGATGAAAACTGTGTTAAATACGTAAGATTCCTTGGTCGCCATGATCATGTCTACCTCCCTTATCTAACACTGTTCTAAAATCTCTCTTCAACTCCTTCATGTCCAGCTCAAGGTATCCTAATCTCTATGACCAAGCATTTTATCAAATACTGTCTCGAATATTATGCATAACTTCGAAGTACCTGTCGGTCCCGACCATTCCCTGTTATAGTTGTCATCATTTGAATACGGTTACACGAATTCTGACAAAAATACACCACGATGAGTCGGTGAAGAAAAGTTGGTCCCATAAGATTCAAACAACAGCAATCTTGTATACATAAGCCGAAGTCAGTCAATGAGAAGTTGATTGGTGTAGCAAACTGATCCAATTAACAAACCAGCGTGGCTCACACCTTTCCGCCTTTGTCGGGTGAGTTCAAAAGGCAGATTAGTGATCTTACGGAAATCACTGTCTGTGCTAATCAGCCTGGAACTGATAAGGTGCCCCTATTAGTGATATGGAAATCATTGGATAAACAAATGCTTAGGCGGAGGAATTAGGACTGGATCATCTTTTTTTTCTACCCTCATAGACATACCTATGTCTCGAATACATCGATAAGTCAAATTTATCACTTGGTCCCCAGAGATTCGACTCATCGAGAGTTGACTGTAGTATTCTTCGCACATTAAAACAGTTTATTTTTGGTCATGGCAACTTGTTCTGTGTTTTGCTCAACATACCTCAGCAAGAAAAAATGTCAGAACAGCCAAAACTACAAAGTTCGTGCCACCAGCAAAGTCTGTCACTTTGTCAAATTTACATGTACATGCGATGAGGAAGAAGCTGAACTGCATAGCAACGGTAACTATGGCACATATTGCCAGGTTGTTTTCGTCCAATATCCACATTCTCTAAGAACCTGATGAATTCTGGAAAAATTAAAAAGGTTTTCATTAAAACGATGTATACAAACTCTAGTGATACATTCAGAAAGTTAAAATACTTCTTCTGTTGTTCATTGTTTCATTTTGACTGTTTTCCATTGTTTGTTTGCACGAACTGTATGTGCAATAAATACTAAAGCTACAGAATATCAAATCTGAAACTGGTAAAAGATTATCAACTAATGATAACGCAGTCAACCTGCAGTAAGCTTCAAAATCAGGGCTAATATACATGCCCCATCCACCAAGATTACACTCCCCAACTGAAAAACATCAGCACAGCATACACAGTCCACACCATTAAACTCTCAAGCAATCTTCAAAAAAGATTTCTGTTATATAACAATGAAAATTGCCTCAGTAGCTATATCAGTCAATTCATTATATTTTCACCTGATTATCCTTGTGGTTGTATATCCTACCACATAAATCTGAAGGTTTAATTAAATAATGAAATCATTGGCCACCAAACAACTGTCTCTCTATGCATGAATACATAACAGTATGATAGTAACAATGTTATTTATTTGAACCACACTCTTAGATTTCTGTGCTTTGGTTGGTTGTTTGGTTGTTTAACGCCGTACTCAGCAATATAACAGCTATATGATGACAGTCTGTAAATAATCGAGGATGGACCAGATAATCCAGTGATCAATGCAACTGGGATACGACGACAAGTTTCAACCAAGTCAGTGAGTCTGACCACATGATCCCGTTAGTCACCTCTTATGACAAGTTTGGATTAATGAAGATGAATTCTAACCCGGATCTACACGGGTCTGAGATTTCTGTGCTATGATTTTCTTACACTGTATTGATCTTTTCAAAGAGACAAAACAACAAAATACAAGAAATAATGAAGTCCCTGTTTCACGAGAATAATCCAGGTGTTAATAATAACATACTTACCTGTCAGAAGTCAGGTACACTCCACTAATGTGATAACACTTTTATAAATCCTCTTATATATGGAATCTGCTTACGTAACTGGTACATATAGAGGCCTCACTCACATGACAAACTTAGGTAAGCTCTCTTCTGTTGAAAGTAGGTCAAGCACATGGGTACACCTGCACTCAGATTTGGCTCAACAGCTCGTTACATATTGGGCCATTCATAACGTCAGTTTAATAATGTGACTCAGAAGCATATGACTTTGAAATAATACCATTTCCGCACTGGTGAGCACTAACCTGACACTGACCTCAAGGCCCACAATTAAAACATATAAAAACTTATATGATATACTGTCACATACGGCATAGGAATTATACAAATTAAGTCACTCATTAAAACCATACACAACAAATTATATTTGTCTGTTTTTTAATGAAGTGAAATTTGTTTACTTCAGATTTAGTGAAACAAAGATTGTTTTGAATCCATACACCCCTTCTATTTTTGCTGTATACATAAGAAAATATATGAAAGTTCTGTACATTTTCGGTCAAAGTAGGGGCCGAGTGCTTATAAACTTACTTACAGTTAGAGACTGGTGTAGAAGCCTAGTCAGGCCTGCTGACTTAAAACAGGGTGGGAAATACTAGGACCCCTACACCCACTTGTACAAATCTCACTATGTCAGTCTGACATTTATTGGTCAGTACTAAAATTTATATCCCTGTGAACCCATTAAAACCCAAACAGTCAATACAACAGGACCAAGCCAACAGCCAAATTAAATTGGTCAATAAAATATGTTTAGTTGTAAACACATACAAACGCATGTACGTGCGGCATGTCTGCATGCAGGCGCATATAATTACAAGCGAGTCAGGTAATTTCGTGCGTCCGGTAATTCAGCGCAGCTGCAACAGCGTACTTCTGTATCGAAGGTAAACATCGTCTGCTACCACATTTACGCTTAAAATCGAGACATTTCTACAAGGGACTGGCTTTTAATCACTAAATTAAGGTAAGTAAATAACAGTAATTGACAGATAAATTGACAGTTTTATGAAAATTCGTTTTCTTCAGACTTTTAAATCTTTTTCTATATTATTCATATTTGGATTTAATATGAAACACTCTTCCTTACGTTGATGAAGTGATTTTTTAAAATAATCTGGCCCTAATATCAGTTAATGAAATAAGCCAAAAACTCAGCTATACATCAGGGCTGGTAACTTCAAATTGTTACCAGTCCAAAATGGATTTAACCAGACCAAACACCCAAGATATAGTGAATTTACTCAAATTTACGATTATTTTACCAGACCATCGGGCTGGCTAACTGTAAATTTAGACTGTCCGTCAGAAATCTTGCCCATCTCGGGCGGTCGGACGGGACTTATTTCATACACTGCTAATATGCTTCCATACTTCGGATCTCCAGCTGGATGTTATGCGCATTAATTGCTGCGCAGAATTACCGGACAGCAAGCGATGTCGTCAGAACGCCGGTAGTATGGCATAATGTAGCCGAGAGCCAGGCATAATGTAACATTAGACTCTTAGATCTATAGTCGTCAATAAAACTTATATTTCATAGTACATATGATGCATACCTACATGTTTAGTCACGTAAACCACAACAAAAAAGATACGTTAGTTGCCGTGTTGAGATCGATGTGCTTAGGTGCGGAATTACCGAACGACATTGTAATAAATAAAGACAAATATTTGACAATTTGTACGGGTTTGCCCGTGTTGTATCAGATCGCGATACATTAACACTTCCTGACGTTGTCTTTATTGTTATAAAAAAACATTCCGTAAGTGCCCTCATAATTTTTTCCATCTCACTGACAGAAAGTGTTAGGGATGACTGAAGTGACAGCCTGCAGACCGCACGTTTCCAAGCACGTGATTCATAAATGCCCGTTATTTCACACGATCATCGATCAGTACAGCGGTGTTAGGAACATACTGCGCGAATCGCACGTCATTTGAACGAACAAAATATATAATGCTTGGAAATCCACGACTTGGGTATAACTTCAAAATTTTCATCAAAAATGAATGCATACCTCCAAAATGATTGAGAACGTCTATGCCTTGACAGTTGTTGACATGCTTACATAAATGGGCGGGGAGTATTTTCATCCGGGGCTTTCATTTTGAACTCTAGACACTGTCCTCCAATCTATAATGTAATATAAAATGGAGTCACATTAACCCTGTAAAGAGATTGGTGCATTGTTTAAAAATAACCGCATTTCTAATGCGCCTGACAGGAAGTAGGGAAAGCACATGTTCACGACCCCAGACCTGTTTACAACGGAAGTTAAAGCAACAAGAAACGACAAAACGCTACCCGTTGTTCAGTTATATTCACCATTGCCAGTATTAATGATGCTAACGATTAATCAGAAGTACTTTGCTTCGCAGGTAAACTATTGTCGTTAACCTTAGTACGCCGTCGCTGTCGTGACTGTGGTTTCAAATGCACGTGTGGGAACCACTACCCGAAATCAAAATCAAACACCGACGTACCCGTGAAGATCCGGGGTAGAATAGGTCTTCAGCAACCCATGCTTGCCACAAAAGGCGACTATGCTTGTCGTAAGAGGCGACTAACGGGATCGGGTTGACACATGTCATCGTATCCCAATTGCGTAGATCGATGCTCATGCTGTTGATCACTGGATTGTCTGTTCCAGGCTCGATTATTTACAGACTGCCGCCATATAGCTGGAATATTGCTGAGTGCGGCGTAAAACTAAACTCACTCACTCATTCAAACTCCGACGCTGGCTGTTGTTGACTTATTCGTGGATTGTTGCTTGTTCGTTTATTGATACGATGTTTTAGGACATGTTTTATTTTTAAACATGAGCATGATAATAACTCTACATGCGTAACTTCTTTAAGTGGCATTTTATCAATTTATCCCAGCGTATGTACTCTCACAAAAGATCACAGTACCAATTAAAGTTAATTGTTTATTCATAACCATCTGTCTTTTAAAAGTAGCATACAACTACAAAGATGGAAGGCGTTTCCTATTCTCGTGGTACTTACAGATATCGGCTGAAAAATTAACACAAACAATTCTTATCCTATGAATGCTTGTTTTTAAATGAAGGGCCTTCTCCTCTAACATCTACATCTATCAGCTGCTAGATCCATCAGGTGAATTACCACTCATGACCCCCGGTGATAAACAATGCCATCCGCCATTGACGAAACCAATCTTCTCCCATTCTCGCGGTATTACCAGGAATTAACGTTGTTGAGTGTATATAAGAGCAATCCTGCCGGAAAGGGCGGGAAAAAGTAATGATATGTCCAAGTTGGTATAAACTCCCCAATATTCGTGACACTGCAAGATTTTGATCACTCACAGACTTGGTCCACTTCCTAGTTACCAGTCGGTGATGTAAACAACCGGTAAGGGTCGTGCATCAGCGATTTCAGCAGAAAACATGTTTACACCGCGAGAATAGGAAACACGCAAGAATAGGAGACGGACCTATACTCTGTACAACAGTGGTACGTGTCTTGATTGTATTTGCTTGCCCTGTCACATTGAGTAGCCTTAGATTTATAACTTTCACGTGATATCAACTGTTGTGTGATGTAACATGATTTTGCTGACTGTCTTATGATTAATGACATGTGGTGAGATATTTGAGTATTAATTAAAATAAGACATATCTGTGCAATTATTGCAAAACGCATAGTCTAGAAAAGCACATACAAATGCCATCTTAATATTTAATGATTGTTCTTATTGGAGGACAGTTAAGATATTTACTCCTTGACCCATGTCCACGTGTCTATTTCCAGGATGCCTGACCTTGCATCTCTGAGATCAGTGCTTCCCACGACACCAGATGAGCTGCTTGTTACAATAACCAGTCCTGCCATTCTGGGAGAAGACTATGTTGACCTACTGAAGAAGACATGTGATTGTTTGTATGGGCCAGATGGTGCTAGTGTCCTGCAGCCCTGTGAGGTGTTGTTGGACATGGCCTGGGAGAAGCTGAACACCGGTTATTGGAAGGATGTGGACGTCAACTGGAGGTATGCCTACACTGTCATCTCACTGATGAAGGTGTACTGTCAGTGTTGGCTGCTAAATGAACAAAAAGGAGATGTTTCATTGGCCGATATCATGAGGTCATGTGACCTGGGTTTGTTGATGGGTGCCCCTATGCTGGATAACATCCTGGCGTATGTCTTCCCTGATTCAAACCATCTTCAACCCTCCAGGGAAACAACAGTGTGTAGATACAGTGCCTGAACATAAGAGGATGAAAGTTGCAGATGTGAGGATCGACAAAGATAAATCTGTAGCTCAATGTTCCCGTCCATCCTTACAAAAGTTTAAAGAAAGTTACATGGACAAACAGCAAGCTGTGATTGTTACTGATGCAATGGATTTCTGGCCATGTTTGAGTTTCAGAAAGTGGGATCTGGACTACATAAAACAGAAAGCTGGATACAGAACTGTTCCTATTGAGCTAGGGTCTAAGTACACAGAGGAGACTTGGTCACAGAGTTTAATGACAATAACAGAGTTCATTGAGCGCTATATCGAGAACCCTACACAGGAGACCAAGGGCTATCTAGCCCAGCATCAACTCTTTGATCAGATTCCTGAATTGCAGAAGGACATCAGTGTTCCAACCTACTGCTGTTTGGGGGACAAGGAAGATGTTGATACCAATGCATGGTTTGGGCCTGCAGGTACTGTGTCACCTTTGCACTATGACCCAAAGCATAACTTTCTGGCTCAAGTAGTGGGGTACAAGTACATACGACTGTACTCGGACCAGGTGACAGATCAGCTGTATCCTCACCCAGACAGACTCCTGGTGAACACATCCCAGGTAGATTTAGAGGAGCCAGATCATGTCAAGTTTCCACTGTTTGCCAAGGCTCCGTACGTGGAGTGTGTGTTGCGGCCGGGGGGAAATGTTGTACATTCCTCCAAAACATTGGCATTTTGTCAAGTCACTGTCTGTCAGCTTCTCGGTTAGTTTCTGGTGGGAGTGAATGAGTGAGTGACTTTACTTTTACACCGCTTTTAGCAATATTCTGGCAACATCACGGCAGGGAAACCAGAAATAGGCTACACACATTGTGCCCATGTGGGGAATCGAACCTGGGTCTTTGGCGTGACAAGCGAACGCCTTAACCAGTGGGTTACCCGCTGCCCCGTTTCTGGTGGGAATAAACATTAACAGTAGAGGGCATAATGTGTACGCAAAACTGTCCCTCGTTACGCATACAAGTGTCTACCTGAGAGGGTATTAGGTAACAATAAAATTTGTTCACAGATTTATATTAAAATTTAAAGTTCAATTTTTTGTTTTCACTTGGTAATATCCCCGGTATATGATGCCAGGGATAGAAATACTTTTTTTTCTAAGTGTGCCCAAGGGCACCAGACAAATATTTTAGGTGTGCCTTTCAGAAATTGAGTATGCCTACATGTTTTTAGAATAAATGACAATGATGATGATCATTTGAAATTTATTGTTAAATAAAGAAATGGGTTTATGAGCATTCAAATATGTATGGTATTATTTAATTTGGAAAAAAATAATTGTTTTGGGGATTAAATGACTAAATGTGAGTTATGTCTCTGAAAAATCAGGCGTGTCAAAAGGGCACAGAGAACATTTTTTAGCCGTGCCATTTCAATAATTACCGTGCCATGGCACACTAACATATGGGGTATTTCGAACCCTGGATGCGAGTAACTAAATAATCAGATCTGTATCAGTGATTGACTTCATGATGCTTGATGTATGTGGTTTGGATTTCACTGACACCCATGTGAGCATACCTGGTCACCTGATCCAGTTTCTTGTCTCTTACAACAAGCATGGAGACCGCCTCCGGGTCGTAGTGGTTAGAACGTCTGCCTGGATAGCGGAAGGTGGCGGGTTTGATCCCTGGCCGTGTCATTACAAAAGGCGTTGAAATATGGTACATGTTGGCCCCTGCCTGGCGCTCGGCATTAATGGGTACAACAAGGACTGGTCGGCTCGGAGTCAGTATAATGTGTCTCAGTGGGGCATTCATGCTTTACTGCGGCATGGTATCTCAGTGAGCTAGCACTATAAAACCAGCTTAAGACTGGGCTCGTACAAGCAGCCACACATACACACGCACGTCGTCATATGAGTGAAATATTCTTAACTACGACGTTACACCCCATTTCACCTCACCTCACTACAACAAACGTGGGTTGCTGGAGACCAATTATACCCATCATGTGGTCCAACAAAAGAACTATAGAATCAACAATATCCATGATGGATTTATTGCAACAAACCAACTTTGACATATATGAGCCTTGTTAAAATATATTTCTTGGTTTAAAGGGCCTGATACCTTTAGATTTACCCACATCCCAGATATTGTTTGAGTGTCTTAACAGTGAAACAAAAGAATGTTCCAAATCTCTTATCATTCACGCCTTTCCCAGTGAGAATTCCAAACGAACCAGGGCTGTATCAAGACATGCACAGTGACCAACATTTGGCCCCATGTCTGAAACAAATGTCAGTAAAAATTCAGAAATAGGAATGAAAAATTCCTCAATTATGTTTATATGGTCATATGTCATAGTATTGTTGTAGCTTGGTGATAACATGTTTACCACTGATAACAGGACTAGTGGTGAGAGCGAGTCTTCCAGGCTTAGTTTTACATTTTATATTATCGCCACAAAAAGGTGCAAAGTTGCTGATGGGGTGTTAAGCAGTATTCACTCACTCGCACATCTACATTATTGCATTGAATGCAGGGTAAAATAGCCACTAAAATTTCCAACATAATCACAACATAATAAATTCTCTTTTTACCAAATTTGCCTGACATGTTCAGATCGGACACGTTTGGAATCATAGATAAATCCCTGGTGGGAAGCCCTTGTCTCGGGTCCAGGTCTTTACATTTAGTCCCTGGTAGCATTCTCCAAAATACATGAAATATTACCATACATCCACTCAGTAATGATGTAATTTGGAACATGATGTGTATACAATCCTACCCAAGACACTCTCGTACATGGACATGAGGGAGTGAGTAAGGATGATGGATGGATTGGAGGGAGTCTGTGAAGAGGTTGTAGGAGGGTCGGAGGAAGTCTGTGAAGAGGTTGTAGGAGGGTCGGAGGAAGTCTGTGAAGAGGTTGTAGGAGGGTTGGAGGGAGTCTGTGAAAAGGAGGTATGAGGGTTGGAAGGAGTCTGTGAAGAGGTTGTAGGAGGGTTGGAGGGAGTCTGTGAAGAGGTTGTAGGAAAAAAAGTCATAGATTGGGTAGGAAAATAAGAATCACAGAAAATATGAGAGGGGAGAAAGAGAGACATAAAACACTTTTGGAGAGTCGTGAAAAATGGGGGATAATGTGTGTTTTTTATTTTGTCTTTTCAGGGCCATGGCAAAGGGTCAGGGAGGGTGTAACAAAATTCTGACAAGCATTTGTGGAGGTCATAGAACATTTTGAAAGGCATTAGGGGAGGGTCATACAAAACTATGACGGGCATTAGAGGAGGGTCATACAAAACTATGACAAGCATTAGAGGAGGGTCATACAAAACTATGACAGACATTAGGGGAGGGTCATACAATACTATGACAGGTATTAGGGGAGGGTCATACAAAACTATGACAGGCAATAGGGGAGGGTCATACAAAACTATGACAGGTATTAGGGGAGGGTCATACAAAACTATGACATGTATTAGGGGAGGGTCATACAAAACTATGACAGGCAATAGGGGAGGGTCATACAAAACTATGACAGGTATTAGGGGAGGGTCATACAAAACTATGACAGGTATCGGGAGGGTCATACAAAACTATGACAGGCAAAAGGGGAGGGTCATACAAAACTATGAGAGACAATAGGGGAGGGTCATACAAAACTGTAAGAGGCAATAGGGGAGGGTCATACAAAACTATGACAGGTATGGGGAGGGTCATACAAAACTATGACAGGTATCGGGAGGGTCATACAAAACTATGACAGACAATATGGGAGAGTCATACAAAACTTAGACATTAGGGAAGGGTGATACAAAACTATGACAGGGGAGGGTCATACAAAACTATAGGGAAGGGTCATACCAAACTATGAGAGACAATATGGGAGGGTCATACAATACTATAAGAGACAATATGGGAGGGTCATACAAAACTATGACAGGTATTAGGGAGGGTCATACAAAACTATGACAGGCAATAGGGGAGGGTCATACAATACTATGACAGGTATTAGGGAGGGTCATTCCAAACTATGAGAGACAATATGGGAGGGTCATACAAAATTATGAGAGACAATATGGGAGGGTCATACAAAACTATGACAGATATTAGGGAAGGGTGATACAAAACTATGACATGTATCGGGAGGGTTATACCAAACTATGAGAGACAATATGGGAGGGTCATACCAAACTATGAGAGACAATATGGGAGGGTCATACAAAACTATGACAGGTATTAGGGAGGGTCATACAATACTATGACATGTATTAGGGAGGGTCATTCCAAACTATGAGAGACAATATCAGAGGGTCATACAAAACTATGACAGGTATAAGGGAAGGGTCATTCCAAACTATGACAGGTATGGGGAGGGTCATACAAAACTATGACATGTATTAGGGAGGGTCATACAAAACTATGAGAGACAATAGGGCAGGGTCACACAAACTATGACAGGCAATAGGGAAGGGTCATACAAAACTATGACAGGTATGAGGGAGGGTCATACAAACCTATGACAGGCAATAGGGGAGGGTCATACAAAACTATGACAGGCAATAGGGGAGGGTCATACAAAACTATGACAGGTATGGGGAGGGTCATACAAAACTATGACAGGTATGGGGAGGGTCATACAACACTATGACATGTATTAGGGAGGGTCATACAAAACTATGACATGTATTAGGGAAAGTCATACAAAACTATGACAGGCAATAAGGGAGGGTCATACAAAACTATGATAGGTATTAGGGGAGAGTCATACAAAACTGAGAGACAATAGGGCAGGGTCACACAAACTATGACAGGCAATAGGGAAGGGTCATACAAAACTATGATAGGTATTAGGGGAGTGTCATACAAAACTATGACTGGCAAAAGGGGAGGGTCATACAAACCTATGACAGACATTAGGGAAGGGTCATACAAAGGTATGACAGACATTAGGGGAGGGTCATACAAAACTATTACAGGCAAAAGGGGAAGGTCATACAAACCTATGACAGACATTAGGGAAGGGTCATACAAAACTATGACAGGCATTAGGGAAGGGTCATTCAAAAGTATGACAGACATTAGGGGAGGGTCATACAAAACTATTACAGGCAAAAGGGGAGGGTCATACAAACCTATGACAGGCATTAGGGGAGGGTCATACAAAAGTATGACAGGCGTCAGGGGAAGGTCATACCAAACTATGAAAAGGATTAGAGAGAAGAGGTTCATTTTTAGTAAAATAGGGCACCAAACAGCACGGACTATGATACCTGTCTACAAAATGACCGGTCCCTCATACAAGAGAAACCTTAGAACCAGACCAGGAAGTGGACTGGTATTGTCACCAGTGTGCGTGAGGTCGTCAGACTCTTGTTTTCCATTGCCAGATAGATCGGTAACTTAATTACTCCATCCAAGCTGAATGAGTTTGAAATTGGTTTTGTGGGAATTTATGTATATTGTTTCAGGATGTACCTCGCGACATTCAAGATATATGACAGTTTGTGGATCTTGGCAAAGGTAGCAACGTCTGGCTCGGTCGGTGATGTCGAGGCGGTGGGGTAGCCTAGTGGTTAAAGAGTTCGCTCGTCACGCCGAACACCCGGGTTTGATTTCCCACAGGAGTACAGTGTATGGGTATGATCACGCATGCGTACCGTCACTGGTTTGCCTGAGCGAGATTCGATAACTTACAGGCAGTCGTGATATAGATTGAACAACCCTTATGCGGCGCCATTCACTCATTCACTTTACTTCACAGAGCTCTTGTGAAGGTCTGGGTTAGAATTGGTCTTCAGTAACCCATGCTTGTCGTAAGAGGCGACTAACGGGATCATGTGGTCAGGCTCGCTGACTTGGTTGACACATGCCATCGTATCCCAGTTGCGTAGGTTGGTGCTCATGCTGTTGGTCACTGGATTGTCTGGTCCAGGATCGATTATTTACAGACCGCCACCACATAGCTGGAATATTGCTGAGTGCAGCGTAAAACTAAACTCTCTCACTCATACAAAACTATGACAGGCATTTAGGGGAGGGTCATACAAAACTATGACAGGCATTAGGGGAGGGTCATACAAAACTATGACAGGCATTAGGGGAGGGTCATACAAAACTATGACAGGCATTAGGGAGGGTCATACAAAACTATGACAGGCATTAGGGGAGGGTCATACAAAAGTATGACAGGCATTAGGGAAGGGTCATACAAAACTATGACAGGCATTAGTGGACGGTCATACAAAATTATGACAGGCATTAGGGGAGGGTCATACAAAACTATGACAGACATTAGGGGAGGGTCATACAAAACTATGACAGGCATTAGTGGACGGTCATACAAAATTATGACAGGCATTAGGGAAGGGTCATACAAAACTATGACAGACATTAGGGGAGGGTCATACAAAACTATGACAGGCATTAGGGCAGAGGGCCTCTCACTGTTGCTGAAGTCAGAGCAGTCACCTTAGTGTTTGAAGCGTTCGTAAAATAGGTTGGTTTTCGAGCCAAATCCCTTCACAACTCACACTACAAATAATGCCAAAGTGTTTTCTTATATATGTGCCCTGTGCGTCACGTCAATCAAAGGAACTGTACTGTATCGATCATCAGTTCGCAAACTGATCTCGACAACCTATCTTCAATTCTCTCATCTCTACGACAATCAACAGGAGAGTATATGCATGCATACTACCTCATTTATTAAAGTTGAAGACAGTAATTCGTCAGCAGACAGAATTATCAAATCACAATAAATTCATCTTTAGGTAATACATTTATTTAAAAAACCGATCACATGTATAATGCATTTATCGTTTGAAATATAATGTACATGAGTCGTCTTGAAAAATGCCTTTCACTACAAAATCAATTCCAATCACCCAAGTGCCGGTCAACAGTTCTTCTTGATCCTTTCCCCCAAAATGATACCGACACTCTAATTTGTCAGTGTCACAGAACCGACACCCATTACAGTTCAGTACTTTAATTTGTATTCATGAATATTCATTACTGAATGGGAGTCAGCATATGTGACCTAAGTCATCACATCATGTGACCTAACTATGTTTATTACTTTGTAGAAAAACATACATTTTTACAAAATAATTCTCCCGACGACGAAGTTATTATATAATGTTGAAAGACTTGGTTCTAGAACATAGACATTTGGCGATAACCAGTTTTATGTTGACACAATCGGAATAAATTCTCGTCAATTTTTGGCTCCGTTTTCACCTCTTCACGTGAGGTACCCTTTAACCAAAACCAAAACCCCAATAGGTCATGTCAGGAGAACCGTGAGCGAACTTTAGCAGCACAGATGAAATGGAAGGATGCTTTTGTGTAGATGGCGCTCAGAAACGACCGGATTTTAAAACATAATGACGTAAACTTATAGCTTAACCGAAATGGCTGCTTAACTTCACGTTCGAGATGCATAAAGTTAACTGGTCTGATTGTTTTGCTCACTCGAAACGAGAACTTCAAACCTAGACGCAGATAATCTGATTTGAGAGTTCTCCTGATGATACTGGTTGGAGGGGCGGTTCAACCTTCACGTAGAGAGATGTCGGAGTAACTGATCGTGACGCTAACGCGATTGACGTTGAAAAGCGTTTAATTAATCACTGGAAGTCTCGTATACATATTTGTTATATATTGCGAAGTGGAATTAATACAGATCACTTATATATTCAAATTCATATCTTAGTAACTATTTCTTCACATCTGTTCTCTCCAGAAGGTTTACACCAAATGTCTAGTGCTTGCAATATCACTGCTTCATATCCATTTTATGTACCATTTAACCAGTTGCTGGGCAGGAGTAACGATGTATTCCTTGTCAATCGGAACGCATCGTCTGTTTTCATTTGAAATGGTGTGACTAGTGTGTTCCGAAAGAAGCCCCTCTACACAAACTGGCTGTCGATCCACGTCCTGAAGGCAGCCACTTCTGTGTAGAGTCCAGCCTGATTGGGCCTGGCGCATTCAAACCCACTGGAGACGATTCCGTACTGGACCCACTCGTTGTTATCCTGACAGATTAAAAGGCTGCCGGAGTCGCCCTGAAACAATGGAAGGATATACAAGCTATGACGAGGCGCTATGTACACGAACTCGACTGCCGAATGTTTGTAGGTTTGTTTTGTCTATTGCCACACCCGGCAATATTCTAGCTGTAAGGTGGCGTCCTGTAACTATAATGGAGTCTTGACCAGACAATCCAGTGACTGACGTCACGAACACCGACTTAAACAAGCGGGATATGATGACACGCATGAACAATATCAGTGAGGTGATGACAACTGATCTCGTTAGGGACCGTTCATTATTTAGGGGTGGGGTGTCATTCACATTGTACATGTTTCCCCATCAGACCATCATCACCTTAGCCATAAATTATGAACGGTCCCTTGTCTCCTCTTACAACAGACATACAGGGACCATTGTAACCCGGACCCTCGCGGGTTAGTACTCACTGTAAGGATGTTGTGATGTAACGTGGATATTATAGTAATAAACATAATATGTGTGTGCGTGCGTGCGTGCGTGCACTGCCTGTCTGCCTGTCTGTTTTCACTATTGTTCTTGTGAAAGTGTAGCCAACTGAGACAACCTACTCAGAAACAGTATGTTCAAACAGGCTTACCCGACATGCGTCCTCTCCGCCACTAACACCATTGGCAGCACAAATGATGTTGTTATCAACTGCAGAGGCGGTGGAGGTAAAGGTGGTACGGCAGTCTTCAGAGTCGTACAGCTCCAGGTCTACTTCTTGAAGAACGCTGGCAGAGACTCCATTGTCTGCAACACAACACGACGCCATGTATCTTCCTAACTTTAGGATTCTTGCTAAAGGGGACAAATAAATATATTAAACGAAAACCCACGCCGACAGAGGGATAAAGTGAAACATAACAGGAAAGTATCAGCATGTTTGCTTCCGCCATCAACCGTTCTAAGGCGCCCTAGATTCGTCGGTTCGAATCCTAGATTTGTAGGTACCATAGGACATTGTCCTGCACGACCTTTCATTCAGGACGACTCCGCCTGTGACATTCGTCGATGATACGCCATGAAGTAAGCAATCTCCGACAGAATTAGTAGGAAGTTCGATTCTCTAATTCCTCTAGTTCACGTGACGGTCATCTTCTTTGGGCATCCCAATGTGTAAATGTTGCTCGATGTCAAATTATTTGCCCAATTTCTATCTCGTTTTTCTCCAACTGGACATCGTGTTGTACGGGATCTAAACTGGATTTCTGTGGTCGACTGCAGTGTTGTTTCTCTGTACAACTGCTACCAAAGGTAAAGGTAACGGAATTAGAACTCACGGAATTAGAAATAAAATGGTTTGGGGCGCTGATTTCGTAGTTTTGAACACAACTAAAGTTTGCTAAATATTCTATGACTATCGTTTTTCACTTTTGTTAAATCATCCGAAATAGCATTCTCTTGAGTAACCACCCTGGAAAGATAATGCCGAAATAGATGAGTTTACAGGAGAGCAAATCGTGTCATTTTTACCACTTGAAATTTCATCAAAGTCAAAATGTACGTTTCTGATGTAAGCTATAGTATGCAAATGAGATGTACTCTCCATCGGTTCGCGTACGTAACATATTCTATGGAAAACGTCACATATCATTCATCCTTTATTTCTTTTATCCTAATTGATATGCAAACTAATTGATTTAAGGATTTTCTCAGTTCAGTTCATTTTTCATGCCTGTACTCTTGTTGAAAGGTTACTATTTTTACGAGTTCATTCAAAGCTTTGATTGTCAATTGCACAATCGCTATGGCAGCGCACGTGTAAATGCATCTTCCCGTCTAAACAGTGCTGCAGGTAGTAAGTTAGTAAGTTATGTTTCTAAATTTGTTGATAATATGCAATTTGTTGTTATTTTTACCTGTAAGATGGTATTTTGGATGATGATTAAAAGGCCTAGTTGAGAAAAACATACTTATTTTAATATTTGTTAAAACTACCTATTTTATTGAAGTAATAAACAAATAAACTAAATAACCAAACATTTTATTTCTATTTCCGTGAATACTTTAGAACATAGTCATACCCATACCATGTCCGTGAACTATATTAGCTCAGACAGACATACGAATATGAACACCTCCAATCAAGGCCTTAACTGATTCTTAGACACTGTTCTATGCAACTGGAGTTATGTACTCCTGGTCGCCCGATGAACCAATGTGAAGGTCGATGTCAGTAATCCCGTCATGCACACTTACAGGAAAGGGTTCCCCATCCAATCACAGTGCACGTCCTCCCAGTCTGCGTCACCTGAGACGAGGGCGCCATTTGAACAATTTGACGACATTTTGTTGTGATGACATCTTTCTTTAGTTTCAAGACAGCAACATCGAAAACTGCAACAGATAAAATACAAATCTTCATTAAATTGTATCCATTTCTTTGAGCGAGGGCAATCTTTAAACTTAATTGGCGGCGCGTACCGAAGATATAATCCCATTCTTGACACCAAGTATATATCTTTTGGGAGACATTTTCATAAACGTTTTAAGAGTGCTTACGAAATCTTAAGTCTGAGAAATATCACTCAACCTCTTAGAACTATTTTTTTCAGCGAGTAAAAAGTATTCTTAGAAAGCTGTAAGATGTCTATGAATACGGCCCAAAGTATACCACTCGGTGTTTTACTCGTCTTTTATACAAACATACTGGACCAAGTATCGTTGGACAAATACAAATGTATACTGTTTGCTCGAAGAGCAAAGGGACCCGTGAAGATCCAGGTTAGAATTGATCTTCAGTAACCCATGCTTGTCGTAAGAGGCGACTAACGGGATCATGTGGTCAGGCTCGCTGACTTGGTTGACACATGTGGACCATCGTATTCCAGTTGCGTATATCAATGCTCATGCTGCTGATCACTCGATTGTCTGGTCCATACTCGATTATTTACAGACCGCCGCCATATAGCTGGAATATTGCTGAGTGCGGCGTAAAACTACAACAATGACGGGTCAGGGTAGTTGTCCTTGTGACACCTCAGCAGTGACTTTCCTTAGATCTGAATTTTAATTGTCTATAGCTACTATCTGTGATCTATTATTAAGATAACTGAATCTCAGAATTAACATCTTCTCTCAGTTCGTCTCAAACACTTTGGCCATAGGTCATTCAAATTTGCAGCACCAACCCTATGGAACAGTCTTCCTACTCCCATAAAAAATGCTTCATCCTTAGAAGCATTCAAATCGGGACTCAAAGCCTTCCTCTTCAAAAAAGTCTACAACCTATAACTGCGAAATATTTTCATGGTCATTTTGACGAACTGTGATATCTTCCTCTTGAACTCTAGTGACTCTTTTTATATGTAGAGCTTTGAGCATGCTCTGGATGGACTATGGCTCATAAGAAATATCCATTTATTATTATTATTATTATTATTATTATTATTATTATAACTGGAAAACCAATCAAGTAACTTACCACGAATGTTTTGGTCAAATTTATGTGAAATTTTCTAAAATTGTGATGTTTTTTTTAGTGAGAGCGTTTAAAGAAAATCAAAAGTGTATGGGAGTTACGACATTCGAACTTCAACCACCGTTTTGTGCATGTAGCCCGTACCCGTTGACGAAGGTGATAGTAGCACTATGAGTTAAGATGCTAAGCCGTTGTGGAATGGCCGGCAGCAACATATTCCACGACACTAATGGCGAAACAGCAAGGTTACTCACACAGTGCGCCTCCCGCGTTAAAGTTGGGATGGATGACGAACTCCTCTACTTCCATGACCTCCATGTTGGGGTTGCGGGAGTTGTAGCTGGCACTGCCTATGGTGCTAGAACAATGCTTGCCCACCTCTACCGACAGAGCACTAGCTTGAAGGCCTCTGAAAAACAATCAGTTCTAAAGTGACTGAGTTAGGCTTACCGCCAGTTTGAGAAAGTACGTCTGTCATACCTAAATATTAACATTTTTTGGGTCAGGGGATGCAGGCCGTAATACCAGACGGCGGGTAATTGATCTGCTCTGGATAAGACAAATCACTGACTGATAGTACGAGCAGCGACCCCATCTCTGTGTATATGATGGGGTTCAGTTCTGGTACGTCTGACTGGTTGGGGAAGAACGCGCCCTGATCAGCTCAATGTCAGAACATCACTGGTTGGTTGGTTGGTTGTAATTCCAGCTAAGTGGCGGCTGTCTGTAAATAATCGAGTCTGGACCAGACAATCCAGTGATCAACAGTATGAGGACTAATCTACGCAAGTGGGATACGATGACATATGTCAACCAGGTCAGCGAGCTTGACCTGACCACCCGTTAGTCGCCTCTTACGACAAGCATGGGATGCTGAAGACCAATTCTTACCCGGATGTCCACGGGTACAGTCCAACAGTGAAAGCTGTACTTACACCACACAGTGAGCCGCAGTAAGGACTTTGTTGGGTCCAATCAGACTTCCCCCGCAGGAGGCGGCTCCGAACCGGCGCAGTCCGACAGTGAATGGGTACTTGCAGGGCGGGTCCACGTCGATTCCGCCGACTACCCGACTTGTCAAACAGGCTTCCTCTGGAACAGGAACAACAAACATAACCATCGAAGACATTTAGTACTACTGCTACTACTACTACTACTACTACTGCGACTGCTGCTACTACTACTACTGCGACTGCTGCTACTACTACTACTACTACTACTACTACTACTACTGCTGCTGCTACTACTTCACTGTTGCGACTGCTACTACTACTACTACTACTACTACTGCGACTGCTGCTGCTACTACTTTACTACTACTGCGACTGCTGCTGCTACTACTACTACTACTACTACTACTACTACTACTACTACTGCTGCTGCTACTACTACTACTGCGACTGCTACTACTACTACTACTACTACTGCGACTGCTGCTGCTACTACTACTACTACTACTACTGCTACTACTGCTTCACTACTACTTGCGACTGCTGCTACTACTACTACTGCGACTGCTGCTACTGCTTCTACTACTATACTGCTACTGCTGCTGCTACTACTACTACTACTACTGCTACTACTACTACTACTACGACTGCTGCTGCTACTACTACTACTGCGACTGCTGCTACTACTACTGCGACTGCTGCTACTACTACTACTGCTACTACTGCTACTACTACTGCGGCTGCTGCTACTACTACTACTACTACTGCGACTGCTGCTGCTACTACTACTGCTGACTGCTGCTGCTACTACTACTACTACTGCGGCTACTGCTGCTACTACTATTACTGCGACTGCTGCTGCTACTACTACTACTACTACTGCTGCTGCTGCTGCTACTACTGCTGCTGCGATTGTAACTCCTCCTCCTCCTCCTACTACTACTACTACTGCGACTGCTGCTTCTACTACTACTACTACTACTTCTACTACTACTACTGCGACTGCTGCTGCTACTACTACTACTACTGCGACTGCCACTACTACTGCGACTACTGCTACTACTACTACTGCGACTGCTACTTCTACTACTACTGCGACTGCTACTACTACTACTACTACTACTGCGACTGCTGCTACTACTATTACTGCGACTGCTGCTACTACTACTACTACTACTACTGCGACTGCTGCTACTACTGCTGCTGTTATTGTAACTCCTCCTCCTCCTACAACTACTACTACTACTACTGCGACTGCTGCTTCTACTACTACTACTACTGCGACTGCTACTACTACTACTACTGCGACTGCTACTACTACTACTACTACTACTGCGACTGCTACTACTACTACTACTGCGACTGCTGCTGCTACTACTACTACTACTGCGACTGCTACTACTACTACTTCTGCGACTGCTACTACTACTACTACTACTACTACTGCTGCTGTTATTGTAACTCCTCCTCCTCCTACAACTACTACTACTACTGCGACTGCTGCTTCTACTACTACTACTACTACTACTACTACCTCTACTACTACTACTGCGACTGCTGCTGCTACTTCTACTACTACTGCGACTGCTACTACTACTACTACTACTGCGACTGCTACTACTACTACTGCTGCTGTTATTGTAACTCCTCCTCCTCCTACAACTACTACTACTACTACTGCGACTGCTGCTTCTACTACTACTACTACTACTTCTACTACTACTACTGCGACTGCTGCTGCTACTACTACTACGGCGATCACTACACCACTGCGACTGCTGCTTCTACTACCACTCATGCGACTGCTACCACTACTACTACTGCTGCTGCTACTACTACTACTACTACATTGCGACTGCTACTACTACTACTGCGCGACTGCTGCTTCTACTACTACTACTCACTACTACTACTACTTCCACCAATTACCACTACTACTCTCTACTACTACTACTGCGACTGTTGCTGCTACTACTACTACTACTACTACTACTACTACTACTCACTGCGACCGCTGCTACTACTACTACTACTACTGCGACTGCTACTACTACTACTACTACTGCGACTACTGCTACTACTACTACTGCGACTGCTGCTACTACTACTACTACTGCGACTGCTGCTACTACTGCTGGTATTGTAACCCTCCTCCCTCCCACAACCACTACTACTACTCATACTACCATTGCGACTGCTGCTACTACTACTTTCTACTACTACTACTTACCACTACCACCGTGACTGCTGTCACTACTACTGCGACTGCTGCTACTACTGCTGGTATTGTAACTCCTCCTCCTACAACTACTATTACTACTACTACTCATACTACTACTGCGACTGCTGCTACTACTACTACTACTACTACTACTACTTCTACTACTACTACTGCGACTGCTGCTGCTACTACTACTACTACTACTGCGACGATTTACTACTACTACTACCACTGCGACTAATACTGCTACTTCTACCACCGCGACTGCTGCTACTACTACTACTGCTACTGCTGCTACTACTACTATTACTACTACTACTCATACTACTACTGCGACTACGCTGCTGCTTTCTACTTCTACTACTACTACTTCTACTACTACTACTGCGACTGCTGCTGCTACTACTACTACTACTGCGACTGCTACTACTACTACTACTACTGCGACTACTGCTACTACTACTACTGCGACTACTGCTACTACTACTACTGCGACTATTGTTACCACTACTAATTCACCGCGACTGCTGCTACTACTACTACTACTACTGCTGCTGCTACTACTACTACTACTGCGACTGCTACTACTACTACTACTGCGACTGCTGCTGCTACTACTACTACTACTGCGACTGCTACTACTACTACTACTACTGCGACTACTGCTACTACTACTACTGCGACTACTGCTACTACTACTACTGCGACTATTGCTACTACTACTGCGACTGCTGCTGCTACTACTACTACTACTGCTGCTACTACTACTACTACTGCGACTGCTACTACTACTACTACTGCGACTGCTGCTACTACTACTACTGCGACTGCTGCTACTACTACTACTACTGCTACTACTGCTACTACTACTACTGCGACTACTGCTACTACTACTACTGCGACTACTGCTACTACTACTGCGACTGCTGCTGCTACTACTACTACTACTGCTGCTGCTGCTACTACTACTACTACTGCGACTGCTACTACTACTACTACTGCGACTGCTGCTACTACTACTACTGCGACTGCTGCTACTACTACTACTACCGCGACCGCTGCTACTGCTGCTACTACTACTGCTGCTGCTGTTACTCCTACTCCCCTACTACTACTACTGTTACTATTACTGCTACTACCGCCACTACTTCATCTACAGGACCCTCCCTCAGTGAATCTGACAGTCATAATGTTTATGTCGTGTTTTGTGATTTGCTGTTCACTTCATCAACCACTGGTTTATCATCTCGAGATGGTTTCTTACCGGCGACGTAAAAAACTATCCTCACTGCCAGCACTACAGCATCTACAGCTACAATAATTTACTATTTCACCTTTTGTGGGTTCATATGCCCCACCCCCGTCCAACCCTTACCCCAGCCCGTCCAACCCCTACTCCACCCCGTCCAACCCCTACCCCACCCCGTCCAACCCCTAACCCAGCCCATCCATCACTTACGTTGGCAGATCTGTGCGTCTTCAGCGTTGCAAGCCTTCTCAAAGGTTAGTCCTGTGTCAGATCCGTCGCACGGTAGTCCGTTGACTGGTGGTGGGTTAGTGCACGTGCGTTGCCTGGTGACGTTTTGTCGTCCTCCTCCACATGGTGCTGTGCACTCAGTTACAGGGACATCGACCCAGGGCGACCACCCACCATTCTGAACCACTGAAGATGGCATTAAAACATTTATTCTCAACCACATTTTGTTACCATCACATCGGTACTCAGGTACTGACATAAGCTGTAAAAGGTAATGCAGTGTACCACTGATTTGTCGAACTTAAGGTTGTGTCGAAGTAAAATCTTGGTCCCTGCGTATTCTTATTTAGCCATCATCTTGCGGTTGTGTCGACTGAGTGTGTGAGTATGGGTTTACGCCGCTTTTAGCAATATTCCAGCAATATCACGGCGGAGGATACCAGAAATGGGCTTCACACATTGTACCCATGTGGGGAATCGAACCCGTGTCTTGGGGTTGACGAGCGAATGATTTCACCACTAGGCTACCCCACCGCGCCAGGTTGAAGCTGTTTTCTAAAAATAGAAAAATAACCTCTAAACCTTTGTATTTTGGAACATTATTTGTTTTCGTGAACATCTGGTGCTCTCATTGCTTTTCAGTGATCCATTCATGTAGTCATCATGGCTATTTTTAAATGTTTGGTCCAGTGGAATTGGTTTGGGCAGACCGTTTGTCCTCTTGTGTTGACATGGCGAAATTCGATCATTGATCAAACGTTTTATATGGTCCGTCGTTGTCAGAAAATGCACTTTGAATCAACTAGATATATCAAAAGACAAATGGAATATTGGAAATTTAACAAAAATCCCATTATTTCCACATAGAAAGACGTTAAAAGATTCTCATCTGGGTACCGGAAATGCCCATTCAGTTATCACTGCAAGAACTAATTCTTTCTTTCATTTCAATATTTTATCACTCCACCGATCCACAATACGATTCAGAAATTACATAAAAATATGTTACATCGAGCAACGAACTTTTTAAAGGACATGAAAACCGAAAACAAAATAAACAACAACAACAACAACAACCGTGAAAGGAGGAAAAAGTTACTGAGTATGATTTAACTCACCACTACATTCGGCTGTGTTACAGGTCAAGGTCGTATTCCGCTCGGCTTCACCGTCACAAAGAGCACCGCCATTAGCCGGGGCTGGACTGTTACATACCCGACGATCAGTTCTAATTTGGGTTCCGCCCCCACAGGACACCGAGCAAGTGCTGGTCGATGACGGACTCCATTCACTCCACATCCCATCAACTGACAACAAACAGATGATAATGAAACTTTGAAAATAATTCTTGTCAATATTATGCAAGTCAAGTCAAAATGGTTTATAGTACAGAAGGCCTCTGGCCCATATACAAGAGAGTATGTACACATCATACTTTTACACGCAGGAAGTAACACGTTCTTTAAACAGTTCATTTCTTTTAACGAGTGCATGTTTAACATATAGTGAAAGGTTTAGTATATGGGATTCGTTCTTAGTCGTTAAAATATATACGAAAACTTTCAATGGCGGCATCCCTATCAAATAATCTTTAATACATTTCTTTCGAAGGTCACTATAAAATGGACAGACGAACACAAAGTGAATTTCATTTTCTATTTCCATATCGCATAACTGACAGATTCGTTTCAATTTTACAATGGAATGTTTTCTTCCTTCATTTGCAAAAAGGTCTAACAAACCTTGCCGATATTTAATAAATGTTTCCTAAAAGTTTCTGTCGTATAAATAAATTTCTGGTTGAAGTAAGGTCTTGAAAGTTCTATAATAAGCATATCGTAAACTATTTTCTAAAGTGGAATGCCATTCCTGGTAAAACATATTAACAGACCGAGTTCTAAATTCTTTAAGAAACATGTCTACACTTCCAGCTGACTGACATTACCATATACAACCATAACCATGGGAAAATAGAAGATTCCTTATATGCGATACCCATGTAATTTTCCCAATGTTATCTAAATGTAAAAGCATGTTATAAGCTACTTTGGGGAGACGTTGCTCGTGCATATGAAGAAGTTAGAACCAATATTTTAAACATCTAATCTGGGAATTAATATATAATGGATATCTACCACATTCACCATATACCATGCAATTTGGTGTAGAGAATTTTTTTACATGCTAATAAGTGGACCTTCTCCAAACATTCATACCGCTTAAATCCCCATACTTCCGAGCCATATAATAAAAATGGTTGTATCTGGGTATCAAAGAGCTTAAAGAATATATTAGGTGACATGGTTCCAACTTTGTGGACAATAGACATTACACTTATTAAAGCTTTCTTTGCACGCAATGATAAATCTTTGGTACATTTTTTCAAGGTCATTGTGTGTGAAAACCAGATTCTTAAATATGAATAATGATCCATACATCGACTAACTGACCATCAAATAACCATCTTTCTTTCAGCGCTATTGGACCACCTTTCCTGAAGATCACAATTTTAGTTTTATCTAGATTCACTGACAATTTCCATTCTTTTATGTATGCATTTAGAATATTCATTGTCTTTGGAGACCGACCACAGTATCTGACACTAAAATGACATCCTCTGCAAAAAACTTCTATTAGGTCTGGAAACATTTGGATACCATGTTTACCATTTGAAGCTATTTCAATATAAAATTCATTAATGAAAAGTGAAAATAAGACAGGACTCAGAATACAGCCTTGTCCTAAACCCAAAGGACAGTCAAAGAAATCTGTTTCACCCTCACTGCTACGAACACATGACCTCACATTGCAATATATTGCTTTTATAATAGCAAACATTTCCCCCCGTAGTCCAGCATTCCGAAGACATTTCCATAGCTTAGAGCGGTCAACTGAATCAGAAGCCTTTTTGAAATCTACAAATGCTACAAACAACTGATTCTTTCGTCGTGACAAGTCTTTTGGATAAGTGCATAAAGAGTAAATATATGATCTGATGTGGAATAATTCTTTCTTAAGCCAGCTTGAAATTCAGGAATTTTATCGCGCATGTTCGCCCATTTAGAAATTCTATTATTTAGTATTGTTGTAAACACTTTTCCAAGAACGCTCATCAAAGAAATACCCCTGTAGTTGTCTGGGTCACTGCGGTCACCTTTTTTATGCAGAGGCATTATTGTAGATCATGACCAGCTGTTTGGGAAAATACGTTTTCCAAATAGCTTATTAAAGCATTTAAATAGAAAAGGCATAACTACAAACCTGGAATACTTCAACATTTCAATAATTATATCATCTGGGCCTGCTGCTTTTCCCATTTTTAGGTAACCTCTTACACAAAATATCTCGCTTTCAACAATGGGTGAATCTAGCACAAGTTCATCAACACCAGTATAGCATTCAGTAAAATCGTTTTGCTTGTCATCAATTTCCGTGTCTAATATTGTTTCATTTGAAAAAACCTTCTTAAGATGACTAAGCCACAGTGTTTTTGATATGTTATCTTTAGCAGGGGACCGATATTTGAGGGATCGTATTTCTTTCCAGAATGATGAATCGTTGTTCATAGAATTTAACAATTTGTCTTGTTTACGCCTACACAATTCAAATTTGAATTTCCGGCAAAAGTTCTTATATTTATTCTTACTTTCACAATATTTCTTTCGGTCAAGACCAGCACGAGTTTTTCTAAATCGTCATAGTGCCTTGCGGGCGTTCCGTCTTGCAGTTCTGCATTCAGCATTAAGTGAGGTCTTTTTATTTATGTTATGGTTTAATTCTTTTGTCATACAAGATGATGAATCCAGCATTATTTGAACACAATCATCAATTGAACACAATCATCAATTGTTATTATCAAGTTTATCGAAGAGTAGTTGTGTAACAGACGTTATACTTTCATGAAGCTTACTCAGATAATTGTCAGATAATTCGTCATTCCATATTAATTTCATTTTAGTGACGCCCTCAGGTGTTACCTTGTTAATTGTTTGATTCATATTGGGGAATCTACAAGTCAATTCTAGAGGTAAGATTCCAGACGATTTCCAATGTTCAGCATGTCAATATACTGAAAGCCATTAGAAACGCACTGATAGATTAGCATATGTCTTAGGTGCGTTTTGGCATCCAAGAATTTTTTAGAGAACGATGTGATAAGTGACCATTTAAGAAGAGAATGAAATGCGTTATAAAGTTGCACTGCGTTTATTGACCAAGGCAACGTGGGTTAAACAGAGACGGGGTCAAATCAAAGGTTCACACAGGTAAACAACAAGAAGGAAGACGACGTCGGTATCGCGTGTGTCCACCATTAGCATTAATAACAGCCACACACCTCCTCCTGAGAGAAAAGATGACCCTCCTGAAGAAATCCTGAGGGATCTGTTGCCATATCCTGCGGAGAGACGCTTCCAGCTAAAGCAAGTTGAGAGGTGGCGCCATATTGGCAAGTCTCCTCCCCATCTCATCCCAGACATGCTCGATGGGTGCCAAATCAGGGGACAGCGATGGCCATTGCATGGCATTGATGTTGTTCTGTCGCAAGAAGTCCATGGTATGCCTTGCGATATGGGGTCTGGCGTTATCTTGTTGCAGAGTGTGCAGACGTCGATGGGTCATCATGTGAGGGACAACGATAGGCCTTAAAACGTCCTGCGTGTACGTTTGGGCGGTAACACGGCCTCGAAAGACATGCAAGGGGGTCCTGTCAAACACGCTGATCCCGCCCCAAATCATCAAACTTCCTCCACCCCAGCGATTAGCCTCCAAAAGACAGCAATTGGCGTAACGCTCACCGCGTCTACGCCACACACGCAAACGTCCATCAGCGTGACTGAGGTGGAATCTGGATTCGTCGGTAAACAGGACTCCTGTCCACTCTCTGTGTGTCCATCTGCAATGATGTCTACACCAAGCGAGACGTGCCTGCCGATGTCTACGTGTCAGAATTGGACCAACATGAGGTCGACGTGCACGTAGCCCTCTCTCACGTAAACGACGTCTCACAGTTTGAGGACTGATTCTTCCCCTTCTCCCACGGATTGCTGAAGCTGTCCTTGCTGCTGGCTGGAACCGGTTCCTCAAATGGGTGACCTGGATGTAGTGGTCTTGATATGGGGTTGTGACGCGTGGTTGTCCCGGACGTTGCCGGTCACGGGTGCTGCCTATTTGTTGAAGACGCTGGGAGAGTCTAACAATTGTCGACATGTGACAGTTGAACTGTGCGGCCACTGCACGGGTGGATAATCCAGCATTAAGCAAACCGACTGCTCGCTCTCTCTGAACAGCCGATAATCGAGGCATCGTTCCAAATTCAGCAATGGAATTAAAGACCAAAAACCATGTGATTCTTACAGGAAAATTGTCACACTTTAACCCTGCTTGAATTTCGGATCAGTTGGGTCATCTGTCCATGCTCTACATGACAATTCGTGGTTATGTGATCATCATGTGTCACGTGACCGCACCTGCATGCATGCTGCCCTCACTTCGCATGCTTTTCAGTTGATTCATACAACAGTTTGGGTTCGAACAATTCACGTCAGTAAAACGTATATCATCAGAATGAGTGATGCGTTTCTAATGGCTTTCAGTATATAATCAAAGAAATCGGGAGAACATATAAAGTAATCATTAACGCTAGCACCTTGATTTCTCCCAGGGTATCTCCATACACTCTCCCATTGACAATGAACAGCTGGAATGTATACAACATATCTAACAGCAACTGGCCAAGCTGTTAATAATAGTATCATGAGATTTCCGATCTCCAACAGATATGTTTTCATCTTCAGGAAATACACAACTACTATGAACAACATCGTTTTGTAAATCATCGAGAGGATTATTCAATTCACCTGTACGAGCATTCATATCTCCACATACCACACTAATAGAATCCCTAAACTTCGACTGATTATCTAACAAAAACTCTTCAAGCTGTTCAATACTACAGTCTGAGCTCACGTGGTTATAATACGATAGGCCAGCTGGTGGTATGTATGTACATAGCAAGTTTACACTTTTATCAAGATTTAAGTAACACTTTTGATATGTTCAAGCACAGGAGGTTATGAACCTCTGATTCAATCATCTTATAAGATTTGCTTACTGATTGATGGACACGTACACACACACCACCTGAGAGCCTGCCGTAGTCAGATAACTTTATTGCTGGGCTGTAATAGATGTCATAATCAACTAACCAGTCGTTGCCAAATCCGCAGTCGACAAATGTTTCCACAAGACATATTATTTGAAATTGTTTTAAGTACGATATAAAAGTCATAATGTAGGCTATTGGCTTTAAAACACTCATACGCCAAACAATATTCTCCATATAACCAAGCTCCGACCAACGACAGAAAACCCTCTACATCGACCATATCAACTCCCCACCCAATATTAGCCTTAACCCACATTTCAGCTCCATACAGACAAACAAATATTCAGCCATATAGCCCCATTGAACAATACCTTTAATGCCATATTCAGTCATGCACCCGATGTAGCCCGCAATCAACCAAATCCCTCTGTCATATCAACTGGAACTCAATAAGCAACAAAACCCCGACGAACAATATCAAGCCGAACTCCCTTGTCATATCTCACGGTAACCCTCCTGTCCCACCAACCTTAATCCCAACCTCACAACGACAGACCCACCCAACAGCGGCGCTGTCTACCCTTACGTACTTGGACATCCTTGTTCGTTGCAGGTTCTGATGACGTCAAGTGTCGCCGATCCCACACAGTCCTGACCCCCAGATGACGGGGCGGGGTTGTTACACGAACGTGTCCTACGGAATACCATCTGTCCACCCCCACAGGTAGCATTGCAGGTCGACACGGCAACCTCGGCTCCCCACGGCCCCCAGTTACCATCATCTGGAACACACAGAGACAGAGTAACAATGTCACATGTACATTCAGGCTAATCTGCTGCTACAGCAGATCTCTATCTAAGACAAAACGTGTTGCCATACTGTGATATCTCGACATGGGCTCAATAGTCGTTACATCGGCCAATCATGTGTAGCCATTCAACAATCTGGCAGACCAAGGAAGCTTGATGTCATGACTATGTTGCATTGTAATGCTATTTTGAAAATATAATTCTCGGATCTGCAACAAGATACTCTTTCACGTATATTCACTACGCCCAAGCCAACAACCCAAAACCCCAAAAACAGGTCCTTGCCCCATGTCATCTCTCTACACAACATTAGGCCTCACCACCAACACAACACATTCAGCATTGACCTCAGCTCTTTAACCACTTCCACCCAACATTAGGCCTCACCACCAACACAACTCATTCAGCATTGACCTCAGCTCCTTAACCACTTCCACCCAACATTAGGCCTCACCACCAACACAACTCATTCAGCATTGACCTCAGCTCCTTAACCACTTCCACCCAACATTAGGCCTCAGCACCAACACAACTCATTCAGCATTGACCTCAGCTCCTTAACCACTTCCACCCAACATTAGTCCTCACCACCAACACAACTCATTCAGCATTGACCTCAGCCCCTTAACCACTTCCACGCAACATTAGGCCTCACCACCAACACAACTCATTCAGCATTGACCTCAGCTCCTTAACCACTTCTACCCAACATTAGGCCTCACCACCAACACAACTCATTCAGCATTGACCTCAGCTCTTTAACGACTTCCACCCAACATTAGGCCACACCACCAACACAACTCATTCAGCATTAACCTCAGCTCTTTAACCACTTCCACCCAACATTAGGCCTCACCACCAACACAACTCATTCAGCATTGACCTCAGCTCTTTAACCACTTCCACCCAACATTAGGCCTCACCACCAACACAACTCATTCAGCATTGACCTCAGCTCTTTAACCACTTCCACCCAACATTAGGCCTCACCACCAACACAACTCATTCAGCATTGACCTCAGCTCTTTAACCACTTCCACCCAACATTCCTCACCACCACAACTCATTCAGCATTGACCTCAGCACCAACCACTTCCACCCAACATTTCAGCATTGACATCAGCCCCTTAACCACTTCCCACCCAACATTAGGCCTCACCACCAACACAACTCATTCAGCATTGACATCAGCCCCTTAACAACTTCCACCCAACATTAGGCCTCACCACCAACACAACTCATTCAGCATTGACATCAGCCCCTTAACCACTTCCACCCAACATTAGGCCTCACCACCAACACAACTCATTCAGCATTGACATCAGCCCCTTAACAACTTCCACCCAACATTAGGCCTCACCACCAACACAACTCATTCAGCATTGAACTCAGCTCCTTAACCACTTCCACCCAACATTAGACCTAACCAACACAACTGATTCACCATTGACCCTTGTCGGTGTTATCACTCGTTTAGTATTAGCTCCTACCTACAAGATAGAATGTCTCGTCTCACCGTCCTTAAACCAACCCCACAACGACAGACCCACCCACCTGCGATGCTGTCTACCCTTACGTACTTGGACATCCTTGTTCGTTGCAGGTCCTGCTGACGTCAAGTGTCGCCGATCCCACACAGTCCTGACCCCCAGGTGACGGGGCGGGGTTGTTACATGAACGTGTCCTACGGAATATCATCTGTCCACCCCCACAGGTAGCATTGCAGGTCGACACGGCAACCTCGGCTCCCCACGGCCCCCAGTTACCATCATCTGGAACACACAGAGACAGAGTGACAATGTCACATGTACATTCAGGCTAATGTGCTGCTACAGCAGATCTCTATCTAAGACAAAACGTGTTGCCATACTGTGATATCTCGACATGGGCTCAATAGTCGTTACATCGGCCAATCATGTGTAGCCATTCAACAATCTGGCAGACCAAGGAAGCTTGATGTCATGACTATGTTGCATTGTAATGCTATTTTGAAAATATAATTCTCGGATCTGCAACAAGATACTCTTTCACGAGAAAACGTATATCCACTACGCCTAAGCCAACAACACAGCAACCAAAAAACAGGTCCTTGCCCCATGTCAACTCTCTACCCAACAATAGGCCTCACCACCAACACAACTCATTCAGCATTGACCTCAGCTCCTTAACAACCTCCACCCAACATTAGGCCTCACCACCAACACAACTCATTCAGCATTGACCTCAGCTCCTTATTTCCAGCATTGAACAGCACCAACACAACTCATTCAGCATGGACATCTTCCAACCACTTCCACCCAACATTAGCCACTCAACTCATTCAGCATTGACATCAGCCCCTTAACAGCATCCACCCAACATTAGGCCTCACCACCAACACAACACATTCAGCATTGACATCAGCCCCTTAACAACTTCCACCCAACATTAGGCCTCAGCACCAACACAACTCATTCAGCATTGAATTCAGTTCCTTAACAACTTCCACCCAACATTAGCCCTCAGCACCAACACAACTCATTCAGCATTGAACTCAGCTCCTTAACCACTTCCACCCAACATTAGACCTAACCAACACAACTGATTCACCATTGACCCTTGTCGGTGTTATCACTCGTTTAGTATTAGCTCCTACCTACAAGATAGAATGTCTCGTCTCACCGTCCTTAAACCAACCCCACAACGACAGCCCCACCCACCAGCGTTGCTGTCTACCCTTACGTACTTGGACATCCTTGTTCGTTACAGGTCCTGCTGACGTCAAGTGTCGCCGATCCCACACAGTCCTGACCCCCAGGTGACGGGGCGGGGTTGTTACATGAACGTGTCCTACGGAATATCATCTGTCCACCCCCACAGGTAGCATTGCAGGTCGACACGGCAACCTCGGCTCCCCACGGCCCCCAGTTACCATCATCTGGAACACACAGAGACAGTGTCAGAGTGTCACATGTACATTCAGGCTAATGTGCTGGGACAGCAGATCTCTAAGACAATACGTGTGACCATATACATACAGTGATATCTCAGTATCTGTATATCGAGGAGTCATGTGTACCCGGGGTGATGAGGTAGCCTAGTGGTTAAAGTGACCGCTCGTCACGCCGAAGATTCAGGGTCGATCCCCCACATGGGTACAAGGTGTGAAGCCCATTTTTTGGTGTTCCCTGCGTGCTGTTGCCGGAATGTATTACTAAAAGCGGCGTAAAACTAAACTCGGGTGGCCAAGTAGTCTACGGCGCCACCATTCGCAGTTCGCCTCCCGGTTTGCCTCGATTATGTTTCTAGGGTTTTCGGAACCATAGTGATAACTATCTGAGACCTGCATCGTCTCGGGCATGACGCCTTAATCTAACTGGTATACTTACAATGGTACTCACTGACCCTTTACGGTTCGGGTAAGAACTGGCCCGCAGTTACTTCTGTTTATCGTGTGAGGTGATCAATTGGATTAGGTAGGCTAGACTATTAACTGGTGTGGGTCCTAGTTGGCATATGTCATCGTTTCCCATTTGCGTAGATCGATACTCATGATCTCAATCACTGGATTGTCTTTCCCAGAGTCGATTATTAACAGACCGCATGATATGACTGGAGAAATGCTGGGTGCGGCGTTAAACAAAATACAAAACAAACAAACCAGGAAACAACACAAACTCAACAACAAATTATTTGTTTTGCCCAGACTTGAATATTTCCTGGTCGCCTTGACTACTACACGGAGCTTTAGGCAAAGTGGTGTAAACTTACTAATACAAGCTTGAGTATTGCAAGTGTCGGTCCTGGTGCCGGTTGCCTGTCCCTCGCAAGCCCTGCCTCCGTTTGCAGGGGTGGGGTTGTTACATTGCCGGCTCAACGAGAAGACCTCCGTACCCCCTCCGCACGTGGCTGTACACTCGGAAACCAGCGTCTCACTCCATGAGCTCCATCCCCCATCAACTGGCTCACCTTGAAATAAACATCATACAGAGATTATTAAAAGGACAGATCTGTAATAAGGATAGTTATCTGGACAAAATACAGCGAATGTACTATTGACTGGTTTATGACAAGTTTGGATCCACACACAAAACATATTTTTTCTCACAGCAAGATTCATATGTAACCATTGTTTATCCGAGTCACAATAAATCTGTATTTTAGACGATAAAATAGATCGAGTTTAACGTTGCTGGTAATGATGTCTGTGTTAAATCAATTTGGATTTCAGTTGACCTCGACCAGGATGTGGACCTCATGGTATAATTAATGAACTCAGCGTCGATGGTTCATTTACTTCTTACTAAATCTTTAAATTAAATGTGATGACAATATGGTTATCTCGAATATATTCTTTTATTGCATTTCACAACACGCCGGACAACTGTGTGAAAATAAACAGAACTACATAACTACACCAGGGTGTATGCTACATATATATCTGTTACATATGTGTTACACGTGTTGGTTAACTAAAGGATCAGATGATATATATCCAGCTTGTGCACGTGTTGGCTAACTAAAGTATCAGGTGATATATATCCAACTTGTGCACGTGTTGGCTAACTAAAGGATCAGGTGATATATATCCGACTTGTGCACGTGTTGGCTAACTAAAGGATCATGATATATATCCAACTTGTGCACATGTTGGCTAACTAAAGGATCAGGTGATATATATCCAACAGGGTGATATATATCCAACTTGTCAAGCACGTGTTGGCTAACTAAAGGATCAGGGTGATATATATCCAACTTGTGCACATGTTGGCTAACTAAATTGGCTATATATCTCTAAAGGATCAGGTGATATATATCCAACTTGTGCACGTGTTGGCTAACTAAAGGATCAGGTGATATATATCCAACTTGTGCACATGTTGGCTAACTAAAGGATCAGGTGATATATATCCAACTTGTGCACGTGTTGGCTAACTAAAGGATCAGGTGATATATATCCAACTTGCACGTGTTGGCTAACTAAATTATCAAGTGCACCAACTGTTGGCTAACTAAAGGATCAGGTGATATATATCCAACTTGTGCACGTGTTGCAACTAAAGGATCAGGTGTGTTGGCTAACTAAAGGATCAGGTGATATATATGTTGGCTAACTTGTGATTATATCAACATGTTGGCTAACTAAAGGATCAGGTGATATATATCAAACTTGTGTTGTTGGCTAACTAAATGATCAGTTATATATCTAACTAATGTTGGCTATAAAGGTGATATATATTCAACTTGTGCACGTGTTGGCTAACTAAAGGATCAGGTGATATATATCCAACTTGTGCACGTGTTGGTTAACAATAGGATTGTGGGATATATGTTCAAGGTCACTTTTCTACCCTTAATGCGGACGTACAGATGTTAGATACATCATTATTGCATACTCGCATGCAAAAAGCATTGAAAGTGTGGAGCAGAGCAAGCTGTAAACCAGTGTAAATGGGTCATATGTTCAAGATTCCGTCCTTCGAAATAATGACGAACATGAGAAGAAAATGACGTCAATGGTACATTCGAACGAACAATTTAATGCTGTGCTCAGAAAACCGGAATTCGCCCGCTTTGTCCAGTGCAATCAGCGCAAGTCGGATGCCGCGATCTGACGATGTATGATTCTTGTATGTGCAGGATAACGAGAGGATCGGTGCAATATGATAATATATGTCATTATGTTGAGCAGGTTTGCTATGATGGTAATACAACATATTGATGTAGGCATGTCAACATCACGATATGGTGTGTTATGACAATATATGCCTTCTGCATATGCAGGGTTACAAGACGATTGGTTACACATTATGCTTGTCTGTAATACACTATATCTCACTTGTACATGCAGGATTACTAGAGGGTAGGTTATAACACTATATCTTACTTGTACATGCAGGATTACTAGAGGGTAGGTTATAACACTATATCTTACTTGTACATGCAGGATTACTAGAGGGTAGGTTATAACACTATATCTTACTTGTACATGCAGGATTACAAGAGGGTTGGGTTATACACTATATCTTACTTGTACATGCAGGATTACAAGAGGGTGGGTTATACCCTATATGTTACTTGTACATGCAGGATTACAAGAGGGGGGGGTTATACACTATATCTTACTTGTACATGCAGGATTACAAGAGGGTGGGTTATCTTACTACACTATATCTTACTTGTACATGCAGGATTACAAGAGGGTGGGTTATACACTATATCTTACTTGTACATGCAGGATTACAAGAGGGTGGGTTATAACACTATATCTTACTTGAACATGCAGGATTACAAGAGGGTGGGTTATACACTATATCTTACTTGTACATGCAGGATTACAAGAGGGTGGGTTATAACACTATATCTTACTTGAACATGCAGGATTACAAGAGGGTGGGTTATACACTATATCTTACTTGAACATGCAGGATTACAAGAGGGTGGGTTATACACTATATCTTACTTGTACATGCAGGATTATAAGAGGGTGGGTTATACACTATATCTTACTTGAACATGCAGGATTACAAGAGGGTGGGTTATAACACTATATCTTACTTGAACATGCAGGATTATATCTTACTTGAACATGCAGGATTAGGGGGTCAAGAGGATTATAAGAGGGTGGGTTATACACTATATCTCTTGACTTACTAGAGGGGTGGGTTATACACTATCTTACTTGTACATGCAGGATTACAAGAGGTGGGTTATAACACTTATAACATGCAGGATTATATCACTTATCTTACTTGTACATGCAGGATTACAAGAGGGTGGGTTATACACTATATCTTACTCTTGAACATGCAGGATTATAAGGGGGTGGGTTATACACTATATCTTACTTGTACATGCAGGATTACAAGAGGGTGGGTTATATCACTATATCTGACTTGAACATGCAGGATTACAAGAGGATGGGTTATAACACTATATCTTACTTGAACATGCAGGATTACAAGAGGGTGGGTTATAACACTATATTTTACTTGTACATGCAGGATTACAAGAGGGTGGGTTATAACACTATATCTTACTTGTACATGCTGGTCTAGAGCAGGAGCGAGTAAATGGGCCTATTGCGTTGTCCCCATTACAATCAGCACCCCCATTTTGGGGGGCAGGATTGTTGCAGAACCTTGAACGGGTGTAAGTCTCCGTGCCGACTCCACACGACACGGTGCACGGATACCATACAGCATCCGACCATTCACCCCAGTTGCCATTGACAACCACCACTGAAAACCCAAACATCACGAGACACTTACAACCAGGACGGGTCCTTTGTTATAACAAGAACAATCCTTATAGGCCATGAGCCAGACAATGTTTCGGTACCACTCAGAGGGACCAAACACTTTCATGTTTTTTGAAGTTGTTATGGGCCCACGCCTCACGTGGCACACGAGGATCGGAGGTCACTGGGGCCCAGTAGTAGAAGCGGGCTTCGAATCCTTGGTGAGTCATACGATGCCTGAGTTTGAATATTTCACCACGTGTTTGAAACAAACTTATGTTTTATGTTTTTTTGAATGGTTTAAACCTCGTATATTTATTTATACCATCTAGCAGCGTTCTGCAGCCTGTGCGGTTCAAGAGAGTGGCGTCCTTCAGGCTAAATGTCATTGCATGTCCCTTGATTGGGAATTTAGGAGCTAAATGTTTGTTTTCGATAATTTTTTAAAGGCTTTTATTCACTTGGAGTTCAAAATGTAGGAGGAGGTTAACATACCCTGTATATTGATCGTAAAGCATGTTGTTTACCAGTATTTTATGCCAACAGACGCTATACAATATAGAACATATTTTTTTATGGATAACAACTTCTTTATTTCGTGAGTGCGACGTTTCGATACAGATTCTTGTACCGTTGTACCGTTGTCAAGATTCTTGTACCGTTGCTTGTACAAGAACTCGCACTCACGAAACGTCGCACTCACGAAATAAAGAAGTTGTTATCCGTAAAAAATTGTTGTATATTGTACTTCTCAACTTCTAAAATGCCACTCAAACAAGTAAGTCATTATACATTTTGACATCTTTATGACCACATTTACATTTTACCGTTATGTAATGTTGTGTACAATGGTGTAGTTTATCCTGTTAATACATGTGATGCGCACCAAAGCAATTGATAATTTAATATGTCTCTACCGCGGGCGAAATGACTTTCATTCAGTAAACCAATCTGTACTTTGTTAACAGTGAACCGCTATAGTTGCGCACTAGTGCTGGGACGGGTCCAAATTTTCTACCCGGGTGCCCCAACCCTTTTACCCTACCCTTACCGGATACCCGTTATGTTAATTCCTGACATCAAATTTGCAAGAAATGGCAGTATAATTTTCAACTCGGAGACTGTTTAATGAATTAGTCACATGAACATAACGGGTTCGGGTAGTGAGACTCATTACCCACCCGTCCCGGGTATCCGGGTTACCCGTCCCAGCCCTAATCGGCACAGTATTGTTCAAGAATATAGTTTCGATGAGAGGGCCAGGGAATGGTATCCATTGATATTGACAGAAAACTTCTCTTGGGATGTCTTTAGGGAGACTTAAAACTACTTGGGGACAAAACAGGTCGAGAAAAGAGATCTCTTTTCAAGTGAAATACTTGCAATGTCATGAGACTGAAAAATATGTAATCTTCCAAGTGTTTGATCTTGAACTTTAACTTGAAAATGGGAATCTTAACTCTCTTTAATTAATATCTGCAATGCTCAGAAATGATCATGGATTGAATGGCAGTGGAGGAAACATTGGAGGTGCGTTTGTTTTCGACTTAACGCAGCGCTTGACGCAAGGTATGCCCCACTCTGGACGAACACGTCCGTGGCATTTGACGCCCAGTGTGACCCATAACACAAAGCATGTCACTTGACGCAAAGACTGACACCTGAAGCAAAGCATGACGCATGGCTGTTGACGCAAAGCACGACGCTCGGTTCCAAGCATGAAAAAACATGATATTTGACAATATTCACCAATTGTTACCCCACATTCACCGTCACCCCACACTTACCGTCACCTCACGCTCACCGTTACCCCACATTCACCGTGACCCCACACTTACCGTCACCCCACGCTCACCATCACCGCACACCCACCGTCACCCCACACCCACTGTCACCCCACATTCACCGTCACCCCACACTCACCGTTACCCCACATTCACCGTCACCCCACACTCACCGTTACCCCACATTCACCGTCACCCCACATTCACCGTCACCCCACACTCACCGTTACCTCACACCCACCGTCACCCCACATTCACCGTCACCCCACACTTACCGTCACCCCACACTCACCGTCACCCCACATTCACCATCACCCCACATTCACCGCCACCCCACACCCACCGTCACCCAACATTCACCGTTACCTCACACCCACCGCCACCCCACACCCACCGTCAACCAACACTCACCGTCACCCCACACCCACTGTCACCCCACACCCACCGTCACCCCACACTCACCGTCACCCCACACTCACCGTCACCCCACATTCACCGCCACCCCACACCCACCGTCAACCAACACTCACCGTTACCTCACACCCACCGCCACCCCACACCCACCGTCAACCAACACTCACCGTCACCCAACACTCACCGTAACCTCACACCCACTGTCACCCAACACCAAACCCCTCAGTACAAGTATAGATAAGATGTGGAGAACGGCAGGACATTCAGAAGGCACCTACCTGGCGTCGATGCACAGTTACAGATGCCCACGACGGCGTTAGCCACGATGCTAATCTGGCACTCTTGGGCAGTCATGTCACGTACTATATCATCGCAAAAGTGTTGTTCCAGGATCGGACAAACTGAAACAGAAGAGATGCCGTAATATTGGTTGTCTTTGTCAACAGGTGAACCCCATACAGTGCTCCTACTTAGACACCCTCCTACGGGTTGTGTTAACATTGTAACCAGTCTGTCACTGACACGTTTCCTTCAAACATCTCCTGGTACCTCAACACACAAATATTTCCAATACGTTTGTATCAGCATATATCTGCTCTGAGACATTGTAGCTCAATCCTACAATTTGTAGCTCTATTCAAATGTATCTGATATATTTGATAGATATTTGAGTGTCATATTTAATCGATATTTGAGGGCTAGGTTTGATTGTAATTTGAGTGTTTTACTTGAACGATATTTGAGGGTAATAGTTAATGGGTATTTGAGAGCTATAATTGATCAATATCCAAGGGTTATATTTGAATGATATTTGAGGGTTACATTTGATCGATATTTGAGGGGTTTATTTCATCGATATTGGACGTTTTTTAAATGTCTATTTGATAGATATTTGAGTGTTATAATTGATCGATATTTGAGTGTTATATTTGATCGATATTTGAGGGTTAGGTTTGATTGTAGTTTGAGAGCAATATCTGGTCGATATTTGAGAGCTATATTTGATCGATATTCGAGGGCTATATTTGATTTATATTTGAGGGTTATATTTGAACGATATTTGAGGGTTATATTTCATCGATAATCGAAGGTAATATTTGATCGGTATTTCAGAGTTATATTTGATCGACATTTGAGGGTTGTATTTGATTGATATTTGAATGTACCTTGGAAACTATTTGACATCCCCACACTTTGAGCTTTCTTACTAGCTGTCGTGCCTTGATATAAATGGAATACTGATTTTTGAATTTTTGAGTTTTACCCACAGTATTACAAGGAATACAACTAATGGTTTTGTAAGGATGTTGTGGCAATGTGAATAACTCAACTCATCTTGTATAGACGAGTCCGACGCTTGTTATTGAGGTTTAACATACCTTGTAAGAACAAGAATAATTCGCAAGTTATTATTCGATACCACCTTGCACGTTATTATTCGATACCACCTTGCACGTTATTATTCGATACCACCTAGCCTCCCGGGATCTAACATTCATATTAACACCCTTGCTTAACAGTGACTTTACGGGTGTCGTTGTCTTTAACACGATATAAATGGACTTTACCCCAAGTCCTAGTATTTGACGGATGTGGTGCTTTAAGGGACTATGTTGTGATCGCATGAGTAATCGGAAAGTTTGCTGAGGGCGAGGCTCCCTACACAATAAGGGGGGAAGGTCTATATGCTCTAATGTATTAATCAAACAGTAAGGTCAGGAAGAGGCGCGCTGTGCTGAGTATGTATCTGTACTTCACGATAGGTTAGTATAGAACTAGACGATTGTAAAAATGTCCACAGGCTTCTCCTGAAAGGGGTTTACATTGGCTGGATATGTTACAGCTATACAAAGCATGAAATTAATGTCATCATATATACTATAATACTTCAAGTTTACTGCTGTCAGAATCCGGTTATGGTTTAGTATACACTGTGTGAGACATCGTGTATCTCTTTGGTATACTTGACAAGGAAACATACGATTTGCTACTTGTACTTGGTACACAAATATTATTAACATATTCTGTGTCAATAATTTCAGTTAATGTCGTGCTGAAATGAACAGAAAAGAATTGTCGAAAATAAAGAATTTAATTTTGATTAGAAATGTAATTTGAGTATACAATATTTACTGACTGGATCAACAAAACAAAATCACCAAAAACACGATTGCCTCGTTACGAATAGGAACATTCTGACAAAAGTCATGAGCAATTTGGGGGATATGTTTGGGCAGTGAAGGCTGTGTACGCAATTTTTAAAAATGTCCCCGTAAATCATGATTCCTACAACTGTTTGTGTGTAAATTCCCTAACTAATCACGAGACGTGGGATATTCATAATTCCTTATTTAAAGAGATGGTAAGAATTTTCCATTTGAGACAGTATTGTATGAATAAATATACATAATATGAAATCTCGTCTCGTTTTTTTCGAGATTTCGGGCCATATTGTCAATACAAACGTTAACATAAGAGTGAGTGAGTGAATATGGTTTTCGCTGCTTTTATCAATATTCCAATAATGTCACGGACACCAGAAACTTCACACATTGTACCCATATAGAGAATAGAACCTGGGTCTTCGGCGTGACGAACGAACGCTTTATCCACTAGTCTACTCCACCTTAAACATAAGACGATGTGCCGAAACCGATCCCGGTGAAGGCAAATTGGTAGTGGAAAATGTAGCAATGGATACTTGACAAATAACATTAGGTGATCGGATGATGGCACGTCGTAGCACCCGGTCAAAGGATCGGTAGGGGTAGCCTAGTGGTTAAAGCGTTCGCTCGTCACGCCGAAGACCCGGGTTCGATTCCCCACATATGTACAATATGTAAGCCCATTTCTGGTGTCCTCCGCCGTGATATTGCTGGAATATTGCTAAAAGCGGCGTAAAGCTAAATTCACTCATTCACCCCAACAAAGTTGGATGTTGCTGGAATTATCGATGGCTAGTTTACATGATACAGATTGGATTATTTACCGGATGTCGTGAACTGCTGAAATACTCGCCGCAAAGGAAAACAAGGCGGCAACCGAAAATAACATCCACCCATACAAAAATACCCATTACGCATTAGAGGTACACATTATTTTTTGGATACAAACGACAAAAGTACATCTTCGAGCAAAGAGTTTAGCGAATAGTCCAAAATCGAAAATATTTATTCAAACGTGTCTTATCGTTAAGGTCATTAAAGATGTGAGCATCTATCTCTATGGGTGTTTTTATAATGTTTAAATGTTCCTCAAGTCACCAGTGCATGTTAGCAAACACCCACTCACTACATGTTGTACAGCTCTTGTCAATGTTGTATTGATAATACAACATACACATGCCCTGGCATTGTACTTCTCTTGGGTACTGAAGCTCTCAGTCTTTACTGTGTTTGGAATATAACCAGTGAACGGTCTCTTGTGATCATTCCCACGCAGGGATGTGCTCTCAACAACAGCGGGTTTGTTAGCATAAACTCCGCATATATTTGTCTATGTTATAACGATGCGGACAAATAGGCGTCCTTATTCGCAAGGGAATCTTAAACTACGACACATTTCTTTCCGTTCGCTAACGCTCTGATGTTTTGACGCTTGTATTAAAGCCAAAGTCCGCTATGTTTCAGTCGTAATGATGCGATCTGTACATAGTAGAATCTGGCCCAAACAAACCAGTGGTTGATATTATGACCATCGTCCGATAGTGTTGGGGTACGTTGGAACGCCATCAGCCCGAATCTTGCCACCTATTCTAAGTGAGTGAGTGAGTTTGGTTTCACGCCGCTTTTAGCAAAATAATCGTAATATCACTGCGGGGGACACCAGAAATGGGCTTCATGTAACCCATGCGGGGAATCGAACCCGTGACTTCGGCGCGACGAGCGAAAGCTTTAACCACTAGGCTAGAAATCCCTGTCTTTATATTTCACCGCTATAGTTCTTGCCAATGAAATAAGTGTCGGTAGATTATTCCCTGACGTTGACGCTACATTCAGATATTTAGAGTGTTTGTCAGTCTGACGTTTTGAATGAACTTGGAGTATTTATGTTATTGAAGCCTTTCTATAAAAGCGTAGCATATCCATTTCATGGATAAACGGGGCGGTGGGGTAGCCTAGTGGTTAAACGTTCGCTTGTCATGCCGAAAACCCGGGTTCGATTCCCCATATGGGTACAATGTGTGAAACCCATGTGTAGTGTCCCCAGCAGTGACCTTGCTGGAATATTGCTAAAAGCGGCGTAAAACCATACTCACTTACTCATGGATAAACATACAATGTGCAAACTGAAGGAGATGAAAGAGGGAGTATGGTCGATGCCACTTATGGTGCTGACAGACCATGGTTTGTTATTTGAACTAATCTGAGATTCGAACCAGTGAATAATAAAAAATCGAGTATGGGAGATGTTTACAGAATAAGTTCAGAAGTACAAGAAAAGTAAGCACCGGTTTGTTTTGGAAAATTCTGAAACAAAAATTTAGAAATGTGACCATACACGTGCTTGTGGGTTTCACCATAGTAGTAACGCCCAAGACCTGCGTGACTCCGGCAGTTTCTCCCACATCAAATATACACGTCGTCATTAAACCTGAACAACGTTATGCATTAAGCGTAATTCATGCAGTCACAGTGAAAAATCACCATCGTGTATAGAAGGACGGCCAGGTCAGAAGTTCGCATTCAGATACATTTACTTTCAACATCATACCTTATATGTATTTTAAAATTAGCTTCCATTGCGTTATAACTTACAGGCGTACACCATTCCGAGTGAAAAGACTACATCATTACGCCCTTAATGCAAACGTAGAAATGAATATATGACAAAATAACAAAACGCCTACATATTGAGGCGAAACCCTTCACACATCCGCCGTTGTAATAACGCCATTGAAGCCAGTGAAGCGGGACAGTGAATCAGTACTTGAAGCCTGTCTCACACTTACAAGAGCCTGGGGGTGCACTGTCATATGTAGATGACATGGGTGGGACTACCCGTATCAGAATGACAATAATAGACCATTCGTTATAATTTAGAACAGGTGGAAGTTAGGAGGAAGTTCCTTTATGATGTTCGTGACATTAAACGTGACCAGTCGTCACGTCGCATGTGTGTCGACACCGTTTTGACAATGTTCTTTGTACATCTTGTAAACCATTCATGCACCTACACAGGACCCGGATGTCGCGAACCGGGACTGGCTTAAAATTGTCTCTGGTCGTGTTTTTATAGGGGTTTGATCATGAACACCAAGAAATATATTTATATTCCGTAAGAACAATGATGATAAATAGACGAGCCAGGATATGGAACACAGTTCCACGTCAACTATGGTCCAACTGCAATGC